CTTGGTCCCAATGCCATTCCAAGCATGGATCTCTCTCCATGATACCTTGGGGACCAAAAGACAGACAGAGGGACACATGGATTTGAGGACAATTACAGGTTAAAGACGTACTGTTAATCAAACTGTTAAGAAGAGTAAACACATTGTTTGGTGAGACAGCATTGGCAGTGGTGTGCACATGCTCAAATAACAGTGACTACTTCTGGCCTCTTATCTGCTGTGAAGGGTCATTGTCCGAAACGTCATCTGTTATATATTTTTTTCTTTTTAAGGTAGTGTAATTGACAAATCGTGAGGATTTTTGTGTGTGCATTGTTAAGAAAAGTATGTAGACTTGCGTAGGACATGTCGCTAGAAGGGGTGACGGCCGATGCTCGAGAATTCTGCCGGACTGGCAGCTCCGATTTAGCGTGGTTGGCTACGTACGTTTGCGAAAGACGTTCAACATATGGACAAGAAATGGAACGTGTTTGAGGGCGGCACGTTCACCGAGGTGATGGAACAATGTAACGCGCTCGTGCTCGGGTGCACAATGGCGATGGCTACGTCGCAAAACGGTGAGAAATGGTGACCACTTGCGGAAGACTCAACCAGCAGTGAATTGACCATGGCTGCTGATGATGATGATGATGATTTTTTTCTTTTTGAGTGCAACATAAACCGAATTGTCAATGTTAACACTTTATTGAAGCTGAAAGTACAGTACACCGTTGTATTTCAGTTCAAAAGAACAATGATTTTTCTCCACAAGGTAACAACATTTTAAACAAAACAAATGCACGTGTGCATCACATGACGATGTTACGGGAAATTACCAGTCCACTGCAGGTTTGCATGTGCAGAAATAACAGGACATAACGGGAAACTGTGCAAACTGAAGCCGTGGCATTGTTGTGGTGTGGTCCAACTCAGCTTGAATCCTGCCAGCACAGCTTTGAAAAATGTGCACTCTTAACATTCTCGAACGTACAGAGAAACCACTGTGACTGCTGGTTTTGAAAGCCGTCGTGGCGTTGCTGTTTATGCCACAAATCCCTTTTACCAAAATAACCGAGTAAAATTGAAACAGCATTATCAAAACATTCATGACAAAACATGTTTGTTGATGCCATCAAAAGGCAAAAAATATTGAAAGAGCGCTTTCTGATTCAAACTACAAGTTTGATGTTTTAATTTTGGAGGAAGTCATATTTTTCACAATTATTTTGTAATGCATCAAAGGGCCTGCAACGCAGTATTATCTGGTGAATGGGAAATCATATTGGCAGCTCCAAATTAACATTTAAATGCCTTTGGTTAAACTGAAAGAAAAAATGTCATGCATAATATGAACCCCCTTTGTCAATCTACTGCAGACTGAAAGCCTTCCCCTCACGCTCTGTCAGTCAGTGGGGGTTGTTTGGCTGTACTTCACCACACACCGTTCGGCGATGAAAAGGGGGCTCGTGAATGTTCGGATATCATCGCTTTGCCTCTGATGTTTGCCGTGGCCAAGAGATAAATTCAGGTCACCGAGATTTTAAAAGAGTGGCGTAAAAATCATTGCACCAACCTCTCCCCCACTGTAGATGAGTCGTACAATAAAACCTTAAATGTGCGGGACTCTACGGGGCTCTTTGTAAAATCCAACTTTTAATAAGTTGATATGTGGAAGTTGCCACGTTAGACCAGCCATATTTGTGCGTGGACATTTTCCAAGTGAATGATTATGGTTTATATGTCCACATTGAGTAGTGTGTTGCCATCATTGTTACGTTTTCATTCCGAGCAGCGGGGGGACACAGCCAAGATGAATCAATCAAACAGCAGGAAACGGACTGCTCGTGTAACCGAAGCAATTTGACATGAATAGGCTGGCTGCTGCCGATTACTGTTATCGAGTTACAGTTTTAATGAGAATTGCTTGAATGTCCTAGAATGAAACAAAAATAAAGAAGGGTTTTCAGCACCACAAAAGAAAATAATGAAGCGTCACTTGTTCAAAACGTTGGGCTATAGAATTCCAGGCACTGATAGATATCCTTCTAAGAAACACTAAATTCCTCTTATCTCAAGTTATTAAGACCTCTCAACAGTGGAACATTTGATGCCCACTTGTTTAGTGGCATTACAATGGTAGATGCCTGTGTGAGGAGACCACATCTTGGATTTACTCAAAAACATACAGATGCCAGCACAAGGCTTAGCATAAGCTGTTTTATGCCATTTTATCACTGCATTATTCATAATTTCATGAAATATCAGCTAATTATGCAGGGGTGGTGTGTATAGTGGTTAGTGCACTGCTCTACAGACTCAGTAATCATCTCTTTGCTCCAAGTGCAAGTCAGACATTATATCTGACTTGCATTTGTTCCCTGATCCATGCTCCCCTTTCTTTCTCGGTGTAATGCCAAGCGTTGTGCATTTTAGTTGTTCACTTTGCTTTGTCAGCATCTATATATCCCATCTATGTCACAGCAGGGTAATGTGCACTGATTGAAATGTTTATTTTGGCACTGGTCGGTACTTCACGTTTTCAAGTTCGGTTTTCCAGAAACACTCCAACAGGCTCTCATACACTTAAGTTGCCGACTTTGACATATTTATACTCTGATGTGTCTTCCAATTACTTCCCAAAAGATATCATAAATTGTTTAGTAGACTTGTCACATGTGACTTTTGTTTGCTTTTCCCAACTATCAAATACACAATGCCATAATGTAGAGGATGAACATAGTTTTTATTTGGAGGGTGCAACGGTGGCAAGATGTTAACTACCTCGCCTGGTATACAGGAGGTTGTGGGTTTGTTCCTGACCCTGACACCTGTATATTTGGAGTTTGCATGCTCTTCTCGTGGTCGCGTGGATTCTTTTCCGTATCCTCAGGTTTTTCCCTCCACCTTTAGAAACATGCATTTAGAGTATTTGGCTGCTATCAATTTCCACACGATAAGCCACTTCGTTGAGCTATCATCCGTGGCCAGGTCGCTTCTGAAAAAGAGCTATATCGCTCAGTGGGGGCCTCACCTGATAAAATAAAACTATAAGTCATCCATACTCTCATAAATGCCAAGATAACAAAATATTTGGAATTCTCGGTAAAACAAAAATGGAACAGCTATACTCTGGCATTGCAATATTCGATGTGGAGTCAGGCAAGTAAGTACACTTTTTCCAAAGTTTTGTTGACAGCAGCATTAGAAGGTGTCTTCTGAACTTTGGATTGGAGAAATAAGGATGTAAACATAAAATTGAGAAAATTTTAACAAGCTAAATTTTTCTCATAACGTCGTCATTAAAACAACCAATGTAACTGAACTGCAGTATATAAAATTCTTTTAAAACTAAAAAAAGGTTTTGTTCAAGATAAATGTGAGCCAAATACAATTTCAATAAAGAAATTGCCATAATTACAGTATTAAATATAGTACCAAAATTAGCAAAATTGAAATCAAAGTTACTGTGTAAGCCCACACACAAATCTGGCTTCATAGCCATTGCTCGGTTAACATTTAAATCGCGGAACTGAATCCAGATTGTAAAGCTGCTTGTCCAGCACCAAGCCTAGAAGCAATCCAAAAACTGTATGGTCGTGTATAAATATTCATAACAAATATAAGTGTGGCAGACCAGACCCTCGTCATGCACTCTAAGTGTAGACTGCGCTTGTTTGTACTCTGACGTGCCCTGAATTCCGTAACTTATTCCCCGACTTGTTAATGCGTTGCTTCTCGCGGAGCGGAATGAATGGCGCACTTTTCCATTGCTCTCGGCGGCACGGCTTTCATGAGAACATACATTTCAGAGGCCGGTCAATTGTCAAAATTTGGATCGGAGCAAAAAAAACAGCATTACCTGTGTGCAACTCACAAATGGCCAAACAAGCGTGGAGTGCAAGCTGACACGCAGGCTGCGCGTCACGTGCATGCAGGAGTCATGCGGAGCGGGTGTGATGGAAGAGGAGGGGTGGGTGTCGGGTTGAGCTTGAGCTGGGAGGATGGTGGAGGGGAGGGGAGGCGTGTAGCTGATATGGGAAGGTCAGAGGTAGACTAGTGTGGCTGAACGAGAGATAGGAAAAAATGTGGGAAGGACGGGAAGGGCGAGATTATATTGAGCGGGAGGAGAGAGAGTGGCAGCCAAGATAGGTAGAGACAGAGGGCACAGAGAGAGAGGGTGGTAGAGAGGGCAGAGGGGGGGAGTTGGAAAAGCCGGGAAGGGGTTTGAGTATAATGAGAGCAGCAGGGTGAGTTTTGAGAATGACAGAGGGAGTGAGTGCAGAATAGACAGCGGTGGGTGAGGTGGGGGGGCGTTGCGGTGGGGGGAGCGAAGGATGGAGTGGGGGCTTACAAAGGCCACTGCAGTAAGATTGACGTCATGGATTCCTCATCAGCACACTCTATGCCTGCCAAGCAGTCCAAGCAGCCTGTGTTTCAGAGCTCCGTGCAAAAGGAGTGCTCACGCTGACTAATAAATATTAATCACTAAGTTATTACTCCAACACTGCATTGTAATTCAGTTTTCGTCAAGGCGGTGCTGGAAATGTGAAACCGCAAAAAAGGCCATGTAACCGTGTTTAATGCAATGGCATTGTCCACTTTTTGTGACCTTGGGGGCTGAACATTAACTCTAGAAATGTACAGTGCCTCTGAAACTCTTAAGATGGCACTAAGATAATGGATAAATGATTAAGTACTGATAATTAAGTTGGCATTGGCGGTGGAATGGCAATGACATCTTTGTTCTTGTTTATATGTGTACTTCCATCGCTGATCTGAGAGATGATTAATGATGAAGATGTTATTATGGTGATCAGCAATGTAACATCAGGGGAACTAAGGCTCTGCAATATTTGCATATAACTTTTGTTTCCAGTTTATTCATCATTGACTGTCATGGTTCTCTTCCCATACGTTTTTGTTGTATGCTCCCCTTTTAAATAAGGCAATGCCGCAGAGCCAATGACGAGGCTATGATGATGGCTCAGAATGCCTACATACTTGTTTGTTTACATTCACAGGCTCGGCAGCATGGCAGCTCATCGCTTCGTTTCTCAAGTTGCCCATCTCTGGAACGCACTGCATTGTGGGCGCGACCATCGGCTTCTCCCTGGTGGCCATCGGAACGCACAGTGTGCAGTGGTTTCAGCTCATCAAGATTGGTCAGCACGCCGCACCTACAACCCTTACCTAAGATGGCTCTTAAATTTCGATTTAAAGCTTTCGTGACTGCAGGGATTCATCTTCTTGGTTCTTTCGGTAAAGTCGTCACGTAGAAGGGAAGTAATAAAATAATAAAAATAAAACATAATAAAATTTCGATTTAAAGCTTTCGTGACTGCAGGGATTCATCTTCTTGGTTCTTTCGGTAAAGTCGTCACGTAGAAGGGAAGTAATAAAATAATAAAAATAAAACATAATAAAATTTCGATTTAAAGCTTTCGTGACTGCAGGGATTCATCTTCTTGGTTCTTTCGGTAAAGTCGTCACGTAGAAGGGAAGTAATAAAATAATAAAAATAAAACATAATAAAATTTCGATTTAAAGCTTTCGTGACTGCAGGGATTCATCTTCTTGGTTCTTTCGGTAAAGTCACGTAGAAGGGAAGTAATAAAATAATAAAAATAAAACATAATAAAATTTCGATTTAAAGCTTTCGTGACTGCAGGGATTCATCTTCTTGGTTCTTTCGGTAAAGTCACGTAGAAGGGAAGTAATAAAATAATAAAAATAAAACATAATTAAATTTCGATGTAAAGCTTTCGTGACTGCAGGGATTCATCTTCTTGGTTGATTCGGTAAAGTCACGTAGCGAAAGAACCAAGAAGATGAGATGGCTCTGTCACATTGTGCATTTCCATGGAGGTCGATGTTTTGTGAGTGAATTGGTAGCATCAATATAGTAACGCACACAACTGCCGAGTTGGTCATCCACACCCTTTTAAATTGTTTCTTTATCTGTACTTATAGACTTTCGGTTCCCGACAAATTTGATCACCTTGCACACCCCAATCAATATACGCGTTTTTATAGTTTGAAATCCTTTGACATCTCCTCATTCGGTGTAAAATAAGACGAATGGAGCTACATCTTTTGTACTCACTACATTTACGTATCACATTAATGTAATGAGTTACCTCATGAATTTAAGAACGAAACGGAAGGATTTCTCCACAACTCTGGCTGTCGCCTGATGAGGCTGGTTGTAAAAACCGGCGACAAAACGTCAGACTCGAATTGTAAATGTTGTGTTTTTGTTACTCTCCCAATACACCCGTGTGCTGAACTAGTAATGTATTGGCATGTTTTGTTTAAGTGACAAACCTTACTAATTGGCTGTGTCGGGTGGTGGCGGGTTTAATGACACACGTGTCTTCGATCTAACCCAAAAAAAACCTATTATGGAGTTCCCTCAGCACTGATTAGAAGTTGTGATAGCTGTCTTGCTTACAACCCTTTTAATAGCAGTTGCATTACCGATTGAACTCTTACAAAAGTAAACTGTACACGTGAAATTGCTCTAAGTACAGTAAGGTGTCAGAGTACGCGGAGCCGCACATACGCAACCGCCCCCGATTCATACGTGCACCTTGTGACTCGTACTTTCGATACCCGCACGGGATGGGAAGCGAGGAGTCAAATCCCCCTCCCCCGCCATCACGCGAACGAAGGATTTGATGGCGTGTAACTGTAGCGTTTGTGTAAGAAACGAGTCCAAAAAATATCTAGTTTTCTAATCTAGTGTTAATAATGTAGTGTCAATAATATAGCATTAATAATAATATGGTGTCAATAATAACAGTGTTCCATCTGACCTGGATGCTACCGATGATTAGTCAATCATTTATCTACAGTACTGTACTTTATTAAACATTGATGTACATTTATACACATTTTATATATACTCTTATATTGTAAATACAGTACTGCACTCGTATACGCGAATTCACGCTCACGCGGGGGTACAAGGAACCTAACCCCCGCCGCGTACTCTGAGACCTGACTGTATCTGAAAAAATTATGTAGTGCGGTTATCAGTTTTTTCCACTCTTAATGATCAGGTATGAATTATTATTATGCTCCCTGTAGCTTATAGCTAAAGGTTACGGAGCAATTTGTAATGGGTTCCTAAAATTTCCTTGTAAAGTGAGCATTGTAAAGTTATACTCGATTTAATTGGTGGAAGTGCCTGTAAAAATATCCACAGCAACACTTCCAGTCATTATTAACAGAGCTACTTCAATACATTTGCCTGCGTGAAGTGTAGTAAATGTGTCTGGAGTTGATATTTCCTTATACACGGGTTCTGTATTATAATCTAAAGCCCTATTGCTGTTGATTTACTCTGAAAACACAAATCTCCCCTGAAAGCCTTAACAGACTGTAGGAACAAGTGCTGTTAGCAGAGCACCTAATGAAGGCCAGCAAGGCGCACGAGAGGTGTTGAGTGGCCAGCATAATGCCCGGCCGCCTTTGTCTCTCTAGTAGCGATGTTTACACATCGCAGCAGGTACTCATTTGAGGCTGAGTCGACCTAGGGGAGGCCCAGGACCGATTCAGATAATCGTCACTGGTGTTGGCCGTGAGCGGGAATCGAACTCGGGTGTCTACCGGACAAAGACCTGTGCACACACACGCCGTGCAAGCATTGTTGAATAAATATTAGGACCTAACCCATTGTCTTTTTCTATGGACACAGTCTTAATTGTGTACATTAAATATTTGACTAGAAGCTGAAAACTGTCCACAAATAGATTTAAACGAACAACAGTGATTAAAAATGTAGCTTATTCGGTTATTTCTTGAGAGATACTTTATCGTAACGTAATGGATTACATTAATCTTTTTTTCTGTCACAGTGATTGGTGACTCAATATTTAATTCACTCATTAGATTTGTAGATTCGGGCAATATATTGAAAGTTGACGATAATGATATCACACACATTAAATATATTCACGTATATTGCATTGCCATGCCTAACAGCTACACATGAAGCACTTACAGAGGCACTTGCTGCAAAGTTGAGTTCCATTTATGAAGTATTGCACCTCTTATAAATAACAATTATTTAATAATAATCTCTATTTTACATAGTGTCCTTTCATATTGAAGTATCTCAAAGTGCTATACATGAAAATGAAACTACACGCAAGTATAGATAATATCTAAGCGAAATAGAATGTAAAGCCATTGATCTCAAGCCCTAAAATATTCGTAACTGCTGCAGAAATACAATTACGAAAGAGATGAACGTATCTAAAAAAAATTGGTTATCTTTAATTTACAGGATGGTGCATTTGTGTAACTGCTCAGTGTATATAATAGTTAGAAGGTGTGCGGTGGTTCGCACGCTGCACTGTGAGTCCGGTTTGCTTGAGTTCAATTTCTGACCATGGCTGCCATCGGTGGCAACGCCCCACGTCGCTCTCCTTCACCCCACGTCACCCGACTTCACCAACACGGTGTAGCGTGGTGAAAACAAACCTCATGACAGACTGCCTTCATCCAGCAGTGGATTGGGAAATGGATTAATTTTTGCTCATTTAATTATTAAAATACTGTGGCGTAATTGTAGAGCTATAAACACTCGTAGCTTCACAAACGGCACGCATCTCAATTAGATAAGCATATGTTAAGTGATCTTACCGATAAAATGGTAACCATGTGACCTATGATTGTTCTGCAGTTTCTTCTTGGTTCATATCGCCACTGCTTTCGGGGATCATGTCTGCCCTTCTATTCTACCTGGTCCGTTACTTCATTCTGAACAAGGTAAGCAAGACATTCCTCGTGCCAAGGAAGTGCAATACAGTCGGAGTTGACAATTATAAAAACGTCTTAAAATCATCAAAGACTACATTGAATGCTGTCCACTTGTCACTGTGCAGGCAAGGAACCCCATAACGAATAACCGAACATTTGTCAACTTTATCATACAAGGGCCACTTGGTGATTCATTAGAAGGAAAACTATTAAATCTAATCATCTCTTTAAAATTAAAGACATGTAAGAAATAAGTTGGCAATTGATAACCTCTTGTTACCCACATGCTTAATTACCACGATCATCGCTATTGTTCAGCAATTCCCTAAGATGACTAAATTAGCATGATTATTATTTGACAACCCGGACTCAAGCTGGTGCTTGCTTTATAATTGCCATGTACTTAATTGCTAAGCTTTTATGAATAAACCAGAAGAAAATGTCTGAAATTTACAGATTGATCCCCCCAGTGACTCAGTATGCACCTCTCAAAGCTTTTGCCGTTTCAGTACCAACGTTTTGGAAAGACGACATTTGTTTCCTTCCTTAAGTTCGTCCATCTTCCTTCTAAAAATATCCAGAAACAGATGATTAGTGGCAGTTACAGCCAACATTTGTAACTGCGATTTGAAATTATGAACCTGAGACATGTAACGATAGTTAAATTATAAAAATGCAAGACTGTATTGTCTTGGTGTGTGGTCTTGGATTGTTGTTGTTGTTTTGCTGCCTTGCACGAACTTTTATTTGGTCTTGACAAATCTGCAGAAATGTATGCACGAGTGCAATTTTTGTACTTCTGTGCTATATCCATATTTATGTAGTTAGTAACTTGCTTAATTATTCTTTTACCTTAGTCATGCATCCTTTCTTGTTTTATTTGTTGATGTAACGTACTGACCCACCCTAACTATAAAAAGAGCACCATAGCTCATCAGATTTCTCCAGTATAAATAAAGATTCTGGTTCACACATGCACACACATAATACAAGGCAAAGATTCCCCCATGTAGCCTTTAACAGACTGTTAGGGCAAGTGCTGCTAGCTTATGAAGATCAGCATGGCACAGGTGTGGGGGTGGGTGGCCAACACCACGCCCGGGCTGCCTTTGTCCCACCAATGCTTATGTTTAGACACAGCACCATGTTCTACTTTAAGGCTGAGTTGACATAGGGGAGGTCCAGGACCTGTTATTGGTCATGAACGGGAATTATGCTCCAGTCTCCAGATTCGTAGCGCCATTGGGGGGGGGGGGGGAACAGTTCAGTCCCCTGGCTGTACCGAGAGGGGGGTTTTGTCACAGGAGGTCATAGACACCTAACCTTTTGGGGCCTCTGGCACATGCTCATATTGATTCTCTGTTCATGGTTCTTTGGGAAATTAATTGAAGGTGCAGGGGTTACCAGCTCACTCGCACCAAACTGCCCCCCCCCCCCCATTACCCCATTAGCCACCATGGTTTACGTGAGCACGCAATTAGGTTAATCCGCTAACGTGTATCTGCTTTTCTCCCATTGGCCTTATTTACAACAAAAGAGTATTACCGTCTGGTACCACCAGGAGATCAGGAGTTTATTTTGCAAGACTACATGCACGTGTGCTGACATTCAGATACGCATATGCACACAGATACTCGTAAAAATGCAATATGTAATCTTATACATACAAAATAAAGATCCTTCATATAGCCTACATAGACTGTTGGGGCAAATAATATTAGCAAGCACCTACTAAGGCCATAACACTGCACAAGGAGGTGATGTGGCTATCATTACACCCGGCGACCTTCATCTCCCCAGTGCTATAGTATCTACCACATCAGATACTCATAAAGGCTGAGCTGACCTAAGGGAGGCCCTTAACCAGTTAAAATATCACCACTCACACATGTTAGCTGGGGGCGCGAATCCAACTAAGATCGTGCCAAACACTCTACCATAGGTCACCATCATTATATATATCCATAAAATACAAAGATATATATTCACACAAATGCTCATGCGTGTACATGTAGCTCAGATGTAAACTCTTCGGATGTTATATCTATTTCAAATGTTCCATTGCATTAATGAGGTTGCTAAGCACAACACATAGTGTTGACTCGCAGAGCCCTTGGATGTGACATTGGCATCTCAGCGTTTTCAGTCTCCAACCATCCACTTGATGCAAAGTCCCTGAGCACCGAGCACTTCTTAGAGATTCAAAGAAAAAACGGAGCAACTAATTTAGGGGGCTGTGTTTAATCTTCCAAATGTTACCGATGTCCAACCGTTGAGGTGTCCATTCCCAGATTGTGCGAGCCATAGTTTTGATCACGAGGAAAGGTGATGAATTCACACACAATTTAAATTGCTGCAGATTTTAGCACAATCCAATTCAAGTAACATGATGTCCCATCGCTGTTAAAACGCGACTTTACAAGTTCAAACGATACAACATTATTGGTTTTATATATGTCTGCAAAGTGATACATTCTAGTTTGTGCTATTAAAATAGATTTTATATTTTATTCTCTTGGAATATGTTTTCTATCACATTTATACAACTTTGGTGGGGAGAGAGGATTTATTAGTTTGCAGTAAGAGGCACGGTACATTACTTTGGCTTACCATTTGACTAATACTGCAGACCAATACTAATTTGCTAAATGACAGAATGTATCTTCTTGTTTCTTTCGGTAAAGTCACGTAGAAGGGAAGTAATAAAATAATAAAAATAAAACATAATAAAACAATGTTTTATTATGTTTTATTTTTAATAAAATAATAAAAATAAAACATAATAAAACAATGTTTTATTATGTTTTATTTTTATTATTTTATTACTTCCCTTCTACGTGACTTTACCGAAAGAAACAAGAAGATGAATCCCTGCAGTCACGAAAGCTTTAAATCGAAATTTGACAGAATGTAGCATATTTGTATCTGTAAATTACATTCATGTTTGTATAATATAGTGTATCTCTCTGATTTTTTTAAAGCATATGAAGGTGAAAACTAGAAATTAGTTCAGTGGAATTTCAACAAATTAGTTTTTTTAAGAGGAAAAAAATATCCCCCACGTTATTGCCCAAAAAAGAAAACCCAGGTTGCTGCATTAGTTCAGAATTGCCCTGGTTTCATCCACAGGCTGACATGCCCTCTGCCCGTGATATGTGCGCGTGTGCGTGTTTATTCTACAGATAGGGAGCGGTAGTGTAGCGCTTAGCGTGCTGCGCTACAAACCTGCCGACCCGAGTTCGATTCCCGCTCACGGCCAACACCGGTGACGATTATCTGAACTGCTCCTGGGCCTCCTCTAGGTCGACTCAGCCTTAAATAAGTACCTGGTGCGGTGTGTAAACATCGCCACTGGGGAGACGAAGGCAGTTGGGCGTGGTGCTGGCCACCCACCTCCTCGTGTGCCGTTCCGGCCTTCATTGGTTCTTGCCAACAGCACTTGCCCCAACAGTTTGTTAAGGCTATACAGGGGATCTTTGTTTCTCTTATTTTACAGGAGGATCCTCTCCCCAACGGTCTTCGTGCTCTGCCTGTCTTCTACGCTGCCACCATGGGCATCAATGTCTTCTCGATCATGTACACCGGCGCCCCGCGTGCGTACCTTGCATGATCACGGTCCCACTTTCTCATGTCTGAATTTTGTGACCATATCCTTCGCACTGAGCCACCGGCTGATGATCACATGGCCGTAGGTTGATACCTCTTGAGCATGAGCTGTGCTCTTGAGACTAAACAAATCCGGTCCAGTCAGGAAGAAATTAAATCTTGGCACTCTTGATGTGCTGAATTTTTTTTTATTTTAGCATAAATGTCAAAACAGGTTTAATTCAGAATAAAAATGTGGCATTGCTTTAAATGATGGCATACAGCATTAATCGTAGGTAATTGAAAACCTGCTGGACGTGAGGAATTAATACCCTTTGCATAATATTATGAATTTTAAATGTATTCCCTTAGATGTTAAAGCTGTACGCAGGCTCGTGAATGAGGCTTGTTTTGGGCTCCCGTGCGAAACGATGCAGTGTGCGGCCTTCGCGTTTCCCCCACCTCCTCCTCGTGCTCCTGAATACGTCCTCACGTGACCACGTGTACGTCTCTTTGCCTTCCCGCATTTTCCTTTTGGCTGCGCAGTTCTAGGTTTTCACTACGTCCAGACGTGGATTATAGCGCTCATCACCGTTGGCATCTCCATCATCACCGGCGTCCTCGTGTGGTTCTGCGTCTGTCCCCGGATGAAGAAGAGGATAGAAAGTGAGCGACTTAAACACGTGTTGCGAGAAGCCCCCTTCCACTTGTGTGAACATCCTTATCGTGTTCGCCTCGGGCAATATGCAGTTTGCGTCGAGGATAATGACACATGAAGGCAATTTACATGGTTGGTGGAGGCGACGGCTGAGGCGACTGATACGAGAAAGGACGAACGATGCTGTCAGCGATGTAAGTGTGAGGTTGAGGCGACGCACATCAGGTGTTTGTGAAAGGACATGAAAGGGGGGAGTCGTTAATCAGGGTATTACTGTACCTGAAAGACAGAATAATTAGTATTGCAAACAAAACAAAACATTACAACAGAAATCGAAGCATCTTTGAAGAAGTTAAACCTAATTCTATCCACTGGTTTCAGCTGGTTATTCTAATTGGCTATAGAGGCCTGCATTTCGTTTACCATCACTCAAAAGCTTTGCTTATCTGCAGAAGACACTGTTGAGACAGCCCTTACCCACAACAACTGCGGTAAGTGACTGCCCACAGGACATTGTGTTTATGACAACAATTAAAAGTGTAGTGACTGTGAATGTCACCTACTCTTCCATGCTGGCCAAACGTCTTGGGAGGAGGTGGCAGTACCCACACTTTACCCTACCACACGTGATTGACTAACTGTGGTGTACTAATTGAAACAGCTGGGTGGACAGAGGTGGTAGAATTAAGAAACTTGGCGACTTGCAATTGCTGCGCTGGAAAGTTAAATTGAACAGGCGACCTCCGAATTACAAGTCCAGTGTGCTAACCATTACCCCATGGCAGCATCGCTGAAGTTTGAGTTCAATGTGTTTGTAGAATTGTTTGCATCTAGTTTGAAAAGAGATATTTGTGTGTGTGTGTATATTTTTAATTTAAATCCCACAAAATGGAGACAACACCCTATTGCAGAGGCCCTGGTGTCCATCCCCCCCTCAGCCCAGGGTACCACCTACTTGTCCGTGTGCACGCAGGAAAGAAAGCGGAGCAGGTACGGTTGCGTGCAGAGGGCAGCTCTGCACGTGTGGGCCGGGAGGTGGTCCAGAACCCCATGTTCGCCGATGACTCTTCCGAGGACCGGGACAACGAGGACGAGTCCTCCAAGCCGGCACTGCCCATGGCTCTGACCAACGGTGGTGCCACCGTTGCGCCCACCGAGGTGGCAGGTGCCACGGTGCCGCTGCTCAGCCCATCCAGCGACCCTGGCAAAATCAAGGTGGATGGGAACGTTGGCAAAGCTGCTGCGGCCGGCACCGATGGTAAATTGTGCGCGGCAGTTAATTTAACATTTGAGTTGCAGGCGTGTACTTTGATATTGCAACGCACTTGTATTTTAATCCCTATGGTTCGTATGTTTTTTCTCTCCCTATTTTAAGAAATGTCTCATTATGTAAGTTTAGCCGACGGTTGTGTTTGTGGTCATAAGTTCAAGGACCGTTGGCCAATGTCACTGTTAAGGAGAGGGTGCCAGCTGCTCAGTTTAGATTTCTTGGGGGGTAAATATGGAGCTGCATTAGGGGTTTCTTTGTGTTCTGGGAATAAAAACTAAAAAAAAAAAATCGGAAATGTAACATGCAAAACATTTTAATTTCACAGGATATTTCTGAGGTGCATGCAATGCGTTGCTTGTTCAGCCTTCACTCGAGCAATGTTCATAGCCTCAAATCCATGCACATGCTTCTCAGGCAGCAAGGCATGAAACTGCCGCTATAATGCACAGTGTCTGCACGAGCTTCGCATGCTCGCTGGGGCAGTGGTGGGAGGCGTGGGTGTTGCTGTAGCGTAGAGCCTTCTTACTGAGAATAGGTTTTCCCCTTTTTTCTGGCAACAAAACAGGTGTTGAGATGTTAAAACACCAAACTGAAACCTTTTACAAGCAATCACATCTGCATTAACCACAATACTTGTGGTCAGAATGCAAACAAAAAACATACTCTGATAATATGTGCACTGTCTTTGAAACTGATTGGTCCACAACAGAGACCACTTTCTTTTGAGCCTAGTCTCAAAACGGTGTTAGACCAGAGGACTCCTTTTATCAATCAGTTTCAAAGACGATGCATATATTATCAGTGTTTTTTTGTTTGCATTCTGACCACAAGTATTGTGGTTAATGCAGACCTGATTCCTTGTAAAAGGTTTCAGTTTGGTGTTTTAACAACTTAACACAACTGTTTTGTTACCAGAAAAAAAGGGGAAAACCTATTCTCATATTTTGGTACTGGCAAAGGAGGTCCCATGATGTAGCCTTCATTCTCCCGAGACCTGAAGTCTGTGACACTGCTGTCAACTTTCAAGGCAAACACATTTCACTCGGCAATGCCAGAGGTCCTGCAATGCAGAGACCATTGTGGACAGGAACCTATCGTGCGCATGACCCGGCTGCTTCCGTGGGTGTGCACAGATTGTGTAAATTTTAGCAAGGTTTTGGATCACTGATTACCACTTCACTGTTAATGGTAATGCAATATTTGAACTCAAATCATTATTCTTCCAGCGGACAAGGTGGCTTTCATTTAGTTTTGAGAATTCCCTTTCACTTGTAGGATTTACTTAACCTGCTATTGCTCAGCAAGCACATGTCTACAAATACAGAAGGGCAGAGAAGCCAGTGGCTGTAAGGCGTGGAGAGTTATGAAAGAAGCTTCGATAATTATCTGTGCCTGCGGGTGACGAACCGATTTCACGCCGCGGTCGAGAACACCCGCCGATGGGGTGCCACCTTTTATCTCGCGCTTGCCAGGCGCGTCCGGACGCCCGGCCGCGCTGCCTATCCAGGTGGGCGACCTCTTCAAGAACGACGGCTACAGCCACTACCACACGGTGCACCAGGACTCGGGCATCTACCGTGACCTCCTACAGAAGCTGCACCTTGGACCGGGCGGCGCCAACTCCGCGGGAGGGGCACCCGGGGCGGCCCAACCGACGCACCCGCACGGAGTGCACCACTCCATCTCCCAGCCGCACCATCACCACCAGTACCGCTCGCTGCGCCGCAACAACAGCTACACCAGCTACACCGCCGCCATCTGCGGGGTGCCCATCCAGGCGCTGAGTCAGCCGGAGCCGGTCGCCGCCACCATCTCCACGGAGGACAGCTTGAAACTCGTGCCCAGGTGCGTGCCCCCCCCCCCCCCCACCACGTAGCCCGCGAACGGGTGTGGCACGGAGCGGCATGTACGGACGTTGAATGTCTTTCACCCCTTAATAGCCAACCGTGCTCATCGGAGATGCGGAGGAAGGACAATGTCATTTTGAAAAGCAAGCGGCACGACATGTCACGTGCTGCACCAAGCACCGCGCCGCCGCTCCACGCCACATGCCGCACAACCACGCGGCGCAGCGCGGCCTCGTGTTCCCGTAAAGCGTGTCCCTGCCTTAAAGCGTGTCCCTGCCGTAAAGTGCAGTCACGCGAGCCGACGTGCTTTGCATTCCTCGCATGAGCCGTGAATCTCCTTATACAGTATAATTGGCAAAGTTGTTCTCTTCGTCTGAAGCAACCGGAACACTGAGACACGGTAGCCGGGGGTCTCCCTTTGCGGAACGGACTCTTGCCAGTGTGTAAGCAAACGTTTAATCGTTTCGGTCTTGCGCATTACATTGCTTTATTAAAGCCTACCATGATTACTTTGATACCGTTACGATTAGCAGTCGATTGCATTGTTAAGGTATCTAACTATAGAACCAATGCTCAGTGTATTTATATATCAGAATCAGAATGTTTCATTATTTTTTAAGATAAATTCAATGAGCGATGAAGCTCTTTTTCACAGATGTCCATATATGTATGTGGTAACGTTGATAGGCAGTATCTCATTGGAAAATCCTTGACTTGTTTACAAAGAAACCTACTTTGTCCTCCCAAATGTGATAACCGCCGTGTTTCCGCTTGATTAGAACAGTTGCGTTCGAACGCCTGAATGAGAGGTGATGTTTGCACTGCAGGTGACGTTCACTGGTATTGCAGTCACACGTGACCAAAAGATGCACTTTAATGACTTGCCTCCTGTCGGGCAGCACTCATTACACACATCTGCAACCTCGACAGTGACTCAACAAGCACACCCGAGCATTCAAACTAGATGCTAACAACATCCCCAGGATCTTAAGTAGGTCGCCTTACTTACATTTCAGCTAACCTAAACTCCCATGCAGATTAGGTCTTGCTTGTTGTTTTTTGTGTGTGTTTATTCTTGCACACAAGCCTGCTTTGTTTCGGCTTACGTTATGCCACAGTGCCGTAATGAATTGGCGTAATTATTCATGAACACTTGATGTAACAATTTGCATTCACAAGTACAGCTTTGTAAAAAACTAAAAAATTAAACGCTGAGCTTTTAAACGCAATGTGTCCCACCAACAATTGCCACGAAATAAAAAATCGTCTTGGATACACAATACTGGCACACGGGACTTGCAATCCAGAGGTCGCTGCTTCATTATCCTGGCGTGGCAGTTGAAACAGAATCATCAGAATATTTACACTGCAGGAGGAATCCGATGAGCTAGAAAGCTCTTTTTCACAGATGTCCAGTACGGGTGGGTCAGAGCAATGGGTACATTTCTTAACCCCCCCCCCCCCTCATTAAACCTCTGTTCACCCATAAGTATAAATGTTTACACAGCAGTTTGTCGATAACCAGGGCACGTGTAGTGGGGTAACACATTCCTGCGGAGGGATCTGGTAGGAACGTTGGGTTGCTCGGTCAATGGCCAGGGTCAACGGCCAGGGCTTGGTGTATTCCGCAAATATGCCCGACTGTGAGGGCGGGCACAAGCCGGCGTGAGTAGGTTAAACGTTGAGTTTTATAAGGGCACCACGGGGTGACCAGCCCCTCCTCACCCAGCCCCACCCTCCCCACCCAGCCCCTCCCCACCCAGCCCCACCCTCCCCACCCAGCCCCTCCTCACCCAGCCCCACCCCCCAGCCTCCCACCCAGAGCCCCACCCTCCACACCCAGCCCCTCCCTCCCCACCCAGCCCCTCCCCACCCTCCCCCTCTCCACCCAGCCCTCCCATTTTTGGATGCACGACGGACGGACTGGTGTAACCAGGAGGTTCCTACCAGTAAAATGTGGATGCTCCCAAACATTCTCTAGAGGGGCTGTCTAGAGCTCCTTCTAGTGGAGACACGCTTCCACCAGCAGTAGCGTGAGCAAGCAAATGCAGAACTGCACCTTTTGCCTTTTCATATTTAATTATCTAAATGCAGAGGTAATTAAGTGTTAGAGCATTTTTTTAGTTTAACATGTGAGCTGCAACGTGAAGCCATCATTCTACAATAACCGGTTCGTTAGGAAACTATTATGAAAGATCCCATAGTCCCATCTCCTGGCACGGGTTTTTCTAGAACAGCAGGTATGGCCTTGGCAGCTTTGAAGACCTGCATGGAAATATACCAGTTATCCCCTCCAACTCTGGCCCCATATTCAGGGATTATAATAATAAATGAAAGAGGCAAATAAACTGTACCAAAGGATTATGATTCACTCACTGGAACCGCAGGAGAGAGAGGAGAATGACAGTAAATTACAGTGTCATTGTGTGTGTTTGTGTGAGACTCGTGGTACAGTGACAGAGTATAATTACATTGTCAAGAACCATGTCATACCATCTTTGACAAGTCATATTTCATCAATGTGCACCGCATGTGGCAATGCGTTGGGTTGAGCTTTTTTTCTGTTTGAACTCCCATCACATCATCTTCTTCTTCCTCTGTCATGGTCTATCCACCGCTGAGTGACAGACAGTCTCCCCGCATCGGGGATGTTTGACCATCGTTCACACAGCTTAATGCGGGTTGTTCAAAAGGGGGGGGGGGATCCAGCATCCAATCAGTTATCACTCACTGCTGTTGTTAGCCGTAGCTGGTAACTTCGTTTGCTACCGTTGCCCGTATGAACTTACAAACTGAATACTATTATGCCAATTAAAATTCTGAACTCGTGAAAACATGTTACATTATTGCATATACTTACGAACAATGCATTGTCTCGGCGATTAAAACAGATCCTCACTTTCACAATGCACGTGTGGAATAATCAATTCGGATTTACGCAAATGATATGAAATGGCCTGCTGATATTCAATGCACGGCAATGGAGCAAGCAAAGCCATACAAAGTGAAAGTAAAAATGAGACAACTAAATTGAGTATCAATAATTTAATCATGATCCCAAGTCGTGACGATTTTGTACAAATCAAGTAAGGCGAGCAGGTGTTTTTTTATTCCATTGCAAATTCTAAAGCATTACTTTACCATTTGACTTTAAGCTGACAGCTTGGTTTTTACCAAAAAAAATATTACGGAGGCTACAAATTACGTGGGTTGGAAATAACTGTAAACCACAAGGAGACAGCTGTCATCAATGAACTGTATGGCTCTTCTTTCGGTGGTTCAAAATTGAAAGGTCTTGGCCTCAGATCCTGGTTGGGTGTCCACTCCGCCCTTCATTAAGTACGGTACTATACCATTCTGTGGGGATGTCACACCAGCGGTTGTTGTAGGGACATAACTCAACTCGACCATAGGAATGTGGAAATCCCACCACTGGCATCAGGGCCGTAAACAGGAGGTGGTGAGCGCCGTTTCACGGCTCGGTTGAAAGGGAAACCACTTTGGTGTTTATTAATTTGTGTACGCACTCCTGTTTGAAGTGTAGCAACAGTGCCAACTGTCCTGTGCATTTTTTTACATCATTTACTCATTTCTCCGTTTTGGTTTCTTCTTAACACATTTCTCTTTAGTGGCTGCTCCTTGTGTTCATCTTAATAATCATATTTCATTTCAGTTACATTGTAATTATCACCATCGTCATTCGTCCCAGTCGCCAAAAAATGTACCATATTATCATCAGATCTCGGAAGCTGACCACTTGTTTATCCAGGATAGTGCTTGAATGGGTGACCACCATACACACACAGGTAGTTGTACGGGCTGTGCGGCTACGTGGAGGGCAGTGTACCAAAATCCATAGTTGCACAGATACCGTACTTCCACGCTCCCGAATCTGTGTTCCCAGCATTCGACAAAGCGCACTGACCAGCAGCGTTGTTGAAGTATGGTCAAATAACCCTCACTGCTACCTCTCAAGTCGTTGGGAAGCCCTCATCCAGCATTGAATGGACTAGATGGCCATGCATGGACTGTGCATGTACAATAAGTGATGGTGATAGCCAATTAGGGGTCCTAAGAAATTATACTTGGGGACTGCTCGTTAAAATTATAAAGTGAGATTACAGAAGAGTTTTCTACAGGAAATATACATTTAGTGAGAAAAGTGAAATGTAGACAAAAATAGATATGTAATGAGTTAGAGATGGGCGTTTCATGGTCTTTTCTATGTTTCTAGACTTGTTCGGGTTATTCATCATCATCATGATCCATGAGCAGATTGTCCGTAGGTGTCTGCTGCACATTTCGTCATTTGTTTCCACATTCCTCTGTGTCAAGGAGTGCCACCGCCTCTTCCTGGCACCAATCTCTGATGTTGTCATCAAACCATTCTTTTAGGTCTTCCTCTCTTTCTGGTTCCTTCCATTTTTCCAAACAGCACACCTTTTATTTTCCTGCTGTTGCCCAACCTACATATGTGTTAGGGTTATTAGGATTTTCCTTCCAGCTGATATTTGATGCACCCCCTATATTTGTCACGTATCTGGGGCCCTACGCAATTGCTTTGTTTGCTTTATGCCTGGTGCCGCCAGGCAGCCGGCTGCTGTGTCAGCGCACGCCACGCTCAGCGCGCATGCCCTCGGCCTTGCTCCCCACCCCCTTCCGCTCGTGCGCAGGGCATCGTTCTCCAAGAGGCGCATGCGGTACGACAGCTACTCCAGCTACTGCAATGCGGTGGCGGAGGAGGAGGAAGCGGCGGCATCAGGGGGGGGCCCGGGGGGCAGCAGCGGCCTTGGGGGTGCCGGTGGGGGGCTGCTGGACTCGTCGCAAGTGCGCGTGGTAGTGGGGGGCGCGGCGCGGGCGACGCCGGTTGGGCAGGCGGCCGGCGCCGGCGGCGTGGCGGGGGAGACGGCCGAGTGCGACTTGTCGCAGGACGGCTCGTCGGACGGCGAGGAGGACGACGAGAAGGACCCGCTGGAGGCCAACCTTCTCTTCCACTTCCTGCAGATCCTCACCGCCTGCTTCGGCTCCTTCGCTCACGGAGGGAACGACGTCAGGTGAGCGGGGTAGCGAGGCTGCCGTCCGATGTGAAACGAAAACGGCTTTGGGAAATGTGATACTGTCTTTGGCGGTGGTGCACAAGCACAAATAACGATAATGCCACAAGTTGGTACAATAAAATTGCCACTAAAATGGGAAATAATATATGATGCTATGAATAAGGCCCACTGCTCAAGTGTCACCTATTATATAAAACAAAATCCTCTTCAGGGGCAATGTTAATCACGAATGTTTTGAGTTTTTTTATTATGTGGGTATATCTGATGTAGTTGAGCACTGTTATTATTGTACTGGGTGGGGCACGATGAGGGATGGCGATGACTTAGGGAACCAGGCCTTCATACAGTGGTGGATCGAACATGGCCGATGATAACCGTTGTTATTATTAGATACTAATAAGGTTACTTGTCTTACCTTGAGGATGCTCCATTAAATAATTTCCATAATTAACCTCACAATCACCTGTCTTGAAGAGTTTTTAGGTCACACCCAGATGAACAACATAAGATTTCGTGTCATTTTTCTTCAACCAATATTTTTCTTTTGAAGATAAATTTTTACCACACTCTGATCTCAATAAATATAACTAGCTGAACTGAAAGTTGAAGTTCAGTATTGTTGTTGGCATATATACGTAGGATTTCACAATTCTTTGCTGCATTACACGCTTTTTTTAACCGTATTTTATTTATGTTTGAATGTTACGATAATGAAGATAAATTACTAAACATTTGATATTATTTTACTAAGGACAGGATATCTAACATTTATTCCACAGATATTCATCATTGATGATGACCCCCTGCCTTGATAATCCCTAGACCAGCTCGCACCTTCCTCATGTGTGGTGGGGTGCACTGCCCAGCTCGGTTGCCCAACTGCACACGGTCACGTTCATGCTGGTGCCGCCCCCCCCCCCCCCCCCCCCCCGTGTGTGTCGTGCCTTCCAGCAATGCGATTGGACCGCTGGTCGCGCTGTGGCTCATCTACACGGAGGGCTCGGTGATGCAGAAAGCCGCGACGCCAGTGTGGCTGCTGCTGTACGGGGGCTTGGGCATCTGCATCGGCCTGTGGGTGTGGGGCCGCCGGGTTATCCAGACCATGGGCAAGGACCTCACTCCCATCACGCCGTCGAGGTGAGAAAAACCGTCGCGTTGCCAGACGCGACGGTGGGTTGCAGGCCGGAGGGGAGAGGGATGATCCGAGTACGTGAAAATCTAAATCTGTCTACGATTTGGCTGCTTAAACTGTGCACGAAAACATGGGTCTGCGAGGCTGATGGAGCTAAATGTAATTTCATCTCTGAGCTCTAAAAGAGATTTGTTGTCTTATGCATTTATAATTTAGTCTACTGTATGTGTACATTGCACAATGTACAATTTGGAATGCATCTTAAGGGAAGAGATACCAGTACTTCGCGTATATGGGCATGGCTTGCTCAGAAAATATATTTTGTTTTTGAATAAACTGTAAATGTTACAATTTAATATATAAAACGATTAATATATTGTCTAAAGAATGACCATGTAAGTGCACATATGAAATGTGTATTGGTGGCTACAGCAATGAGATGTATATTGTAATTGTAAACATTGTGGAGCCAACTTTGTCGTGATGAAGTATGATGTAATTGCCTATTATTTTAAAAAGCTGTTCCAAGACTTAATATTTTGCACCTCCGCTTATAATTCTTTCAATTACTATTTTTACACGTCTTTACCCACGAGAACCTCACTGAGGATCGTGACTCTCTTTCAGGAGGATCCTACCAAGTCTTTTTTGTTTGCACCATGGGGCGGTGATTGCAATGCAGTGTATATTCCAACCGAGTAATTTGCTAGTAATTTTTCTTACAACTTGCAAATTTGGACCGTGACGCCGGCTCGCAAATGATGTCGCGTGATCTTTAACGCCAACCGTGAAGCAGACCGTGCATATTTTGAAAGTTAATGCGTGTGGGGCATTAATTAGGGTGGTTGCTGGATTCGAACCGACAGCCTCGAGATTTTAAAAAGTCTGCAGGTGTTCTCAACAGTATTAAAATGTTAGGTTCTGACTTTGTGTCTTGTGAGCGTAGTGGTATCGCACTTTCCCTTGAGATCAAAGTTGATCTACTTAAGCCCCAAAAACCTTGGTTCCCAAGGACCTTATTGATAAGAGCACTGTTCTCAGAAGAATAGTACATCAGCTGTCTCATCCAGGTCACAGCACAAAAGCTCGTATGGCACTTTTTTCAGAAGGAAAAGGTTTCACAGAAGTGGCAAAGCCAAAAGTAGCAAAAATAGGACTAGGTTGTGTTGATTCAATGCTGTAAAAATCAATGCATTATTATTTCTAATCAATGGGGGACTGCGCTCATAATTTCTGTATTCTCTGAACTTTTCAAAATAAAAAAGAAACTCTATGAAGGAAATAGGAGACAGTCACGTGACTCAGGAAAGTCCTAAAAAATCCATTAAATCATGGCTGAGCATCGCACAAGGCCCTAAACATCGTCATTGTACATGTGTAAAAATCCCTGCATTTATTTTGAACATAATATGTCATGGACTGTATACATATATTTAATTTGCAGTTTATACATTTTAATACATATTTTAGTACAATGCGTTATTAATGGTGATAATTACTGGGTCTCTCGGGCTCTGTTTATTTTACTGATTTTACTGGTTAGTTTTTGCTCCCTTGCCTCGAGGCTCAATCTTCCAAAGCAGCTTTAATTATTAACACTGCAGCAGTCTACATAATGTCACATTCTTTACTTATAATTTCATCTTTGTTCAGAAAAAAAATAAAACATCTCTGTACTTGGTAAAACACGGAGAGGTGAAGATAAATAATAATTTGCTTGTGGCTAAATTGTTTCATAACAAATACATTTGATACGTACCTGTTTAGTATTTTTCGTGTGATAACTATACACGGTTTACATTACTTTCACATTATCTTTGTCACGCCTTATGGAGCTTGGCCACGTCGACATTCGGCCCGCTTTCGGCACTCTGCGAGCCGTCGGCTTACTTGCTTGAATGCATTTGACGAGAAATGTCTCTCTCCCCTGCAGCGGTTTCTCAATTGAGCTAGCCTCGGCCTTCACAGTCGTGATCGCCTCGAACATCGGCCTGCCGATTAGTACCACCCACTGTAAGGTAGGCACGCGTGCGATGTGGTGGCACGGAGGGACTGCCACAGCGACAGAGCACTGCCTGACTGGTCCTTGGCAGCAGAAGAAGCAGCAGCAGAAGCAACAGTAGCAGCAGCAGTAGAATGTATCGATGTATGTTGAACGTCTTTTGTAGCCAACCGCACTAATCGGAGGTGCGGGTGAAGGACAACAAACTAAACACAAAAATCAGTTGTAAAGAAATGAGTTTTCAATCTAGATTTAAAAGAGCATAGCACCAGTGGCTTCCTAATAATCAGCATCAGGTGAGAGGCCGCCTCTACCACCTTCACATTATCACACCTGCAACAGTAATCATTATAGGTTTGTACATGTTTGGTATTCGTGCCATTCCTATAGCAGAAGGCAAAATGTTTCATAGACGAGTATAATCTGCCACTCGTGGCCGATGTTGATATGTGCTATTTTCCAAATTTGGTCAAAATGTTACCCTCGTGACGCCAGTGCACGTGGCCGACTCTTTCTTCGAAGAATGTCGCACGATCTTTAACGATCCGCTATAAAGCGGATGGCGCATATTTGTATGGTTAAAACAACCCGCAGCATTGACCGGGGTGGCCGCTGTGCTCGAACCAAGGACCTCTGAAGCAAGTGGAAAAATATCTGCCGCTCGACCATGTCCACCTCCAGGAAAAATACTGTAAACATTGACTTCTATGCATTGAATTGAAATGTTATCAATTAGTATCATTGTTATTTCAGATCTTAGACGTTAAGTCATATATTTAGTTAATTACACTTCAGGAAATGGCACTCATAAAAAGTATGATAAGGAACAATCATGAGGATCAATATCAGCAGCGCCGTAGAAATGTGAAGGCAGACATTGCGGAAATTAAATTGATGTATCTTGAGACATTAATTTAATTCAAAGGACATTTGCCATGAAATATAGCAGGAAGATAACAGTATGTAGTAAAATAGTCCAGCTCCCTGATAGTGAGGAAGACTTCTGAGTGTGGAGTGCAAAGATAGGGTGGCTTCCTGGAATTCAAAAATATCAGCCCACAAGGATGCGCACTGCCTCCGTCTTATATAGCAAGGCGACACCCATGCCCCTTCCGCAACCTCGGGACACTCAGCAAAAAAAGTGTTTGAGGAATGGACGTGGCTGCCCTGGACTCGGTTTTGGCAAAGTTCTCTCACTGTGCGCCCCTCCGTGCTGCACGCGCGTCACATTTGCACCGTTTGTCTTGACACGTCCGTGTGTTGTTTGTCCTCTTTCTTTTTTTACAGTGGATTTAGTGTTGAGATCAGTTCTGCTTTTACGGTACTCGTAGCCTCAAATGTGGGCATTCCCATAAGTTCGACCCACTGCAAGGTATTCCTGGTTGCGTTGTCCCGTGCAAGGGATGAGCATCAAATTACTTGAGCTGCTGCCACATGGACCTCTGCCTCCACCGAATATCTGTCGCCACAGAGCACAAACAGTCCCATCGCTGGAGGCCAGCTGACGCCTCTTTCATCATCCTCCATGTGACGTGGCACGTTCCAATTTAAATAACCCTCAGCTACCCACAGTGTTACTTGTATTTATCTAAGGAATTTGAATTGGTGCCTTCCAGTTTGCATTGAGATGATGTGGAGACCACAAGCACTCCTCTCTCTTCCCTCGAGCGTGTGGTGCGCTTTCACAAATGTAATGTAAGACAGCTGTGCAGCTTAAACAACACGCTTCAGGGACATCCGCTGTCACTGTAATCTTGGAAAAGAGAGACTTAATTGAAATAATCAGGAGAGTAGAAACCAAAGCTTTTGTCTTAACCTTCCCAACATGTACGGCGATGGCAAAAAACATAACTAGGTTTTTTTTCACCAATTATCGTTTAATTACATTCTCCCTTTGATGTCGTCATTGTGTAGTTGTGGCAAAGCCAGGAATGTGCTGCGTTGTTAGAGAATCAGTCAATTAATTGAACGGAAGCCGAATTGGAAGGGTAGCACTGACTTTCCCCAGACTGCTGCATTTGGCTGTCAGAGCTGGTGATGCCATAGCAGGAAAGCAGATTGGTGGCCATGATTTCACATTACCGGTGCAAAGTAAACCACACTTGCTACGTACAAAATATGTTGCAAGTTGATTGCTACACATTTTTATCACCGACACTCGATGGCTTGCTTCTCTCATGAAGCGGTGACTTGTGTAACACTCGTCAGGTGACTGTGGTTCTCCGACGTCACCATTGGATTGCCTCAGATTTTTTGTTTTCAAACAAATGAAACGTAGCATTCTAAAGTTATTATTAATATTGTATTGAAAATAATTAAAGTTATATTTTTAATTTGTAAGCAATATTATAAAATAAACACCAATTTAGAATAACAAAAGATTGGCTGGGAAGACCTACATCTTCAATACACTGATATTTACACATTTAGGAATTTCAACAGAGGGAATGAGAAACATTGAACCATACATAAATTTTCCCCAAAAATTACCTTTTTGCCACCGATGTACATATTTTGGGTTGCTCTTGAGAAAAGCCCTTGGGTTTAATATCTTGTAAGACATAGACTTAATTCACAACTGCTATTTAAATTATATTTGCCAGTGACTTCTGAATGCCTCTCCACATCGGAGACAAAATTAAAAGCGTCACTCAATGATAATACAAATATTGCTAGAGTGGATATTAAATATGGGTTCCGTCTGGGGGCATGTAAAGTATAGTCCCAAATTTCACGCTAGTAGATGTTTTAGGTGGTGTATACAAGCTGCAATGCGGGGACAGTGTTTGCTCGCCGTGGCTAACTGCAGCAACGCTCGGCTACTATAATTGGCGCTGGGCCACCTATCCGTGCGTCGCTACACACGGTTATAGCAGCATGGCAAACATTGTGCTATCTGCGTTCCCTGAACATATTGTTCGCTGCAGGCAGGACCTTGGCAGCAGCTCGAATATAAATCTGTTCCTGATGAACGACATTGCCAGTGGCGGCATAACGGCAATGATGATTAACATGATTTCCCAAACTTCAACGTGTAATTTTTAATCTGCTATATGTGCAAACCATGTCTGCGTATATACAAGTAGGATTTATTCCAACAGGCAATTGTACAATTTTGACATGTTACCATTTTATAACATGTAATGTTCAAGATATTTTAACCCTGTTGATTTCTCAATTCGATTTTTGATTTCAAGATATAAAACCAAAAAAAAGCTTATTTAATAATCAATTAACCATATTTAACTCGAACACAATTTTATCTTAATACAGCTTTTGATAATTAAAACCTTTAACGTAACAATGTATACCATTTAACTTGACAGTAAAATAATAATAAAATGCGATTTCTTCTGGACGAATAAATGTTAAAATGCGGCTGTGTGCTCGGAGCGCTCGAGTGGTGACACCCGCCCTGCGTGACCCTGGCAGGTTGGCTCCGTGGTGTCCGTGGGCTGGCTGCGGGCGCGCAAGGCGGTCGACTGGCGCCTCTTCCGCAACATCTTCATGGCGTGGTTCGTGACGGTTCCCATCTCAGGGCTCTTCAGCGCAGCCATCATGGCCCTCTTCGTCTATGCTATCTTGCCGTATGTCTAGGAGCGTGTGTGCAAGCGGGAGAGGAGATCCGAGGGTCAGAGAGGTGAAGCTTGGGGGGGTGGGGGGGAGGGGGTGGGAGGATGGAGAGAGAAGGTTTTTTCGTAAAATGTTAAGAAAGTTGCTGAGGTTAGCAAGGTGTAGTTATTGGTTTGACGAGTTCTGTCAGCTTTTGTTGTGGGGCATTAGCTCAGTAATGCAATGCAGAATAGTTGAATGGTAGATTTGAAATTAAAATTACTCAGTCGGCCTTTCTGCGGCTGAGCTACTGCTGAGACCAGAAGCATTCCTATTTGTGCGCACATCCCAATAAGTTAATGATCAGAATTCCCTGCAGCTTTTTGTTAATGCCTACACTGTATCATTAAGATCTGCACTATGTGTAGGGTTGCAGAAAACTATTAAAGAGAAACCACTTCAATTAGGGCTTAGGATTCTGGCTCATCTCTCTTACTGTTGTTTTGTTCGAGTGCACATTATGTATGTGCACTCTACAACATTCGAAACACATCCACATAGTCTGCATACGACAGTTTGTCCTTGAAATAATGTGGGTGGATAATGCCGTATCCCACGTATACTGATTTTTTTTGGGGAACCCCTACAAAATTCTAATTTTTGGAAGAAAAACATTTAAATCGAACTCCCGAAGCTCAAAAACTGAACCTCGTGCGCAACAATGCTGCCTTGTCATAAGCGGAGTCTCCATGCCGCGCAACAACAAAGTCACGTGCCAGGCAGTCCCAGTTGAGTACTCTGCAGTAACTATTCAACACTACTCTACAGTGCCCTAATGCTCCACCACACCTGTAAACCAAGAGTTACGTACTTATAATTTTAGATTTTAATTCACTTGATACCTTAATATTGAATATTACAGTATTTTTTTTATATTCAATATGATTTTTTGAGCACTCAAAATTGTTATTACAAACCATACATGGGCTAAATTTAGTTTGTATAAAAAAAACAAGTTATACCAGGGTACCCACCCCTGAATTACCCCAGTATTTCGAGGACATAGTGTATTATGCTATTCACATCTATTGAAGGACCACAGTCTTTTTTATATGCAGTGCGCCATTTCTGTTGCACCGACAGCCCACACTTTTTAATTGGCTACCGTCGGCAGGAGCAGCAGGCACAACGTATTCCCAGCCATAGGAAAAACAACTTCCTGGCAAGCCACAGAAAGATCCTTTTCTGGGCTCCCAGGTTGAAGAGTTTGGCAGTAGCCTGCTGAATGGAGGTGTAGATCAATAGGTGGCTTGCGTTGGCGTCTACGAAGACAGACAGCACCTTCAAACTCCCATTGTGTCTCCACGTTGTTGTCACCAAGTGCAGTCTTTATTGCGGTCGAGATCGGCCATACATTCGAGCCCTTGCCAACCCGCAACTTTTGAACGATCCCTTTTAACACCAGCATTATATTGAACCTAGTTCCTGCAAACATGACGACATTTAAAGAGCTACCACCGGAGAAATGTACGTGTGTACATATGACGGCCAAAAAATTATAAACCATTGTTGTTTCAATGCTATTTTTGTTATTCACCTGGCAAAAAATATTGAGGTGCGGTACAATATCACATCTGACTTGCCCGGGACAGAGGTATAAACATCTGTAGAAAATTATACTTGCACCATGCACAAATATATTGCCTGACAAAATAAATTCCAGTAAAATTGTGAGGGCAGACATGATCGTCGGATATGCGACGTTGTACTGTACAATCCATTAATGGTAATGCTTTGTAACATTTTTTTGTATTTGTTAGCTTGATTTAACATTTAATTATGTAGACATAAACAAAAAAACCTGTTGAAAGTATTGATGAATTTGTTAAATTAATAACATTTTACAATTCATTTTAGCAAGTTAGCAAACATGACTTTGGTACTTACCATGGTCGTGACATTATTGAGGTTTTCAAATGATTATGGTCGAATGTGGTGACAAAAACCAATCTCGGTTTCGGTGCACGAAAACAGCCAATAAAGAATTCAGTTTAACATTGTTGTACAATACTGTAATACACGCTTTGTATGCGTCCAACCTAAACTATTCGTTCTTGAGTAAATGCAATTATGGTGTGCAGCATCATTTAGGCTTGAGGTACCTGAATCAATTGTCTGTAAACCTGTCATTTTAAATGTTTTCTGATAAATACCTGCATATTCTAATGCCAAATATTTTAAGCTTCTCATACATGTTCATAATTGTACTGAAACGTTTACTTTTAATTCGCATTCATTTTTATAAAACTAACAACATATACCAACTTTCTAAAACGTGGCTTTAACTGTCATAGATCAACTGGATTGTCAGCAGTCGCTTAAGTTATAATTTTGATAAATATGCATAAACAATGTTTCTCCCCCCCCCCCCCCATAACAGAGGGCTTCTGTTAAATATAAGAAGACTCGTAAACTTGATTTTAGAAATATAATCACACAATAAGTTTGCACACGTCTCCAATTACGTATGTTGCATATCACAAATTGCCTCGCTTCTGTGGTCGGGGTATAGTGTTTTTGAATTCATTATGGTAGACTCATCAGTCATCAGTATGAAACTGTATATGGGCTTTGTTAATGCACACATCAGCAGCCACCACAATTCTCAATTGCCTCATGAGGTAAAAAAGACAGCTAATATCAATATTTTAAGCATCTATGACTACACACTTGCTGTTGTGTAGGTACATAATTCATAAGTTATTTTTTAAAATACTGGCACATTACTAGTGTCATTCACTGAATGTTTTTTTTTATCAACTTAAACACCTCCAAGTTACTTACTCGTGCACATACACATGTAGAGGGCAGTGAAAACATTTGGAAATTGAATATAAATTAATTATGCACGTAAAAATTGTTACTTTAAAAGCAGTGAATGCTTAATTGGTGTTTCAAATATATATACTGGATGAATTACGATGTGCATATTTTTTTTAATTCAATGTCTCGTTCTTGAAATGTTTAACTATCCCCCAGTATATGTTGTAAGATTTCCACTTTGCTGTTTAGAAACCCCCCCTTGTTCTTTCGGGGAAATGTTAATGTACTAATGGATATGTAGTTTGTTTCTAATGATTTTGCTGAAATGGTGTGTACGGATAAGACAATGCAATCATCATTAATATTTAAATTATTTTTTTATCTTGCTGTTTTAACCAAATTAATAATGGCACCTTCCAAATGAGTTGTTATCAAAACTTTACCCCTTGGGTTGAGCAATACATAGTTTAAAGTGAGGGTTGGAAAGATCTATATTATACATAGTGGAATATGCTCTAGATGTGTACACAGGGGAGTGGTGCTTGCAGTTTGGGAACTGGTTTACAGGTGTATTTGTATTTTGTACAGCAGTTGCTTTTAGTGTATGAATCATACTATACGACCATAAGTGGTTTATATAATACAAGTGCATATTCTGACTTGGCTTTCGTAACCAGTGTTCAATATGTTCAGTATCATCTAAATAGACGGCTCGTAATTGCATGACAGCACATGAGCTGTGATAATAAAGTTTCCGGGCACACACCTATTGTTGATATCTCCCATAATCTCGCTACAAGATAGACCGTGCACACTGGTAGTGCATAAAGTGTGTGTGTAGAAGGGGGTGGGGGGGGGGATGGTCCCTGCTTTCCATAATGGAAAGTTGATTGAACCCGAGTAAATAAGCCGCTTTCACTGAGAAAACGAACTCGAAAAACGATTTACCTGTCTTCAAAGACCCTGTTGCGGTGTGATCATTGCATATACTGTATATGGTTTTGGGTGTGTTGTAGTCCAGTGTGTCAGATATGTTGGGACACACAAACGGTTAGAACAGGAGAAACACACGCAAAAGATGTGGAAATAAATGTCAATTTAATCCCTTCCTGTAGTGGACTGGATGAAAGATGAATGTATCCAGTAAACGTAGTGACTGAGCTTAAATATCATTGGTCTTTGCTCTATTTGGACCGAGCAAATGGAAATTCACATTTAAAACGTCGTCTGCGGGCATGTTTCCACGTCCTACCGCGCAATGCTACAGGGATTCCCTTGGTAGTGAAATTAAATGAAAAAACATGAAACCAGAGTATGGTAATGCATTTTTTTTTTGAGTTTCGTAACAAATAAAAAAAAATCCCATATGAAATTCAGCGAGTTTAAAACTACCGTTCATATATAGTTTTATTTCCATTAGCAAAAATGTTACTGGGATAAATTGTTTTAAACATAGCATACATACTACACATACTGGATGAGTGATTCATTATTGAAGATTACTTATTGGAAAACAAAAACGGAATTCCTTCAACTGGAAAATGTTTCTGTGGATTTTTTTATGATTCTTGATCAAATTTAATACATATCCCAGATGCGTATCGATTACCTTGTGTTATTTTCATGTTCGCCATCATAAATCGTACATACTAAAAACTACTCCCTCAAATGTGGCGTTTCATCTCTTGATTCAAACTGCCATAGTTATGATTTATCCCAGGTAATATTTCAGAAGACGTGGATATTGTTCCCAATAAGAATTCGGTAAGTTCCAAAGGACATGTGTGTGTACAGACGTGTGGCGTGTGAGCCTACACGACTAGGCCGTTTCCCTCATTCAGCAGATCGTAGAGTAAAACGTTTGAGATTCGACGAAAGCACTTGAAAAGTCAATTAAATCCGTTCAGAATGAAGTGTTGCTGTCCATTCATATGGGGGAAAAATTAGAGGAATGATCATGCGTAGAATGTTGGCAATAATGTATATCACATTAAAATTAATTCAAATAGTTTTTACGTTGGTTTCATATGATCTATAGGGTGTTGCGACCACTTGCCACAGCCACGTCGTCTTATGGCATCATTACACTACTTTTTGATATTCAAGTCATTTTTTTGGTTCTATATTTACAGTACAGCAGTACAATACATGCATACAGACACGTTTATGTTTTGCATGGTGTTGGGTTGACTTATGTTGTTTTGTGACGCCAAATTTATTTTAGAATGTTAGTTTGTTAGATACTTTCCAGGTCAAACTATTGCAGCAGAAAATTATTTTGTTAATTTTAGGAATTACATTTAAGTCATTCATTGGATCTTACAGGCCTGTTGCCAGTAGTAAAACAAACAAAATACTAAACCCTGAAGGCTCCTGCAGGTATTGTATCTTGGAAAGTGATTATGCCTGTAAATATATGAATAGTGAAAACTGTTGCCAAGCCCTCTGGGATGCTGTATTACTTATATAGGCATTGTGTGCGTGTTTGAATTTGTGACTTTTAAAGAAAAAAAAATACTGCTCATTAACTTCATAGGTCTTCCATTCAGTGTTTTTTTTATTTTCTGACAAAATCAGTTTCGGTGTCATGTGTGCAAGTGTACAACAATGTCCTACATTTCGTACTGTAAAAATGAAATGTTTACTATAAATAAACTTTTCGGTTGAACCATTGTTGTATTGGTACGTGTCTGCGTGTTTAATGGATATGCCTTGTAGTTTTAAAATAACCACTCATTGAAAATGCCAAACTTCAAGATCAGCAACATGGATAAATCTGGACCATAATTTCCCAAGTTTGTAAAAAAATATAAGCCGTCCGCTCTGTAAAACTGCTCAAATATGGTGTTCCTTTTCTTACTTCAATCTGGACTTGTGTGGGAAATACTCGTTAATATATGGTGGTAGTTAGCCTCCTCACATATTTGATACTGAACATTTGACTGCAGTGCTAAGCAGTGAAAATGAGCTTTATAGCTAATGGGATTCGTCCAGTATAAATGATTCTTAAAACTACCCAAGAATTAGCCAATCTAATAAAAACTCATGAAAGCATGGTGATTGATAAGCTATCCTCGGTAAAATTGTAACGTGCTTAATACTGGACCAGACATCTACATTCGAGTATATTATACAGAGCAATGTGTCAGTAAATTGGCCGCTTGAATCATTTAATGTTGCAAAGAATTGCGAATCATTAGTCACGTGGAATGACTGATTTTTTAAAGAGATATTTGGCTGTTAATTGGGCACGTGGTTTTTTCCAAGGTGTTAACATCACGAAAAGCAAGTTGCGATACTTTGCCTTTTCCCATGCATAAATCGCTAGATATAATTTTTTGATAATTTTACACATTTTTATTATCAAATTCATTATAATTTGATTCGGTGAGAAGGGAAACTTTTTTTATTTGATTCGGTGATTAGGGACACATTAAATCCAAACTATCTAGCAATGTATGCATGGACATAGCAAAGTATAGTAGCAAATACAATTTTATTCCAAAAGGAATGTGCCTAATTTTCTATCCTGACCGTCAGCAGTAGCTCATCACTCCAGTGTGAGGGAATGTGTTAGGACACATTTTAATTGCAAGACCTCAGGATATCAGTGTTGGGTTGCTACCTGGTCTGGAAAGCTGTTACCACACTGTGCATATTATTTCCACCTCGTGGTGAACGTGCTGAGCAGGCCACTTGCTCTCAATTTCCAGTGTTTGCCTCAATCCACCTGCAATGTCCTTTGCTGGAGGCTGGATAACTCACGGGGTGGACTATTTCTTCAATTGGAGCTATGAGCCACCACGTTTGCGACACGTGAACCCACTGCAATCGTGTACGGATATATGCAGGGCAGTCCCCTGGAGATACGCTTCAAATTGTTTTTATGGAATGAATGTAATGTGCACTGATGCCTACTTTATTGAGGGCGATATTGGCACGTAAAATAAAGATTGAACAGAATGCAGCAACTTTTTTTTCTCGACCAAATATGTGCAGCAGAGCATATATATGAATCTGGATATATAGTTACGGGTTCGGAAACAATGACCAAACACATTGCAAGACGTCCAATATCAAGTTTGTTTCAACACTGCAGCTGTTGCGGCAATAGAAACGGCAAGCCCTGTTGGTCACTCACAATCTATTTCCTGATGCCAAGCAATTAAACGTGATAGAACGCTAGTGATGTTTGAAGTTATTAAAATGGTCATTGTGGAATGATGGGCTGTGTGCAAATGAAGCTTGATATTTCTCCTACTTGCTATATTACTCTGTCAGTTTTTTCTTGCTCTAATATACAGGACACTGCATATAATCAAAGTTTTTTTTTTTAAGATCTTGGCAAATGAACGGTATAGATTAAAATTAAAGCATCCCACCAAAGTGTTAATGATCTATTAAACACTTCGGCTTTCGCGACCAATATTCATAACGGGTTTTTTTGGATTAAATCGCGTAAATTTGTCTTTAAAACCACCCCAACCCGATATCGTGTCAAGTGGCTGTCATGTGTAATAATGACATTGCACACATGACGACATGTAGACATATACTTTTTGCAGAGGTGTGGACTCGAGTCATGTGACTTGGACTCGAGTCAGACTCGAGTCATGAATTTGATGACCTTCACGGCTCGACTGACTTGGACTTGCATAACAATGACTTTGTCCCACCTCTGAGGTGTGGACTCGAGTCATGTGACTTGGACTCGAGTCAGACTCGAGTCATGAATTTGATGACTTCAGACTCGACTTGGACTTGCATAACAATGACTTTGTCCCACCTCTGCTTTTTTGTATCCATTCCCCGCTTGGATGAGAGCCCTCAGCATTCCGCACCTCCGATGGGCACAGTTGGGCTACGTACGGCGCGAAAGAAGTTCAACACATTCACACAGCGTGCTGTTTGGGTCATTGAGGGGCTTATACTGGTCGGAACTCCTGGTTACACCAGCCCACAGGAGATTATTGTGTCCGTTGTGCAGGGAGGGGCTGGGTGGGGAGGGAGGGGCTGGGTGGGGAGTGGAGGGTGGGGCTGGGTGGGAGGGGCTGGGTGGGAGGGGTGGGGCTGGGTGTGGAGGGGAGGTTGGGGAGGGGCTGAGTGGGGGTTGGGAGAGGTGGGGATGAGTGGGAAGGGGAGGGGCTGGGTGGGGAGGGTGGGGAGGGGCTGATCACCCCGTGGTGCCCTTATAAAACTCAACGTTTAACCTACTCACGCCGGCTTGTGCCCGCCCTCACAGTCGGGCATATTTGCGGAATACACCACGCCGCCGTTGACCCTGGCCATTGACCAACGTTACTGCCAGCTCCCTCCGCAGGAATGTGTTTTGACCGTACTTCGAACCATGCTGGTCAATGTGGGGTTGACAAATGGGGAGAACAGAACGTGAGCATCACGGCCCAACAACAACAGCCTCACACAGCGCCTGCGAGAACATGGCCTGCATTGGTGGTCACCCATCCACGCACAATCCCGGCTAAGCTATTGTTTATCTTCGGAGATCGGGCACATTCCATGGTGAATTAGTCATAGGGCTTGTTTTGATACAAAGTACTGTATATATTCTTCGCAGTTGCCAGCCTTTTTATATAAAGTGTGTTCGTTTGCGAGATCCGGATTGATTACACGGGTCCAGACCAAGCGAAAATGTCACAGCTATCGCCGCCTGCAACTAGCAAGGTTATTTACTTCAACCCGTTTCCTCGGATACAACAGCCGTGCGACGTCAACATACACAGCTGGTGTGGTCACTCAGGCCATTTCCTTTGATCCCATGATGCTATTTAGGTGACTTAGCATGGTGCACGAAGCACGCATTGTTAGAGTATTGATGTTGATCAGGTAAGGGGGGAGGATGTAGGCTCTTGAGTCAATAATACATGTTTAAAATGAACACGAAAACAAATGTTGCTTTACAAAATGAATATCAAGAGTTATGTTTTTTGTTTGCATTATGACTGCAGGTATTGTGGTCTATGCAAACGTGACTCCTGGTAAAAAGGTCAGTTTTGTTGCCAGATAAAAGGGTAAAAAACAATTATCTTACAAAATGAAGTTGGGAAAAACAGCTTGGGTAATAAACTACTTGCCAAACGAGAGTCTCCACCTGTTAGTGGGGGGGAAATCAGACGTGAGCAAAATGGTTCCTAACTTCATCATGAAAAACATCACAGTATTTATGGCACGACTCTCGATTCCTACCATTAGATATGAATCAGTTCACTAATAATTGGGGGGGGGGAAGACGAAAACAACAGATTTTCGACCTGTTCAAACATTTTATACCCTGTATGAAGATTGTGCTAATATACGAACATGCCGATATTGCAAAAAAACACACCTAACATGGGAGCCTTGGCCTCTGTCCAATTTTTTTTATAACATCAATGCCAGTCAAGGGTGTGGGATGAATCCACACCCAAGCGCAGTTGGTTTAAGACCCCATCATAAATAAACCACTCACCTCATTGCAAGAGGGCAATAACCCCCACACTAAAACGAATATTTAGTTTTCACGTATCACGGTAAGCTCAGAGGTTTTAGTCGATATGGGTAGGTACCACAATAGAGGTCTGCTTATATACGGTATATATATATGGACTGTATATGCGTGGGATAATTTAGCACAGCCCACTTCTCGGGAGTTAAACATGTGCTTATTCAGCAAATAATTCTATATTAAATATTTTTTAAAGAAAACTCCAGTTTTCTGTAAAGATGTGAAAGTTCCATTTAAACGTCAGAACATCTATACATTTGGTTTCGGACATGGCAATAATTTTAAAATGGTGAATAAAGGGGGGTGTTTTTATCTTCCTTAAAAACATTAATATAAACTAGCCAATGTTCTTATTTAATAACAAAGTGCTGAGGACTTGGAGACCCAAGGCATTTCCCCAATTGTTCCGACTGCACTGCAAGTGGCGATAGCGCCACCGTGTGGAGGCTGCTAGCAGCTGCGTGTGAAATGTCAAACGTGGCACTGTAACCAAAGCTGCTCCTACGTTGACGGACGATCATACATTGTGGATTGTTGCGCTCGCGAGGGTTTGGTGCACTGAATGCGATTTAGGCACAACACAATATACACTCGTGACCCTTTAAGCCTTAAGTAATGTCACATGGACTTTGAAGATCGGCCGGTGCACACAGCATGGGCACACACACAGGTTCTCCATCAGCTTGGTGTCATTAACACCACCACGCTAAGACAGTCTGCAAATAACACTGTTCAAATTTACTGTATCGGAATAAGGGTGTGCGATTCTATTTTAACACTGGATTTGTGTAGAATGTGTGCAGTTAAAAAGGTTTTTCAAGCACAGAACTGTATCGATTCCAAAAGGTCGTACGCTGCTCTCTGCAACCACTCCCAACATTTAGTGGGTCCAGATTTGCACACACCCTTTTCAACTTCACCCTGCATGACACGTTTATATATATAAACAAATCAAGTGCCAACTGTTATTTCGTAAGGCAATCAATACCAAATCATAACATTCATTTGCCCTCAAGTTTTATGAATGGATTTTGATCACTGCCATAATGCGATTGGTTTAACGGTTGTTTTTCTCAAAGGGTTCATGGAAAAGTGCTCGTTTGAAAATGTGACCTTGTCAGCAAAACATTAAAAGCTATAGGGATACAAATGTAAAGTAGAAAACGTCACAGTTGGCTACGTATGGTGCGAAGGAAGTTCAAACATCCATACAGGACACACTCAATGACAGTACTCAGTGCAGAAAAAGCACCCTTTACTCACCTGCTTCAAACAGCTCAGTATTCACCAGACTCACCAGGGCTGCCCAGCATACAGTGCCCATACATGAAACGCAGCCAAACAAGTCTCTTTTTACTGTTTCACCTCGTAGTAACGTAATGTTTAGGCCCTTATATCTTCAGTGATCAGTAAACTAGAGGCTGTCACAGCGATTCCCAAAATCACAAGAAATATAAGGCCCTAGACATGCACCTCATGGTCTACACAAACATCACCGTAATTTCATTTCTTCACCTTAATCTTACAAGCTAGATTATTTACGAGGTGAAATAAAACGTTTAAAAAAACTATTTAAAAAATGGTAATTCACAAGGTGGATGCATTACACAATTGGTAATTTGGCAACACCTTGTCGATGGACCTGCATGTAAAATTATAACAAATGAATCAACCATTCTTATAGCTGCTATTAAATACCTTACTATATGGAGGTTTTTGTGCAGTTGCTATCCACTCACTCCTGCTCACACAAAGATTGAATAGCCGAGTTAATATCCCACACTGCGCTCAATGCAAATTTAACGCAACACATGCCAACAGAATTCATCTGACCATTCGCCATGCCATTAAAAAAACGTAATGCTTACACTTCTCCAAAATTATTTTGTAAGATGCTCATCTTTACACCAAGTAAGCATTTGAAACATGTTACTGGAAATGTTAAGTGCTAAATATAAGATCGTGGATTGCTGAATTTGCCATAATTAGACAGAGCAGTCATTTTGATTGTCATAGTGACAATTTGCTGTGCAAGTCTCGTTTCTATAACACATAAGTACAGGGTTCCCACACATCAAGTACTTAAGTGCATCCACATTGCAATCAGAACTAATGTATTGAGGAAGATTTCATACCAAACACCAGATATTAACCACTGCAAGTACCAACTCTGCGGTTTGAATTCCTGAAGACTTTTTGCTTATGGCAATTCAATGACAATTCATTTTTCACTCACTCGGGTACATTCAGCTACATCTTGGCACTCAAATTATATATCGCACGGTAATACATTAAAAGGAACGTTAAATATAACTTTAAATACAATGTTCTCATCTTTCGTATAGTATTTTACATGAAACCGAAGCAAAATTAATAACACATCTGCTGCATACCTGTGTTCCAATGAATACAAGCTCATATCCATCTGTCAGTTGGTAATAGTTGTTTACTAGGCACAACTTATGAACAAACCAAGGTCCAAGACTTACTGCATGCCGATGTATACAAAACGTCATGCAAGTGTTAGGGTAAACCATCCAAGCACGATTTTATTCATTAGCATTCATACACACAGCAGCATAATAGGCATAGTTTCCAGAAATCACCGCAGTTTGGTTTTTCTCTCTTTTTTCGTATTTTTAACTATGAAAACTGTTTAATCTGTGCCGTGTTCAACTTGAGACATAGCCACTTGTGTTCGCGGGAAATTAAAAGAACATACAATCCTCCTCCATTACAGCTATATACACGAGTTACAGTGCCGCTAGGAATATAAAAACAAAAAAAAGATGGAAGATGCATACTTGTGACAATATACAGTAGAGTGTCATAGCAGAAATATTACCAATTACTGAATGAAAACAAAGGTTCACTAGTAACAACCATAACACAGGCAGGCTGAATTAACTCTTTGGTAACATAACCTTCAACTTTCGTCTTAAATAATAGAACGGTGGTTGGAAAATGTTCCAATTGCAATTTGACATTTTTAATGGGCTTAGACTGAAAATGCACTTTGTTGCGTTCTAGTAATTACTGTTTTAAGTACCATTGCTCTCCTAATTTTTGTTTTACGTGTAAACTATTTTTGTAGTCTCAAGTTGGAGATTATGAACCTTGTACAATGACCAATCAAGAAATGAAACTTCAGACATCACCACCCCACATAAGCATGCAATAAGTAAATTAAATTTATTTTATTAAGTCAAAAAAATACCAAACTTTTGCCTTTTGTAACAAAACAAGTTAACAAGTCGGGAGATCGTGTGATTCAAATAAAGTTTCCATTTTTAGAGAAAGAAGCTACTTTCAAAACAAAACACAGCAACCTGGGAAGGAATAATGCAACATATGAAACCGGTTTAGTGCTGAAAACGTTAAAACGACTTCCATTGGCATTGTGCAGCTTATCAAGCTGATCAATGAAGAAAAAGTGCCATAATTTAAGAAAAATAACGTTAATAAACTCTGCCTTTTCCATAGCCATCGCTGCTATGATTAGGTCACAAGTGTGGTGATTTGGTTTAATTACTAGTGAACCTTACCGATCCCCAGCGAGAGTATTTTTTTTTCCATTAACCGACCGTCACTGACAGATACAGCAGAGGGGGCATGTACGGCGTGGGGTGGCACACTGAGCGCCATCAAAGAGGCGGCGGGGGAGGCTCCTTCACAGCCCGGTGGTCTGCCAGGCTCAGCCCGTCGAGGGCTGGAATCTCACTGGCTGGGCGGCTCCCTGTGGAGGCCTCCCGCACAGGAAAGAAATGCGCAGCCGCGGAGGGCACATCGCTGGCCGTGAGGTCGCGTGGGAATGGGGTGAAGGAGGTGGCGCCACCGAAGAGCGATTGCTCAAGCCACGGAAAGGCTCCACCACCCATGAGGAAACTGTGCTGCTGCTGCTGTTGCTGCTGCTGCTCTCCTCCGCCCTTGTCATCATCGTGCTCGACGTCCGCAACGCGCAGCAGCGATGAGAGCAAAAGCTCTTGTGTAAACAGGCTATGATCAGCACGCTCGCACTCCAGGGCCTGCTGCTCTACGTCGCACAGCTGACCCTCGTTTAACCTGCATCCCACACGCAAACACACACACATTTCACATTTAAGTTATTGCAAGCAGAGTTCCCAGAATATGGGGAATAGAAAAAAATAATTGCATGTGTGACTAATACTACACATCACGATATTAATGTGAGTGTTTGCCTGCTAAGGCAGTGGTGCTTTTACACAAATTGTAACAAAAAATGTCAACCCAGAACAGACCTGTCAAGAAGAAAAGGTGAGTTTGCTGCCCCTGATTGCCCACTCTCTCCATTGTTGTTGTTATTTGCAACAGACTGCTGCTGAACCAGGCTTGCACCGTGAGCTGCGGCTGAGTTGTTGTTCTGCCGGGCTTGGCTACGCGCTTCTCCGCCCTGCTGCTGTTGCTGCTGCTGTTGCTGCTGGTGACGTGCCGCCTGGGCTTGCTGTCGCTCCAGCTGCAGTTGCATGTGGATCTGCTGCAGCTGTGAGGCCATCGAGCCGGCAGGGTTGAGCGCGCCACCTGCCACGCGACGCACGCCTGACAGCTGGGATAGCAGCTCTGTGACCGTACAGAGAACAGACAGTGTCATGCGGAACACACTGCACACAACTCTTAACGAAACCCATTGTTGTCACCTACAACTATTCGGATAGGCCCCTCCCCATTTCAAACCTTGCACTCGACAATCCTTTCCAATCATCAAACTTGTGCATTCAAATCCGAATAAAATAATGAAATATCACAAGCAACTGAGGATGTTTTGAAAGCAATGTACTCCTGAATGTTACATAAAAAATATGCACAATAAATGCAATTATGCCCAGATGACAAGGGGGAGAGACCCGTTCTTAATTAATTGAATCCACTTGTACACTTACAGGATCAGCAGTGAGCGATGAAAACATTAGGGCATTTAAAATCTGTCAGATTCAGAGATTTCCTATCTTGTAACAACATATCCTTGTAGCGTAATAACACTTGGTTATTAATCGCTAAATGCCGAAAAACAATGAAGTCTACAGCTGCAATTATACATTGTATGTAATATTGGTTTATTACATCTAATACTAAATAGTATCTTTTAGGTGTTTTATCCATCCGTAGAATGTCCAGATATTAAATGTAAAAATGTACTTTGTGCATATGGACAAACTGACCAAGAGTGCATGTACACGCAAACTCAAATATAACCTGTACGTATGGCCAAACAAGTCCAGTGTCACGCGTTTACACAATGTCACAAACATAGAAAGCCCAGATATAGCCCGCACACTGTAACTCTTCACGCAAGTATATATGGCGGGCAGCTGCAACGTAAAGCTCAAAGTCCTTATACAGCACTTAAAAATGTTATATTATCTTTAAAGTATCCCCTAAGATGTACATACACACCTCTGATATTCCTCAATAAGACAGATGTTTAGTTTAACACTAAATAGAAAGCACTTTTTACAGTACTGCATCCATTGCCACCACACTGAAATATCTATGGGTCTCCACACCCACCACGCCATGCTACCTGTAAACCACTCTTCCAAAGACTACAAAGGCCTGAACAGTTTTACTGTTAAATGCTGGTAACGGTAGGGGATCCGATGCGTCTAACAATGCGTCCCTCATAATTGAGTTTGCTCCTGTGCGAGTGGGAAACTTTGTGTCATGGCAGGCACCAGGTGCTTTGCAGCCGTGGTATACCATGGAGTGGAAACAGATCAGGGAAGAAGTGCAGAAGAGTACATGCAAGTCGTAGTGATGTATTGAGGCAGCAAGAAGAGGAGCACATGTTCCCAAACAATTACAAAGCCTAGGGCTTGAAGACGATGACCATGTTTAGCATGTAGGCTTTCGCGACCAATATTATGCATAATAAAGATTTTGCTGTTGTTACATCGTGTAAATGAGTCATTAAACCCTTACTAATTGGATGATCGGGTGGCGGTGGTAGGTCTAATGCAACACATTCACGCGTTCTAACCCCCCCCAAAAAATACATAACGAAGACCATGGGGGCGCCTCTGACGTGTGCGCTAGCGTGCTACCTGCTATGGGATCCATTGCCTCGCGGGCGCTGGGAGAGTAGGATCCCTGCGAGGCCGAGGAGCTGGAGAGGCCCCCGCCACCCGTCGAGTTCCCTGTAAAGTGCATATTGGAGCGGCGCACGCGCGTCACGCCGATTCCCCTGCCCGGGTGCAGCACTCGACGCATGTGCCGGATGCCACTCGAGTCGTCGTGAGAGAAGTGTCAAGGATTCAAAAACCAAGAGGCATCGAAAGACGATTTTCATATGACTGTACATACCTTATGTAGAGTCTCTAAAAGTATAGTTCAGTTTCATGCCTGGCTGGTTATAGCAATTGTGACATTTCTGTGGAGATTGCCTGCGAGCAAGAATTAATCAATCAGTGCATTCTATGACATTGTGTGCCAAACAGATGTTGGACACGTGCTGAACATCATTTCACTTGGGTAATGGACGAATGCATTACAACTATGCCATTTAATATCCAATAAAGCAAATGTACAAACTCAATAGATCAAAAAACAAGTCGACATCTATAAAATAAATTGTGAACCTAGAGCAACAGCCTATGATGGGTGCCCTATTGCTGGGAAAGTATAAATGAACCAAAAATAGTCAAGCAAAAGGGGGCATTCATTGTGCAGCCTCCATCCCAGCTCGCAAGAGCCAGCTTTCATAAGATTGAGCTATTTTCTTTAAAATTTCAATATTGTCACCCCATAAACGTTATTTTTATGCCATCTTGGAAAATAAATATTTAATTTGTGCTTTTGTGGAAACAGTAATTTCAAATAAACTATATGTCTATTCATACAAATCTGAAATTAAATCACTAAAGTAATTTCGACAAAAAAACCTTTCAATCCACCGTAAGCCAAAACACAAGTGTTTGCAGAAGCATACAAAACATTCGGAATTGTCAACTCCACACCCAACATATTTGGCAAGCCAAAGTGACTTGATTGCAAAACTTTAAATAAATAAAATCAACATTGTGCTATAAGTTGTAGCAGAATACAGAACCGACTTCGTTGTTAGTCCTGAAAGATGTCCAATTTTAAGTCAATGCTAATTCATACGGTAAAAAACATAATTAACAATTAAGGAGGGTAGGACTATATTAAAATCGTCATAGGAAAGAAAAAAAAACAAAGAAGTTCAACAAAACATACATAAACGTGATGATACACCCCAAACAGAGAGCAACTTCAACCAAAAGGATATGATGTCTCGCGGAGTTCTGTGTTCGACTGTAAGGTGTGCGGCGAGGTCATCCGTCACGTGATTGGGATCCCCTCCGGGTAACGCCGCACACACTGGGCAAACCTGCGTGATGACATTACACAGGCTGACCGACACCCTCACCCAAATGTCAGGGCGCATCAGACTGATAATCGTGATTAACAAACGTTTGACTGATCATTACGCATCATAAGATGGGCACTGTTACGCTTTGAAAAGCAGTCTCACTCATGATGATCTAAAAACTGCAACATGAGCTTTCAGAAGCACTTCGGCGGCCATCTGGACCGCTCTTCCTCCCGATATTTGGAAGCAACTGAAGCTATGCACTTTTAAATAATCGAGATTGAAAACGAATTTATATAGAACTTTTTGTTTGCTTGTTGTCCTTCCGCTGCACCTCCAATTAGCACGGTTGGCTACGTATGGTGCGAAAAGTCAACATACATACATCTGCAGGCTACAACTTTAGCATACTGCTTGAAATAAATGTGTACATAATTTAGGTATTAAAAAAACTTTCCACAGACTGTCAGTGGTTCTTAAGTAAAGCATTCGTTGTAGTTACATGATTCACATTTCAACAAGGACAATTTAATGTATATATTGATACAATTTGGAAGAAATTTCAAACTGTGATACATTCTGAATCACACTGAATCACTCATTCTCCTGGTAATGGGTCATATGCTGCCAGAGGTAGAATGAGTTTAAATTTTCAGAAGAAGTGTACATATCAAATTAACTTGGTAAGACTTATGAGCATAAAGTACAGTAAAATCGTCTGGTAGTTACACAAGCTATGATGGTTAACTGGACTTACTGAAACCTATCAAAATTGTAAATGCCAGCTGTTATAAACACATTGTAAATAAGTTAACAAACGTTAATATAAAGAATACCAAAAAGAATACTGCACGTGCAATTCTACAACATCAAGCTTTTTGCATTGTCACAATATTGATTTTTCAGAAAGGCCTGGATGACGTCGATAATCAGAAGATATTTGTACCCAGCAAGAGAAGGAATGACTGTAAATGGATATATTTTGTGCAAGGCAAACCATGCATAGATGTACATTAAAGCGTACACATCTGTGGTTAAACACCAAAAAACGTATTCTTTGGGTCTTTCGGTAGTCACATAGATGGGTTCAAATTAATTTTTAAAAATGAACAAAAACGTATTGCAAATTTAATGCTGGATTAGAAAATTAACACACTGCATATCTATTTACATAAAACCTATTTCTTGGTAGATACATAAACTCATTACTATCTACGGCCCTTTGGTCAATCCACTAAGGGCCTCCCCACTCAGTGCGGCTCGTGAGGGGTTATTGAACCACATCTCACCACGCTGCTGTGTGTGGATTGGGGGACAGCAATAAACACAAGCATGGGAGCTGCCTACAATACAGCTGTGCTGATGCTCATGAAAACCTGTCGTGCATGGTGGTCCATCCATCCAAGGTGATCAATCCATCCAGGCTAAACCCTAGTTAGCTTCCAAGCACTTATCAGATTGGGCACAATTTGGGTGATTTGATCACTCGCTAGCCTAAATCTTTATTTCAAGGTCGGGCAAAGGTGGTCCTGTAGCAGTACACATTCAAGTCACAAAAATTAAACATGCAACCAATGTCAAATCATATTTTATATTTAAAAAACGACAGTGTGCTTGGCACGTACCACCTCAGTGGAGGCCTCTGCGTGCTCTGATGTGACGTGCTCTTGAAGAGTGGCCTCCGTGAGACCCATCTTCCCACAGTAAGGGCACGTAAATGACTGGGGCTGCTCAGCAGTGAGTGCCTCGCCACCGTAATACAGATCTGCAGCACGCACACACAACGCATGTAAATGAGAAACTGTATAATTGGAAAAACGCACCTCGACTCCAATTAGAAAATGCATTTACATCACACATGCCGCATGCTGAATTCTCAATGCACGTGATGCTTACAGCTTACTGTTTGGAATACAAATCATATGAATGTAGTGAAAGTTAAATCTCAATATATCTGAACCCAATTGACCGACTTGTTCATAACGTATTGTGTGATGTGCAGTGGTGTGCTAGCACAATTAACAAAAACTCAACATTCATAAAAAACACTGACTTACAAACAATCGACTTATGAACTTTCAGAGATACTAACAAACCTGTCATATGTCAAGAACCAGTGGCATCTACATCTGCAGAACATGAAGATCCAGTGGCATCTACATCTACAGGAGATTCTACAACTTTTAAAGCCATTCCCCTTGTTTGGTGTGCACGCCATACAACATGTCTGGAATCGACAGGACTAAAGTTGGACTTACAAACAGACTTCTGGAACCTAACTCATTCATAAGTAGAGGAGTTCCTGTAATCGGCAACGTTCTAGGCAACGGTTCTTCATAGCATACAAAACTTCCAAGGGCCATTGCCCAAAACGCTATTGATTATATATTTAGTTATTTAAATTAGTGTTCTTGATTAATGTGTTCAGTTTTTATTTGAATATTTTTATTCATGGATGCACCTCCAAATTTATTTGCTCATTGTTTTACTTTTTCAATATAATGTATCAAGTGTCCATGGAAGGCTACGTACGGTGTGAAAGAGGTTCAACATGCATGTCATAGCAATAAATTAATTTACGCATTTGGTACATAATCTGATACAACTAATGGACAGTTTAGTTTTACCAAGACAACACTGCCATCTGGTGGTTCGTTCAATACTTAAACGTGGGTTTTAGGCTGATTTTTTTTTATCCTCTCCAGAAGATACATCTAGTAGCGTATTTTCCCGCATAACCCGCATATGCAAATACCCGGCAAAATAGCGTTTTGTGTAAAACAAATTTCAGATAGCCCGCACCTCCATATACCCCGCAGGGTCTTGTTTTGTTTGTAAAAAGTGGGATACCCCACGGGTTATATACGGGAAAATACGGTACTGTACCAAGTATGTGTTTGTATGGCTCAAGTATAAAAAAAAAATTACACCTCAGGAATGTGTGATTTTGAAATGCACCATTAACTACAGATATTAACTGAAATCATCAATTTTTATTCATAGCCAATATTGTAAGTTTGAGAAAGCATCCAAAATGTCACAACAACAAAAACCCATCAACTACTATTCATATAACAAATTAACATAGTAATTATGGTAAATAAAATCAACTGAACAGCTCAGCTCCCTGAAGCTCATTACATAGATTCTGTGCTGTACAGCATAAACACCAAAATCACATCAAGGTCACATGTAGAAAGTCTGAGAACACTTAACAGCATCTGGATTCAGTGACCATTAGAAACATGAGAAACAAGGTCAGAGAGTGTTGTGGGTGCCACCAGTACCATGCCTTATTTATTAGGACGCTAATAGAGTACAAATGCTCAATTATAACACAAGTCCAATATGTAAACTTTATCCAAATAGTGAAACCAACAAATGAGACTAAGAGTAGTGACAGACAACAGTGCAGGATTCACCAAAAAATAAGTAAAGTGTCGTCCGTGAAATAGAAGCATACAATTTAAAAATACTTTCACAACATTTTATGCATGCAAAAACAGACTGGGGCTGAGATTGTCTATACTAGGACTGACTTATCGTGGGTGTTTAACATCACCGTTATTAATACCATAGCATTTATATGTTTTGATTGTGAATTTACTAAAAAAATATTTGCAAAGCAATTGTATCAGCAATGTTGATTATAAAATGCTACAGAATCCAGTAATAATGCTAAATGAGAGACGCTGCCAAATTGTCATTGCAATGAGCAGATGGCAGAGTAACAAATGCACTACACTGAAAACAATGCGACTAAAATATTCATCAAGTAAAATTTAAATAACTGGCTTGGTCATAACTACAGAACATCACAAATTAAGTAAAACAAAACACTGTCCCTTCCCTGGGCCTGACATGTGATTTTTTACTCTGAGAGAATATACTCATTTTCATCAGGTGCTTGTCATTGGGATTTTAACCAACGATCCACGTGGGTATAATAACCATAGTAAATATGCGCCGCCTCCTTCACAGTGCAAGTTAAAGTTCCCAGCGTCAAGGTTCAACATTTGAACCTTATAGTGGGACCCCGAGGTCCCATAAGCCCCAGGCTCTCGCATAAACTGCGTTGCGACGTCATTTTATGTCTGTTGAAGGCAAACGATACGGCAATCTATTCCTCTCGACAAGCTCCACACAATGCGCTAATTAAAGTTTTGTTCATAACTATGGAATTTTGGCGACGGGTGCTTGGTGAAAAACGAGAGGATTGATTTCTGGTGGGTCGCGGCATTTATGTGCGCGGTGGTACGGGGTGGCCAAAAATAAATTTATTAATTGCGATTTTGACTTCCGTGTATACGGGACCCCGAGGTCCCGCCATAAGGTTCATTTTTACAAATTCTAAAATTATCCACAAATTATGCACTTGGGATTATACATAGCAATTATTGCCCCCATCTGGCAGATTAATGCCCTAGGTTACTCTTACAAATGAGCGACTATCCTGATCTCTCGAGCTCCTACCTGGTTAACCAGAATACACTTGAACTTGAGTCAGTACACCAATCATGTGACCATCTTTCATTAAACTTGAGCACACGTAGGGTGAGATTACGCCTATCAAAAATTAATATTCATTTACTCGCCATAACGCATTAACGCACTCGGCAAACACAAGGAATAATCTCAATGTTAGCATGCTGACTTTAATTACCATGAGGTAAATTAGAACAAGCCTAGAGCCACCTTACAAGCACATGTTTACAGAGATGTGCCAGGACATGATGATCTAGTCATGTATCATGCAAGATGCCCCAACTTAAAATAGATGATTGTACACGTTAAAGAATCAAAAGCCTACATAAGAAACAAATATTCAATCAATAACCATCAATATTTAAAATGTCAACAATATCTGAAAAACACAAGCTTGTCTACAATGAGCCGATATTCCCACCAATAAGCACATTTGTGAACTGTAAAGTATATTGTTTAAAATGTAACCCTGATTCAATGAAGTACTGTTTAACACTAACAATAGCGATGCTGCTTTTACCGAAATCCTTTCTAATATAAGGAAGATAATGGATAAGATTACGCTTGAGACACATGTTATTCATACTGAATCTTAAGAACTTTAAACATGGTCCGGTCAGACTTGGGAAATTTGCAGCAACCCACAAGTACATGCTTCTCAGCAATTGCTAACAGTGACGAGTGATGCCTAAATTGGTTCTGGTCCCCGTCAACCCCCTTCACCAATTGGCACTGCCCATCATGATGAATTATGCTCAAACAACACCTCAGCTCAACAGTGTTAGAGAAGCTTTCATTCACAGTGGATTAACCAAGAGCTGTAAATATTACTGTATTTAAAATGTATAAACCTTTGCCAATCCACTCGCGGATGAAGGCATCCCCATGCGTGCAAATGAATGCTAGTAATTAATTTTTTCTCAGGTTTCTGTTTTACAGGACGAGTAAGCATTGTTATTGCAGAGGAGATAAGATAGAGTAGAAACTAAAAATCACAAATATGTATGCTGCATGATCATGATTAGAGAGCATCTCTTTAAAATAAAATGTTAGCCTATTTGTTTCTGTTATAAGTCAGTGTGTTAATTTCAAATGTGGTTGTTTAATTTGTATTAAAACAATTCTATGGGCCAATAGTTTTCCTGTGCAAATATTTGCAATAAACAAGTTGAATGCAGTCTAGTGTAGGATAATACTGTATGTTGATAAATGTCCAAAATGTATATTTTCTTAAGATCGCCTGAACCATTTTTTGCTTTGTCTATGTCACCACCAATATAAATGGGTACATTACAGTTTGTAAATCAGTAGGTCACTCCTTCCAGGATCTGGCAATCATGGAATGGCAGGGCAAATACCCTCTGGAGGGGCTCTCGTGAGCTCCTTCAAGTGTACATTATTCTGCCAACTGTGGCATGAACAAGCAATTGCAGTTTCACCTTTACCTGCTTATGTCCTCTGAATAGCGCAATATTTACATATTAACTGGCAAAAAATCTAATTTGTGTTACACATTCACATTGCTACAAAACAATCGCACAAATTTCAGCCGTAATAAAAAAAATTCCACTGTCTTGCATTATAAACAACAGTCCCTTATTTTGTCAATGGGAGCGCCCGGCAAAACCTCCAAGATGTGGCCTTACCGAAGTCGACACGTGTGAGGATACACTGCATGGGATGGTCCGCGGCGTGCCTGGACGTGGTAGCGCCGCTTTCGTAGCACGAAGCGCACAGGTCGTAGTCGTAGCAAATGAGACACTTGTATCGCCTTCCGCGGAAGTTACCTTTCATGCATGCGTCGCAGCTTACACCTGTACGTACACAAAGAAAACATGTTAACAACCTAACACCTAAATTCACAAAAGCTTGTAACACATTCCTGCAGAGGGAGCTGGTAAGAAGGAACGTTGGGTTGCCCGACTGTGAGGGCAGGCACAAGCCGGCGTGAGTAGGTTAAACGTTGAGTTTTATAAGGGCACCACGGGGTGACCAGCCCCTCCCCACCCAGCCCCACCCCCCACCCTCCTCACCCAGCCCCTCCCCACCCAGCCCCTCCCCACCCTGCCCACCCAGCCCATCCCTCCCCACCCCCTCCCTGCACGACAGACACAATAATCCCATGTGGGCTAGTGTAACCAGGAGGTTCCTACCAGTATGAAGGTCCAATATGCAATCAATTGAGTGTGAAAATCAGTATTATAAACCATCCAGTTAACTAATATTAACAAATGGATACATTTTGAGTGGCAAACATAATAAATGAAAGTCATTAAAAAATTACACAATTATTGACTTAAGTGGTGGCATTGTTGTTAAAAATATATAGGGGTACATACATTTTTTAAGCCATATAAACACGCATTAAATCATCACAAGAGATCTCAATTTCATTAAACATTTCACATCCACTTAGCTATAACCACAAAATTATCTGCAGAAATGTCAAATTTGTAAAACAGCAATATATTTGTATGTGCGATGTGTTACTGGTACCTAATTTCCATTTTGGGCTCCCCTGAAAGGCAGGGGGATAGCTTGAACCTTGTGAAAATGATATTCTGAATTGGTGATCTCCTACATATGCAGTGACCAATGAGTTTAGTTAAAAAAAATTTTACTTTGTTATTACAACACTTTCATCCTTCGTAGACCACTAGATAAGAATACTATGAAAGTTTAGGCCTTACCCTGTGCAGGCAGCAGATAATATTCAAAAGTGGCTGTATAGTTAAATGGTCATGAATTGCAAAAATGCAAAACATTATTCCTGCCTAAAGGCTTTAATATCTTAAGAACATTCTGGAAATTTAATTAAACAAAAAACCTAACCACAAACAGCCAAAAGGCTGCAGTACATGAACCAACACCGGCCTGGCAGAACCTCAAACAACTGATTTAAGTGGACCTTGACATTTTATGTTGGGACATTTTTATTTTAGAACATTCTTGTCACACACCATTTTCCACACATCTGTGTAATATTCCTGGACACCAGTAAAGGCCCTGCTCCACTAAATGTGAAAGTAGATTCACTGTCAAAAACCCATAACCATCACATGGGGATCGTTCCACCTGCTTAGCTAAAAAGTGAAGGCTTTTTTTATCTCATAAATCCTGCATCAGTATACTACATAAATCAATAGTATAGCTAACACCGAGTATTCCCATGACTAGAACACATCCGTTGTAAGGTGATTTCAGGCATGCGCAGTTGCCTGTGCGCAATACAGTCATTGGACATGGCGGACGGTAGCCATCTATTAAAACCTGTGGTGGCACAGATTACTGAGGTAAATTCAAGTTCGCATTTTGTCTAAGATACCGCAGAATGTTTTCACTATTTTAATTAACTTCACGCTTTTACACTGAGCTTCCTTACACAAATGCTGCATGAAATTCACACCTACTCATGTGGAATAGCAGCAGTGAAACAACTATTGCCACCCATGTCACCATGTGACAAAAAGTGCACTCCGGCACCATCTGCCCCTGGAGTCCATCAACGCTACTAATAAGATATTTCTTCACAAGTTAGAGTGATCGTCACATCTGCATCGGGGAAACTATATCTTTGTTGCATTCCAGGAACTGCGTGTAAAATGTTAGGGTAATTGTACGTGAACTCACACAACTTGCCAATGAACATTAGTGCTTGCACTGCAACCCTTTGGTCCTCATGTAAATATATTTTATCAATATTAAATTGGGAACATATTTTAAGCTAAAGCACTGAGTGTTTTTCATTAACCACACTCATTGCATTTCTGGATAAAAGCCTATCAATTATGACTGCATTACCTAAGAGTCTATGCGGCTGCAATCCATCCCACTCCTAGACATCTACAATACAATGCTCTATCTTTTCATTACACATTTCTTTTTTGCTTGCCCTTCCACAACACCCCTTATCTAACTGCTTAATCCACAAATTGCTACTATTTGCAGTCATAATTAATAAACTTAAATTTTTTTTTTCAAATATTTGTGGATGTATTCCGAGAATATTACTAAACAGCTTTAAAACAGCTACACTATGCATACTTTACAAAAAGTAATCCATCACAGCTGGAAGCGATATGAAGGAATAATATATTATTATCTTTCTGTATAAATCACTCCAGTATGCACATCAGTAATTGTTTATATTCACCATGACATAAAAAAGCAAAATGTATTACTTTTGATGCCTAAATATAATACAGCTGGTTAAATGAAGCAATTAAGTCTCCTGCATAACTCAAAATGACATAAAAGAAAGTTGCATACAAGCCCTCAAACATTTTTGTACACCTACCACAAATCATGCGTTTTAAAATGTATATACATTGACATATAATTTTCCTAATGCTCCTTTGATTATGAAGCCCGACATTAACTTAATTAATATATAACAAAAACACCTCAACCAACTAAGATTAAGCAAACTAATATCTACACTCGCAATTCCGAATGACAGGGCTTGGTGACATTTTATTTTTCCATACATAAAATCTCAATGGTGGAAACTAAAATTTGTGGATTGTAATTCTCATTAAAAGCCTTCAAATTACACTATTTTAAATATGAGGTAACTAATGTATTAATTATAGGGCAGTTTAAAGCTACGTATGAACTTACAACAGTTTCCAACAAAGCAGTCCAAATAGCCCGTCTCGTATCCCTGCAATTCGCAAAACCGTCTCTCCTTTTACCAACATAGAAATATACAACCAAAGGTCGAATTATGATACTATACGAAATATCACTATACAATTGACCCAAAAAATGTTTTCACAAAAAATACTTGGGACACCACTTACACAAAAAGCCTTCCTCTGAATGAATGCATTTTGTAGCCCTTTGCTTTATGAGAATGTTGGCTTAGCACGCTAAAAATATTAAAATTCCATTTTTTCATCATCACCATCATCAATCATTGCCTACCCTCACTGTTTGCCCCACCATAACCGACTGGTCACATTGAAGTATACTGTAGAGGCGATATCCGACAAAAAAAACTTGCCAGGGAATAAAACTCGGGTCATTTGAATTGCGAATGCAGCCTCTACACAACTACAGCTTCATATCGTGCAAATAAATTCTGTATTTATACATGTATGGAGAAAATAAAATAACACATCGGTTTAGCTTCAGGACAATTCGACAATATAACGTGCTATAAATAGGACATTACAAGCCTGTATAGTAAATATGTTTCGAATCATTTGGGTTCCTGATTTTCTCTCTTGCTTCTCGAACCAAATACTTCCTGGTATTAATGCTAAACGCCTGGTGCTCTCTATAAACAATTACGGTACATCCAGTGCTACTATTTACAAAGGTGTGTTATGTCCATGTGTACACACACCTCCAAACAAATACCTGTCAATCCTGCATTAATTACAACAGTCACCAAGCACTTCATACGGTAATTACAATTTGAAGAGTAAGCAAGATTTATTTGCACATGACCTCATATAAATACTATAAAACGTACAACTGTGCACTGAAATGGTGGTCTTTCACCGGTGACTTAACAATATTTAATGAAATAGCAGTAATTCAACAAATCCCACTTTGTACCACGTGCATAACGGCACAGTGGCAAAACAGCAAGAACTTGTGACATGCGCAGTGATCTAACCACCCCCCACCCCTCTTCCAAGACAAACCGACATGTGAGCACACGAAAAAGATTATTTACATTACTATGCCCATCACATTCTTGCCAATGAAAATACTTACGGGATAAGTTAATCCTCAATGGACCGCCGTCCCTTGAGGATTAACCAACCGACGCCGGAAACCCCCTTCTTACCGAATCTATGCAGGAGATGCAAAGCATCACTCAAGGATGTGCACTTGAGGCCATGATAAATTGCCCAAACCCTCGGTAATCATGCGTCAATCAAATAAATAAGTGTACGGTAGATACTGCAATTGATTCGACATCAAAAGCCACGGCGCTGTGCGCTAGTGTTTACGACACTGGGAGGGGACGATCTGCAGTGCAGTCCGGCAGTCACAAATCGCCCCCTCCGACCACCTCTGAACTCTTGCCGTATTTCGATGAAGCCACCATTAAGAACGCTATATTTTTTCAGCTTCCATTTCACGAGTCCGTAATTGGTACGTTAATACGTACACGGTCAGGCTTTGCCAAGTCCTAAGGCTTTTCAAGAGGTGCCTGCGATTGGGATATTTGACGTATTCCTTTTTTAGGGAGCGTTTGCAAAGAAGCCCTTACACGTCTCACGTCAGGTTTGGCCATCGCATATGAGGCAGTCTGGGGATCATATTCACGTAACAGTAGGCGTAGTAATAATAAACCTTAGCCATCACGTGACACCAACACGAGCCTCAACGAACAGGCCCGAATGATTTGACATGTTGAGATGCAAGAGCATCGAGACCACGGTCATCACCGCTTTTGATCAAACGCCTCGCCTACGGTGGCGATGAAGGAGGCGGCGGGTCAACATCGCCACCGGTGTTCACAGTGACGCGGCAGCTTGGTGGAGTGGTGGGAAGACGTGCAACGGAGAAGAGGGAGAGGAATCAGCGATGGGGTTAATGAGGTTAAGGGAAAAAGAAAAAAAAGGATGAAAAGAGGACGCGAATGAAGGAGCAGGTTGACGACGAAGATTAAAGGTTGAAGGAAGCGGGCTTCCAAAAATCAACACGATACAACGATGACAATGAAAATACGCACAAGGTAATTACAAACACGATCAAGTAGTCCGAGGTTTACAACAATAAGAGCAGTCCAAGTGATCGAGGATGACGCGAGGTAGAGGCCGGGGAGGCAGGGAGGCAGGGACGGAGGGGGCCACTCGTTACCGACAACCGCCTCTCCCTGCTCGCGACAACACATAGCCCCCCTCCACACCACCCACACTGGTTGTCACCGACAATTCCGTGGTCCCCCCTTGCACGAGGGGTCCCGTACGGGGTTCCCGGCCTGGGCCTCTGGCTCCTCCCGCAGCCTCTGCGAGGCTCAGGCGAGGCGAGAGAGGAGGAGGTGGGGGGTGGTGGGGGCGGCCCGCCATCTTGGGCCGCCCCACCGCCTCTCACCTTCATGGCGAGACATCCTCGGCAGCCGTGGGCCCCGGGGCCGTCGCGGAGGCTTCGTAACGCGCTTAGCCGGCGACTCGAAGGTGTCATGAAGGAAGCCGGGGCTCGCCGGCGCCGTCCCTCTCGCCGCCCCCGAAGGCCGCCGATCCGCCGCCCTTTCTCCGCCGCCGCTTCTCTCTCCTCCTCCTTCTCCACGGACCAGCCAAGCGACTCTGACGTCACCGCTACCGACATCCAGCGCGCGGACGCCGGAAGTCGGCAAGGGTTTGGGGTGGGGTGGGGATGCCGGAAGTAGAGGGGGGGGGGTGTGTGAAAGGGGGTGTGGCCAGAGAGAGAAAACGAAGAGGTGGGGGGGGAGGTGGGAGTCACCACCGGAAGAGATGGTGGGGGGGGGGGCCGGAAGTAGAGAGGGGGGGGTTTGTGAAAGGGGGTGTGGCCAGGGAAATAAAACGAAGAGGTGGGGAGTCACCACCGGAAGAGATGGATGGGGGGGGGGGCCGGAAGTAGAGAGGGGGGGGGGGGTGTGAAAGGGGGTGTGGCCAGGGAAAGAAAACGAAGAGGTGGGGAGTCACCACCGGAAGAGATGGTGGGGGGGGGGGCCGGAAGTAGAGAGGGGGGGTTTGTAAAAGGGGGTGTGGCCAGGGAAATAAAACGAAGAGGTGGGGAGTCACCACCGGAAGAGATGGTGGGGGGGGGGGCGGAAGTAGAGAGGGGGGGTTTGTGAAAGGGGGTGTGGCCAGGGAAATAAAACGAAGAGATGGGGGGGGGCCGGAAGTAGAAAGGGGGGGTTTGTGAAAGGGGTGTGGCCAGGGAAATAAAACGAAGAAGTGGGGAGTGACCACCGGAAGAGATGGGGGGGGGGGGCCGGAAGTAGAGAGGGGGGGGGCGCTACCGGATGTTATTTGGGAGTGAGCGCGCGGCAGGACCCACCGGAAGTTATAGGAGGGGCGAGGGGAGGGGGGGGCGAGGGGAGGGGCGAGTTGGGGAAGGGGTCCTCCGGAGCGACTTCGGGGGGTGTCCACGCAGATCGCCTGTTTCAGTAATTTTCAGCACGTGTCAATACGTCTCCTGTCTGTTGTTGTTGTCGCGTAAAGTATTATCACGTTCGCATTTTTGATTCGTTGCCAGCAGTCGTTGTTGGTGTCATCCCTGGCCGCGGGTTTTTAATTAAAGTCGAGCTTTAGAAAGCTCACTGGTAATAGACCACAGCTTTTGTCTGACGCATTGTCTCGCAGGATGATCGGGTTTCAATGCAAATTCAACGTCAGCTACGTCTAAGACGATACACACGTGTGGACGTACATGAGCCACGTTTATTATCTGATGCCGTCAATTAATTCGAGAACTGGCTTATACCATGTGCTGGCACGTCTACATATAGTACAGTACGGTGGGTAGATAATGAAGTGTCAATTGTTTGGTTTGTCACGATATGGAATCTCCAAAACGGTTCGATAACAGAAAAGCAAACAACCAAAACACGCTTCTCTACGTCCTCTTGCCGTAGACATTTACGCGGGGAAAAATTACGTTCTGTACAAATATAAACCAATGGGAACCCAGCTAAATATCCGTAAGACTCGCGTTTTACCTACAGAATATAATCTTGCGGGAATATTTCCACCTTACCGTTGAATTGTATTAAAGGCAACGGTTTAGGCATGACGTCACCCAACCCTGTAACTTCCACGGGGTGACGTCATTCCTGCAACGGCTAGGCGTGATGACGTCACGCTTAACGGGCACAACTGCGCGATGACGTCACAAAGGCCCTACAGCGTTGAGCCGGGTCCTTGCGTGCCGACGTCACCCGGCCCGACTGCAGGCAGTGCTGTAGGGAAATGCAGCAAGTGCATCTACACACCGTGTCAACCCGTATTCTTGTACAGGGAAATTTAGTTTTCAGGTCCATACGGCGTACAGCCGTTTCAATACGGGACAAAGAAAACACGTGTCTTGTGTTTCTCCCTTGTGAAGGTCCTACAGGTTTTTTACACTTTTATCTGGCAACAAAACTGACACCTTTTTTTACAAGGAGTCATATTTGCATTGACCACAATACCTGCGTGGGAGGGGTGGGGTGGGGCTGGTCACCCCGTGGTGCCCTTATAAAACTCAACGTTTCACCTACTCACGCCGGCTTGTGCCCGCCCTCACAGTCGGGCATATTTGCGGAATACACCACGCCGCCGTTGACCCTGGCCATTGACCGAGCAACCCAACGTTCCTACCAGCTCCCTCTGCAGGAATGTGCTATAGTCTTGTACCGTGCTGCTAAACCGACTGTGCAGCACAAGACAACATCATAAGGACACTAGTCATGGAATAAATATTGAATCTTGAATACACAAAAGTATGAAATGGGTGTCCCATTACAAATACCGCAATATTACGAACATTACAAAGCTTCATGAAAATATTTAATGTCAACACAATTAAGTAAAAATCTCATTTTTTGCCATGAAATGATAATTGCAGTACAGCAATTAATCTCCATTGTGATGCACTCATGGCAATGACATGCATTCTAAGGTAACAGTGGGAACAAAACATTGGCTAGCTCGGCGTGTAAACTATATTCATCGCAGAAGAGATGCTTACATTGATCAAGTGGGCTGTCACAGGTTGGAGCTCTGCTGCTGATCGAAGTCATAACTGGATTGCACCCCCCAAACATCCTGAATGTGAATTGTGTATGCACATTGGATCAATTAAACATCTGTATATAAAATATCACGAAGATCACACGAAAGCTACACGCCACACACTTTATAAACCAGCCATCTCAGTCTCATACTATAAGTGCCTCAGTCACAGTGAAATGTTATCGCTATTGAGGCTCGGTAGTAGTTAGAAGAGATATAGAAACCCAACAGCTCTGCTCTCCACTACTTCATATCCAGTGACTTACGAAACTAATGCACTCTTGATGCATAACACTTAAAACCTCTGCACCACTGTAATCCTGACACGAGCTCAATGCTACAAAACATGGTTTATATATAAATATAGCTCAAAACAATTCACTGTTCTCGCTAACATTGATAAATAAAGGGAATTTTTTTTTAAATGGGTCTTACATTACCAGGACAGAATCCAATTACCTTCAAGTCTGCCACATTGGTGCTTGGACATATTTACACATGCATCAGGTGAAAATGTGTCATCTATGTTATTACTGTACTCCTAGCATTTCAATACTCTGTGACCAGATGTATAAAAATCGACATGAAAATCAAAATAACTCAAAATTATCTTGGTTTCTATGTGAAATTAAGTGTCATCATACTTCAGTGCCCATTTCAGTATTACTATACAGTTTTAGTCAATAGTTTTGCAACTACTGACTGCAGGAAACCATAAACAAGTCATCATAACAGCCAAATGCCTATCCTTCAACTCAAAGAGGGGTGGGGCACAGCCATGTGCAGTGGCGAGCACACTGCTATCAACCCAGTGACCTTGTTCGATTTCCAGATACGGCAAACGTAAATGGTGAACAATATCTGAAGCAGTCCTAGATCCCATCGTTCCCCACTACCCTCACCAACCCGTATTGATGAGCAGTGAAATATGGTCAAAGAACCCACATGACTGATACAGCATGGGGGAGGCCAACAAGCAGGGCTGACAGGTGTAATGTATCTATCTTGGACTAAGATATTCACTTGTCATAATCCAGGATGCTGTCTTCATATGTCTGGAGCACCTCTTCCGTGATACTGTCGGCTCCCTGACGTGACTTGCGAGCCACTTTCCCGCGCGTCTTGGTGGCCGAGAATGTCAGGGAGGCCTTGTCAAATTCTAGCGGGATTGAGCCCAGGTCGCCATCAAAGCGATTCTTGGCCAACTGTAGGTACTTCTTGCCATGTGTTGCACTCAGCCGGCGGTCCTGCAGTATCAGCACATTGTCCGCCTCTTGGCTGGCCTGCATGGACAAAATCAATTAAATATTAACCCTGGTTCGATGCATAGCCAAGCAATAATTTCATCTAATTAATAGTTTTATAATGCAGCTTGCTGATGCACACAGAGCTGGTGGTGTGCATTGATCACATAGGACTTTCATCCACACCTTTGCCGTGCCGAAGATGGAGGCTGTCTGCAGCTCCCTGTCGAAATCCTCCTTGCGGGGGTGAATCACCAGGGTCACGTGGCACATGTTCACTGTGGCGAACTTGCGGAATGCCCCCACTACAAAGTCCTGCATAGTGAACCTGGGAGGATGCCGTGCCATCAATTTCACATCCTATGTATTCATCTATAGAATATGTATAAGAGAATACACATTGTGCTGTTTTGACCTGTCATTTTTTAGTGTTTTTTATATGTAGAATATATATCTAAAGCCTAATCTAGACTTCTCCAAAATGATAAAGTGGTTGCCTCAAATAGGTTTTGAAGTTGTCATGATCAACATATTTCATTATAATCAATGCAATAATTTGTTGTACATTCACTTCATAATGTTTTACGTCATTAAACAAGTTGAATATTAAACATCTTACAGCAGAACTCAATTACAACTCTCTAACACCCCTGTTAACCCGCCCCCATGCTGTATATTGTGATGCCAATTATCACTGAAACCACTGGTAATTTAATCCCAATGTGCAATATAATGGATTTAATGTTGTTCTATATTAACACACAAGAGCAGGTGGTCTCACCTGTCCATGCTGGGGTTCTGTAGACCCATCATGAACTGAAGGTTATCTATGACCACGTGGGAGATGTCATACATGTACACGGCATGCTGCATCGTGTCCAGCACAGTCCTGTAATGAGATTAAGAATATTATTTTGTGCACTGTAATTCAAGCAAGCTATATTAGTGGTTTGACAAAGGGTTGTACATCATGATCAGATGATTAACACAGCATATTGGAGCACCTCTGTGCATTAAGAACTCATGAAAATAACTATTTACATGGTACTTTTTAGACCCATTATCCCCCACTAAATTTGCCTGTTTCTTTAATTTTTTTAGATAAATTGCCAATATTCACATAGGAACACACAACATTTTAAGTGGGCAAGCATTCTAAACCTTTGACCCTATAAAAATGGAATTTTCTGATATACATTTTGTATATATATATACATATATTTTGGCAGCTGGACTTCAAAATAGCATTAGTATGAGATTAAACACTTATATACCAAAGCATCTGACTGAGCATTTAAACATAAAGCAGAGATCACTCTCGAAGGTGGCATGCAGCTCACAAGCACCACCTGCACTAACGCTCACTCACTTGATGTTCTGCTGGCCATGGAAGGTCATGAAGAAGAGTGGCAGGTCCTCAAAACGGTCGGCCCATTCGTCGTAGCTGTCGATGTTTGACTTCCAGTCGTTGGCGGGCATACTGTGTGAGCATGACGCGTGCCAGCCTCACATTTCCAATCTCAAAGCTGCCCCACAGCGTACTGACGCCTTGCGAAGCCAGGTCAAGGGCATACTCGCTGATGAACGTCGTCTTGCCGCTACCAGTTGGGCCTACCACACATGAAATAATTGCAGGTTAGGAAAAGTATGGCTGTGCCAGATCATAATCAGCATCACCAGCCATGATCTACCCCACAACTGGATGAAGGCCTGTTGCCATTGCTCAGGGCTTTGCGATGCAACAACCCATCAGCCCTTACAGCTGATTTAATTGCTCCATCTCCTCATATTCCATCCTTTGCCTGCCAACTCCATCATTATTCTCGACCACCAGCTATCATTCCTGCCAGCAACGAGTCCTGCACTAGCCCATTTCCCTTTTCTTTACAGTAATGTCTCTTAACTTGTGCATATTTTCTAATACATATGTTACTCTGTCTCGCAGTGGAATTCCGAGCATGCAGGTGTCCATGCTTCTTTGGGAACTTTTCAGCTTTTGTTCCATTTTCTGTCAATGTTCGTGTTATCGATCCCGATGTCAAGGCAAGTAATATTAACGAGATACATCGATTTATTCTGCTGTGGCTTTTCAATAAAAACCAAAAATCATCACTCAACAGATAACAGCTACTGTCCACAACAATGGGTATGTGTTATGTGAAATTCCAAATGTGCCTTGAGCCTTGTTAGTAAGCTCTCACCTAATGTACTAATATAACTGCAATATTCTTGTGTGGGATATTGAAAGTGAATTCATATTATGCCAGTACATTCAATCATGATGAAATCAGTACAACTCCCAATCCTCACATTACAACACCACCAGCCCCCCGCCGCCTCCGCCCCCCACCCCGCCACCCACCCCTTCTCATCATATTGACTGCAACTCTGACCGGTGAAGATGGTCAGTTCGCCCTTGCGATGTCCCTTTAACAGCTTGTTAAGCGCAGGAAACCGCTGCCACTTGACACCGGCGACCTGCTCGGAATTGGCGAGCTCCCCACGCACGTCTTCCCGTAGCTGCCTGAAGACCGTGATGGCTTTGTGGGCGGCTGGCAGGGAGGAACGCAGAGCCTGCTGCAGGGCGCTGACCGTCCCGCCGCGGGGTGTGGTGCTGCCCGTCAGCGAGAGGGCCTCCAGCGGCCGAGGCCGAGGACCCTCTCCCAGCCGCACCAGAGAGCAGCGGCGCAGGCCCAGCTTCCGTGCGAAGCCCTTGGACGTTTCCCACGCATTCAGGTCGCTGCCCAGCCACAGGATCACCTTGCCAGTAAGGACATTTTGATAATGGCACAGTTTTTTTTATTATCGTGCTGCACGGTAAGAAAAAGTTGAGACTTTTATGTTGATTACGTACGTATGTATGTTGAACTTCTTTCACACCGTATGTAGCCAACCGTGCTAATCGCAGATTAAAAACGCTTGTCAAAAGTTTTGTTATCATGTTCCAAAAAAATCAACCGAAACAATTCAACTGAATACTCACATATTTTTTAAGCAATTATAGCCGATCAAGAGGGAGCACATTAAGTGCATCCAACTTTTTCATCCTTATAAGTACACTTCTTTTACATTGCTAAAGATAACATGTTTTTAAATGTTTTAGAAGTTCCACATTTATATTGTAATAAGATAATCTTGTTCCGACATGTATAAATTGAAGTGTTGCCTGTATCAAACGTAATGCTAAAAAATGCTCTGGATATCTAATTGGCCTGAAAATGTAATGTTTTGCAAATATTTGTACTTATTATTGCGTTACATTAGCCTGGCCCTGGGTTTTTCATTTGTCCACCTAAAGTAAAAACAAATTTTCAGCCAATACATTTTAATTTGGTTAAACTTTAGCAGATTCAAACTGATGTCATAATCAACTGGTGGAGCTATCTGTCGAGGACCTAGTTAAGCCTAATATTCACTGTCAAGTATTGATGTTAATCAAATCAACTACACGGTTGAATTCACGTAAATTTGACGTGTTATGTAAAAGTAAAAATGATTTGTCCTAAGGTGACCAAGTGGCTCAAAGGTCAAACCGCTGAGCTGGCACTGCTGAGATTCTGGGTTAAAAATTGTGTCCTCAAATATAGTCAGGTGATTACGGCCTCAACCCGACCATCAACGAATGCACAAGAAAACATTGAATAAAATTTGGTTCTTTACTTAATTTGGCAAAGTTTCAGCTTTGAATAGTACATTTCGGTTTTGACAGTCACGTGACTAATATTACTCGTTTATGCACAGGGAAAGCGAGTCCCCCGATTGTGTGGACTAGAAGTTACTTGATGGGATCTCAGAGGTAGCTCTGTAATATCTGCTTCCATGGGCCACTCTTTCACATGAAGGGTTGCACTGCTCTGCGAGAGATCTGAATGGATACTTTGTCTCATGACACGACACCTCAAAAGAATTAGATAACATTTGGGGGAAATGACAGCAAAATCCCTACACATGAAAAGGAATGCAAGGTTGGTGATGCAATTGAACAGTGGTTTGGCAAGACATTACTACGCACCTTGCGAAACTGCTCGAGGTAAGGCAACAGTGTGGGTGAAAGGCAGCTCATGCCGCGAGGTAGCGAGAGAGCCTGGCAGCTCGTAGCCTGACTCACAGCCAGGCAGTCCAGCTCATTTGACGTCAGCACCACCTCCGAGTCCTGTGCGCCAAGCCCACCCAGAAGAGAAATACAGACTTGGGAGCTCTTCATTTAGAGATGAACAGAATATCATCAATTTATATGGCCAAATGGTGCAATGGACATTTTTGCCTGATGAGCGAGACTCTAGCTATGATAAATGCAGCTAATTTAGAGACTGGGAAGGGTTTTAGAATTTCTGTCGGATTAATGCATTACCACTCATTACTGAACAGTCTGTTGCGAGTGGATAGGCTAAAATGATTCATGCAATTTTGGTTTAAAAACACCTTTCTGATTTAAATTGTTTCCAAGCTAATTGTAAAATGTAACTTTAAAGCACAGAAACAAATTAATTGCACCTAAAATTAAATTCCAAAAATGTACAAAACTACTTTAAACACTCATCCAAATCACCCTCAAATTAAACCGATACAAAATGTAATGTTATTCTATGGTAAAAAAATATACATTCAGGTCCCACTCTCATACAACCGACACTACACTCAACATGGCTAAAGCACACAAACCCCCACACCTTAGGCATAATGAGGTGCAGGCCAAAGAGGTTGCAGTAGCGTGCACCACGTGGTAGCGTACTCTCCTTGTAAGTCACGCTTTGTCCGTCAAACTCAGCCGTCAGCAGCTTCAGGCCTTTGAGGCTGCTCTGTGGTCCGAGCCACGGAAACACGAGGCTTTTGGTAGGCGGGTGCCACTTGACGGAGAAGCGCTTTAGCGTTGCGTCCGTGAGGCGCTCAATGCCATACAGCCTCTTCGCCGTGAGCTTCTGCTCCTCCTCCAGCTCGTGCAGGAAGATGGATCGTCGCCAGATCCTGTCTATTTCCTCCCGCGTGAAGCGCGCGTCATCCTCCTCGACGCCTTCAGCTGCCGCTCCGAGCCCCAACAGAAGCACGTTCGGCTTCACAAACACGCGGCCTTCCTTCCGCATGGCCTCCAGACAAACCTAGTGGGTTGAGATCGCAAAATTGACGATATTGTAAATAATGTTTACAGGCCATTAGCTCTAAATATGTTGAACTTATTTCGCACCGTGCATAGCCAACCATGCTATTTGGAGGTGCTAATTAAGCACTACCCTGTTTTAATGTCAAAGTGCTAAAGGTGTATATATGGATTAATTATTATATAGTTTTGTATAATTATAATAAAAAACATATACCTAAATCTGATTTAAACTGCATACAAAAATTAATTCACCAATGATAGATAAAGCTCAAGCATAGATGAAGTACATTTAATTACAACAAAATTACGAATCGACAAGAGCTACTTGTGAAATCATGAAAGTAAAAAAAATACAATTAGCATTAAAACATTAACTATTTTAAATGAATATAACAAAATATAATCCTCTACTCGAAAAAAAAAGCACTCCAATGTATTCAACTCCAGAATGTACCATACCATACATTCATGTATCCATCATCCACAGGGTTACCTGTAGGTCTTCCCACGTGCCCTCGGCGAGCGTGTGCTTGCAAAAGAACTGCCCGGTCGTCTTGTTGATGTAGAGGCCAGCGTTCTCCTTCCCACCCGGTGCCCCTGGCAGCCGCTCTACGAAGGGGCTAAGCATCAGCAGGCAGGTGTGGCCGTCATGGAATTCGATGCCACTGGCGCGCAGGTACTGTCTAATCTCCGTTGCGGTTACGGGCGGCTTCCATTCCTCGTCCCCGCCCTTGATGTACTTTTGGAAGCCGGGAATCGTGATGCAGCGAATGCCGGTCACGGCTTGTAGTCCATCGAAGCAACGCGGCTTCGAGAGGAAATGCAGCAGACGTCTACGTGAAGGTGCAGATTGGCATGCAACTGTAGCCGGCACACGACCACCGTGCCCAGGCCCAGTGGTGCCATGCACCGATTTCCCACTCAATGGGGCGCATGGATTAAGGCATACTCTGTTGAGATGAGTGCCACGCCGTGGCTGTAGGGTGACATTTACCCATTTGTAGCACGAACACCTTCCAATTGTTGCGAGCATGGTCTCTCGGTGCAGATGACCTGCAACATACATGGTGTCACTGAACGTTAGAAGTTTATATCCAACGTTGCACACAAGATCTTGCAAAAAAAGAATCTGTATATTGAACTGAAAAATTACTGGATTTTTAGATTCATTACAATCTTTAAGTTGAAGCCAACGGGCAAATTCACTTACACAACATTTTGATACCTAAACACCAAACTGCACTTGCAAAAAGTCCACAAATAAGCCATGGACTGGCATCAACACTGCCTGCTGACTGCATACCTTGTTTTATTTTCCTCGCATTACGTATTGAGTGTGCGCTCATGACGGGGCTTTAATATTATTTCAACTCGTGAAGTGTAATTTAATGCAGTGGCCCCAAGGATAACTTAAAACTGCACGAGCCAGAGATGGCAACATCTACATGTGATGAAATTTACTAATGGCCATGGTGTAACAATGCTCAGCTTTATTTCGTTAAAACTCGTATTTGTCTCCACGTTTAAAAATAGCATATGCATACCTGTCAACCCCTTATCAGTGCCTACATTATTACAGACCAATTCAGACCATATTGGTCACCACGTGCCCTTATAAATCTCAACGTTCATCCTACAAAGTCCCATCACAAGGGAGAAACACGTTTTTTACTCAATTTCCCTGTACATTCCCTGTACAAGAATACGGGTAAACCGAATGGGTTGACAGGTATGCATATGCTTCAGTGTAATATTTGTAAACGGATTGGCGATTGAGTTAGGTTTCAGGCCACCTGGTGGAAAGTGATGATACAGTAGTCGCAATTATCTGTAAGCCCTTAAATGATAAAAACTAATCTAATCTACGCCTCTCTCGATACTGTGACCGCCCATCTATCACCAGCGGCCAATGTTTTGTAATCCGAAGTGGGTGTGGAGAACCTCTAGGTATACTCGGCCTACAATCCTTAAAACGAATCCCAGCTGGTGCTCGGTCATTGATCAGCAATGCGTATACAACCAGGACCTGCCTTCACGAGGCAACCCACACAACAACAAAAATAGATCTGTACATATTGCAGAACCTACAAGCGCCGCTCTATTTTGGTTACGTCTCGATGTTGGTGTCGAACGACACAATCCAATTCCCCGACGCAGCGGCGCCCACAAGACGAGGAGACCAACTCACCCAGAATGTGCCCAAATCTCGTCAGATCTCACAAGCTAAGCAGGGAGTTTGTTCTGAGACGACGCGGCGCTTGCAGTGCGGCCGACCTGTGACTTCAGGCTGCCGCGAAGCTGCAAGGTTGTGGCAGCAGTGTTACAGTAAACGTGTACCGATTTAACACGGAGGCTTTCGCGACCAATATCATCCATAAGAGGTTTTTTTGGGTAAGGGTCGCGTAAATGTGTCGTTAAACCCGCCACCATCCGACACAGCCAATTAATAAGGTTTGTCACGTAAAGAGAGGATGCCCATTCGTTACGAGTAGAGCACCACCGGTGTGTTGGAGAGTAAATCCACAACACTGTGTAGCGACGACACAGTCGGCACAGTGCAGTGCACCTACCGTGTAATGACTACGCTCCCACGTGAATACTCCGCACCAACCGGGGGTTGATGTAGCTCACACAAACCCTCACGAACCTGCACCGCGTAGTGGTGGCGTGGGACGTGCGATGCGGGACGGCGAGGGCACTAATCCAGCAGTGGATTGAACCCGAGGAGATCTTGCCCGTGGGACGAGCGCAAGGCAGGGCTCGCCAACAGCAGCAGCAGCAGCCCTCCGAGTTCGCGTGGCAGGACCACGTAGAGCAAAAACCGCCCGCCGACTCCGCTTCGGCAACCGCCGGTAGTAATTATCAGTGCGAAGGGCGCAATAATCGTGAAAGGTTTCAGCGTTGTTGCAATGAGAATTGTAGATAACGGGAAGGAGAGACGGGGGCCAGAGGGGGGTGGGGGACACGAACCGCTTTGAAATTCGCACGAGGGCCGCGTGGTGGTGGTGGTGGCGGTTGGGGTCGTCACCTTGCGAATCCCGCGCTGTGATTGGCTGCAGCGGCGTCACGTGCGTTACGGAAGCTGCCGAGGCGGGGTTGTTTATTTATTTATTTAGCGCGGCGTCAACAAGCCACGTGAAAGTCGATTTTTTAATCGCGCGGAAGTCAAAACGCCGGTGAATGAACTTGAAGCGAAGCGTCGTGGAGCCGGAGAGTAAAGTGGCCACGCGATTATGGGAAAGACGCACACAGTTTTGTTCAGTGAATAAAATGCGTAAATAAGTAATGTAACATGATCCATAATAGAGGTTTTTTTTTAGATCGCGTAAATAAATGATGTGTTGTTAAAACCGCCACCACCCCACACACACACAATTCGTAAGGTTTACAATATCAGATTGTAAATGTTCTGGATTTGCTCTCCAACACACCGGTGTGCTGTACTAGTGACGAATTGGCATGTTCTCTTTACGTGACAAACCTTACTGATTGGCTGTGTCGGGTGGTGGCGGGTTTAACGACACATTTATATTATTTGGTTATTTCGGTAAAGTCACTTGACTTTACCGAAAGAACCAAAGAGTATGGATCCCTGCAGTCACGAAAACTTCAAATCTAGTCAAATTTATATTACCGCAATCTAACCACATTTTTTATTATGGATTGCTAAAGTCTGCGTGTTAAAATGAAAATTATGTTTGCAAGTTGTAAGAATACGGACGCTTACAAAGCTGTCAAACTAATGGAAAATACAAATTGTGTTACGACGAATTGTGACAGCAAGTGACTTAATTTCGATTTAAAGCTTTCGTGACTGCAGGGATTCATATTCTTGGTTCTTTCGGTAAAGTCACGTAGAAGGGAAATAATAAAGTAATAAAAGTAAAAATAAAACAATAACATTATTATTGTATTATTTCCCTTCGACGTTACTTTACCGAAAGAACCAAGAATACAGTATACAGTAGCAAGTGGCTCGTTATGGCATTGGCATGAATGTTCTCCAAATGTGTGTTGTTTGTACAGTTCTACAATATTCGACCAGCAGAGGGAACCCACTCCTTATGAGTCGATATGGACGCGTATGATGCTTTACGAATATGTATGTTTTAACTATTGTTTTAGATTGAATACTAAATAATTGCTTACCAAGAGTGTGTTAACTGAGCGAGAAAGTCCCAGTACATAACTGTATTATTTACAGTAGAGACATATTTTGGGCATTACGGTATGATCACTTATTTCAATGTTTACTTTTATACTTAGAGAATTCGAAAATACAGTTGTGCAATTTATTATTTTTCGTTTAAACGAAATAAAAAAAACGAATCAAAGCCGGCTGTGTTACGTCTGGCAGTTTTGCCAAAACAAACATACGTCTGTAATTTCGTCTGGAAATCCATGCTTGTTATTCGTCTTCATAAAAAAACCTTTTGTTTTCATCAATAAACTGCACACGTGTTTTTAGTTAAGGCATACCTCTGTTTAAAGATATTTGGGTGCACGTTAGCTGCCACATTTAACTGAAATTGTGGCTACTGCTTCTGTAATGGTGAGCACACTGGACTCTCCACCGGTTAAATCTCCTGGGTGACCTTTAGTCTAAAGGTGACCACCTCACAGTATACATGGGTGACACCAGAGCCTGTCAATGAGCAGGTCTCGTGAGGTGAAGTTAAGTGTGGGTACTCCGACGTCTTCCATGATAGTCTGACCCAGCGTGGAAGAGTAGGCCAAACATCTTGTAGGGCTCCCAGTGGGGTGAACAAGACATTTGTTGGTCTGCACCGTTACCACCAGTACGGTACTGTTTTTTTTTTATCAAACTCCGATTAACAAAACACGCACGCACATTTAGACTATCACGGGTCCAGCTAAGTCTTGTACTTAATGTGTGAAGACGCTGTTCTTTAGTTTTGTTGGCTGTTGTGAAAGGGTGGTTCAGTCCTCGAATTTCGGGTTTATTTTGAATTAGTTTTCATTTTCAGATGGACTCAGCTGCCACGCAGTGTTTACAAAACAAGCGCGTGCGTGTCGTTCAGGGTTTACAAATCTCACCGAAAATGTTCGCTGGTCGACTGCTGGATAGAGTAAGCACGTGGCGAATAGCTCGAACCGTAGCAAAGATGTATACTGAATGTGGTGTTCCGGATGCGGAAATAATTGTGGTCGGCAACCCTCCTGAACAACTTAAACCCCGCACGTGTTACCCAACGCCGTGAGCTGCACTCTTGCAAAATCCGTGTATTTTCTTGTGGTGCAAATTGCACTCCACCCTTGATACGTATAAAGCAAATAATGTTAATTCCTTCCTTCCACAACTATGACAAACAAGCTATTGCGTTGGAGGTGGAACATAAACGCGCCTTTAATTTCTCAACCAACTCGTTTAATAAGCACTGCCTTACAACGAACATTGTACAGTCGGAGTAACCGGCCGACGTTTTGGGGAATGGTCCTTTTTACAGATTATTGAATCCGTACAGCAGATGACGATCACCATTTGTAACTTTTTTAATAACTGAAAGGTCACTGAAGTTGTGATCTTTTAAAGCGCAGTGATTCGCGCACTACATTATTAACCCGGCTAGCCTGAGTTTGATTCTCGATCTGAACCGATTCTGCCTCCAAAGCCCTTTTCATGAATCCGAACTGACCAGCGTGGTGAAGTATGGTCAAACAAATCCCACAACTGACACGCCTTGGGGAAGCCTTCATCAAACGGTGGATTTTATAAATCGATGCACACACACACACACGACACAGGGCGAGGAGTTGAATTTTCTAATTTTAGGGATTCTATTCAATCCAATACATTCAATCCAATACATTCCAGCACGCCAATTGATCTCGTCCATCAGGCATTATCTCTTCGAGCTAAGTATCATCCCCAAGCCCATCTCTATTCATATATTGCAACACCTTTAAATGTAAAACGTGGATTCTAACACGCAATGCGATGCATGCGTCCAAGAGGTTTACAATTGCCACCTGTGTTACGAATCGTGCATCAGTTAGTTCCTTACAACCCTTCGAATTCTGCATAATTGCGCATAGGCTGCCCTCTGTGTGGTCAGTGTAGGGGGCAACGTGGAGGGTGTGGTGGTTGGGTGAGTGGTTGGCTGGTTGGTCGAGCGAATGGATGGGTAAGTGTAGTGGTTGGCTGGCTGGCTGGTGGATGGGTGAAGGGTTTTATGGTTTGAGTGAGTAAGCTATCTGACTGCAGGCTGCGTATGTCAGTGACCGCCTGGATGGTTGAGTATCTGGCTGTGTGAATCTCTGGCGCATTGCTTCGTGGAGTTACTGGCTGGGTGTGTGGACTGTGAGGTATAGGTTGGGTGATTAACTGGTTGAGTGGGTGGGTGATTTATTTTTTGGCTGGTTTAGTGGGGTGATTAGATGATTATACAGTCGGCTGGGTGCTGAGTGTATTCGCTGGCGGCGTGAGTGGGTGTTTGGGTTCTGGTGGAACGACTCACCGGCTTTGCTGGGCGTACTAAGGGGGGTGGGTGGTTAGGTGATTAGCCGTGTGGCTGGGAGCCAAGGGAAGTGACTAGCTGGGTAAGTGGAGGGTGGGGTGGTGGAGTCATCATCCGGTGGGCTGGGTGTCACTGCACGACGCAGCTCCTCGACACCGCACACTGGGAACGATGTCGGTGCCGCTGGCTCGCCCCGTGCGCTGCTGCCGGCTGCGCGATGCGCTCCGGGTCATCCTCTGGGTCACTTGCTGCGGTTCGTAGAGCGCACACGGCACACTCGCTTGCACGTCTCAATAATAATAATAATAAAACATATTCTTGGTTCTTTTGGTAAAGTCACGTAGAAGGGAAATAATAAAATAATAAAAATGTTTGCTTTTTTTTGTTATGTTTTATTTTTCTTATTTTCCTTCTACGCGACTTTACCGAAAGAACCAAGAAGATGAATCCTTGCAGTCACGAAAGCTTTACATCGAAATAATAAAACATTATATACATATGCGTGGCTGTGTCTGTATAACCACGCATGTTGCTGTAACCGATGAGTAATTTTTATTACTGCAAGTGTCATGATTTGTCAAATGAACACACGGGGACAAACGTTTCTAAATAGCCACTCAGGTTGTCCATGTTGTATAAATGCACATGAATGACCATGCATACGCAATATATGTGGAAACTTTGACACGGTCATTTTGTAACCGGGAACGGCTTTCATCGCGGGTTTTTTCTGTTGGTGTGTACTTATGAGACTTGCAATATCATCGGAGAGGGAGTCACAACACGCGTTTGCCTAATTTTACCCGGATTACTATTATAAATACAATGATGAATTGAAGAAGTGTATTCATTGATGAGTGTACGTTTTGCGGAACACCTCTCGATTGATGTTGCAGTGGAGCTCAGATGCCAAACACTGCATTCAATGTTTTTGACTGTGGGCTAAAAGTGACCCTTTTAGTTTCGAATTACTCACTATGCATTGTTCCTGCTTGAGAATAAGCCCAGGGTCTTCTATTGAACAAACGGCAGCGTTTCACAATATAAAGATAGAATAACAGTTGTCAAAAATACTAAAGTTAAACGAAATTACAACTGCGTACGTTTCGACACGTTTTTTTTTTCTGGCTGTAATATGTCGAGTACGTTCATTTGCAACCCATTCAAAATCAAATGTGAAGTGCTGCGGACAGATAGTCATGTTTATTGTGACGAAATGCAGTCACTGTAGATTACGTGGACTGATTTCTTATCGCATTCATATGCTTAAGCACCCCTATGAACAAAGGGTGTGGAGCGGTGGCCGCAGTGGTTCTCCCAATATATTATCAATGTATTATGTACCCAACCGAGTTCGATTCCTGGCCACAGCTAACATGAGTGGGTGAGTGATACCTGAACCAGTCCTGTGCTTCTCTCTTCACCAGCCCACCCTGATAAGTGTGGTGCAGTATGATTGAACAACTCCCATGACCGACACTGTACAGTACATGAAGGCCTTTCCATAACCATTAGAGTTTATATGTACATACTTTGCAATGTCTTATTACATCTATCGATTTATTTAAAAGGCCACGCGCCATCGTATCTATGTGACCTTCGTATTACTTGCTTGTGTGTAATTCTTCACGAGTGTTTTTTAATCCCCATTTTTCATACTGTCCTTTTTTTCATCTACCCATAATACCTCCCACTCCCAAAAACCTCAGTATTTTAATGTTTGATCAACATAGACAACAACGCAAATCATATTTAGCGACATGATGTGTGCCATTCTTGGAACATTCATCAGTTACACTTCATACATGTTAATTCACACTGCATAATCTTATTGGAATCAATATTTGGATAGAAATTCCAGACCCAACTTTTTGACAATTGACAAGTGATCTCATTTTGCGAAGGCAATGACTGACTGGTGTGCATTATTCCTGCAGGTTACACTGGGGCGCAGACATACGTGGCAGAAGTGAACATGGCAGGGGTGAGAGGCTCGGTGACCTTCGACAGTACGCTGACCTCGGTGAAGCTAAACATCTCTGGCATGGGGTCGGAGATACGGAGGCTGTCCGTACACACCTATCCGGTGCTCTATGGCCACTCCACCAATCCCTGCAGCCAGCAGCTCGTTGGCGAAATCCTCCACAATATAAGCATTGGCTCAAATGACGGAGCGACCACTGTGAGTGCCCCGGAGCTGTTTACGAGTGTGCGGATACTCGCTGACCATTCACTGCTCCTCTCTCGTGATGGTGAGACGAATTCCAGAGTGTGCGCCACCATCCAAAACGCCCAGGGTCCTGTGCTCACAGCACAGGCCAAATTCTTCGGTCCCGTCGCTGGGGTTGCCTACTTGAGGCAGGTCGATGGCCAAGAGCTAAGGATAATCACCGATCTTCTGTCACTCGGACAAACAAATATGAAGGCAGTGAGCATGCATTTGGTGAACATTGCGAGTGAAGTTCAAGTGATGCAGTGTGCCGCTGTCAACCCAGCGTCGTCAATTCAACTGGGATCTGTCACCGTCGGTGCTTCTACCTTGTCAGTAAAATCACACGTAGTTGTAAACCTTCCCTTTAGCGGTGTTATTGGGCGTATGTTGGTGATAAAAGCGAGCGTTCAAAGCTGTGCAAAAATAATCCCGCTGAGTTTAAAGACCGCTAAAGCACAGGTCAACATGAATGGGGTGAAGGGTGATTTTGTGTTTCAGCAAAGTTCCATGTTTGAGTTGACCCAAGTCAGAGTCTCTCTGCAAAACCTCAGAGGCATGGCCGGCCCTTACCATGTGCACAATTTCCCAGTGCCTCAGCGTTATGTTGCAACAGAAAGCCTGTGCATTGACCCCAATGTGGGAGGCCACTGGAACCCATTCAATTTGGATGTGCGTGGCCTTGACTACCCTAAATTCCCGAATGGAACCCACGACCAATACGAAATTGGAGACCTCAGCGGTCGGCATGGCAGTTTGCTTGGCAACACTGTTGACATAGCGTACATGGACTGGAATTTGCCTCTCTTCGGCCCCAATAGCATTGTCGGTCGCTCCATGGTGATCCATCACCCCAACACTTCCAGGTGGCTCTGTGCCTCGATAGAACCAGAAGAAGAGTTTGTCACGGCCATGGCATTATTCAGGTTTCCTGTCGTGGGGCGGGTGCTTCTGCGGCAGCTGAAGAATGACCCTTATTCTGACGTCTACATATTCGTGGAAATCGCCAATGGCAATGTGTCCTTACCCTCAACATCCAACCACAATTGGCACGTGCATGAGTTCCCCATCAGCTTCGTGACAGACCTGGACGCACACATGTGCTCCAGCACAGGCGGCCACTTCAACCCACACGGAGTGAACACAAGCCAGAGCATCTACAGCGCCGAGTGCCGCCCAGACAACCCATATCGCTGCGAGGCCGGGGACTATGCTGGGAAGCACGGCAAGATCTTCATAAGCAACACACTGGGCACTGTCAAATCCAAGTACTTTTTTACCGACACCACCTCTTCTCTCGTGGGGTCGAACTCTATCCTGGGTCACTCTTTTGTCATCCACGACCCAGACGCCGGGCTGGGACGCCTGGCCTGCGCTAACATCACCCTGCTGAGAGCCGTCACCATTAGGACGGGCGAGTGGAGAGGCGGTGGCACGGTGCAGGGCCAGATGGTGTTCACGCAGCCCTCCGACCTTGACTCCACGTCCGTACTGGTCCAGTTCTCCAACCTGCAGAAGGCGGTGTCCGGGCTGCATGTCCACATCCTGTCGATGCCGAGGTCACTACCGCCCAGTGACCCTGCGGTGTGCGCCGACCGGGCCGTGCGTGGGCACTTCAACCCCTTCTCGGTGGACGTTGTGGTGGGGCCTGCGCCGGGAAATGGGACGCCCGACCAGTACGAGGTCGGCGACATCAGTGGGAAATTTGGGCCGCTGAGGGACCTAGATCAGAGGGAAGGGAACTACTCCGACACGAACCTCCCTCTCTCAGGCATCAACAGCATTGCCGGGAGGTCTGTGGTAATCCACAGAAACAATGGCTCCAGGTGAGACCAGTTTTGAGTTCGAATTATAGTATCTAGAAAAGGCAACAGGTTTTGTTGTCTACTTTGGACTAGATTGTTGACAGTGGCATACTTTAAATGTTGACATCTAACATTTTATCAGTTACAGCGTTTGTGATTGTTTTGCATTTTTCAAAGATAATATATTTTCGATAAAACGTACCCATTCTGCGTGTGTTTAATGAATGAAACAAGCACACAAGTCCGTAGTGTACTTGTTTCACAAGTACATATTGTACTTGTTTCATTCATTCAATACACGCAGAATGGGTACGTTTTATAAAAGTATACGTAGTGTACTTGTTTCATCAATCACTAAAGAGCCTTCATCAGCAACAGTGCACACGAAGTACTGACAGATATAGCATTTAATTGTAAAAACAAAGACAATGTTTTTAAACACTAAACATGAAACAAAGAGCGTCTTAACATTTAGATATTTCTTGCTGGAATAAACCATGATATAGGGCATCAGATAAATCACCTAAAGTTTGTTTCAAGTAAACTAGTTAGAGCTTCATTGTATGAAACCTGTGAATAAATAGTCGACAAATTCTTACAGTGCTTTCTTAAAGAAAACTAATTTTAATCTGTGGCATTGCATTTGCAACCTATTACAAATCCCTCTACACATAATCACGCTAATGTTTCAGCCAAAATACATTCACATGGCAAAATGGTAAATGTAAAAGTTCACAAAATAATAGTAATGATAAAAGTACTCTACTAAGGTATGTAATGTAAAATATAAGCGAAATGTACTCAGTTATAATGTTCTATTCAGCCATTTTCTGTTCTATTCAGTTATTGACTGTATCTTAAGCCATAAGAGAGCCAATCCTTCACAATTCGTTTCATAAACGATAGATACCGTAGTCTTTGGTTCTTTCGGTAAAGTCACATAGATATAAAATAAAATAAATTGCGACGTTTCGGGCGCAACACAAGCGCCCGTGATGACGTGATCATGGACACTTGATGATGTGATCACGGACGCTTGTGTTGCACCCAAAACGTCGTGATTTATTTTATACCTACATGACTTTACCGAAAGATTCGAAGAGTATGTATTCCTGCAGTCACGAAAGCTTCAAATCAAGATAGATACCGTAGTCTTATTACATGGTTGGGCCAATACTGCTGCCATAGGTATAGCCTTGACAAGGGTGGGCCCATTTCTGCTGGGATGTAGAAATCTTGAAAGCACGCACTTCATGATGAAACCAAATCCGGGTTGGCGCTGACATCGTTCTACTTTGTTCTCGGTGCCCACAAAACCCACACTCGTGCCCTGCATGCCCCCCGCTGCCCACCTTCGCCCACCCTATACCATTACTGCGCTGACACCCAACCCTCTGTGCCATCCCCAACCCCTACGGCATGGCGTGCCAGGTTGCAGTGCGCCGACTTGGGCAGGGAGAAGCCAGCTGAGGCCGAGTGGCTGAGAGCCCGCGTGTCTTTCAGCGACAAAATCAACGGCACCATTTTGCTGGTGAGCCAAGATGCAGGGTGGTCTGAGTCTCCCTGCCACGGCGTCACAGCTTATACCCATGGAGAAGTTGGCGTGAGAGTCAAGTCAGTTTATTTTGGGTTAGGTCTTTTGAGCAAAGAAGTTCCTTTTTCTATGGCGACCCGAAAGTGTAATGGACACACGAAGTTAACCTGAGGAATATATCTTTTCGAGGATACTTTAAAATCGAGTTATGGCAATCTTTGCTCCCTTGTTATATGATATTTATTGTGGTAGCATGGATTGTTTGGTAATACCTAGAGTTGCCAGTGTAATAAGAATTATAATTTATAGCCCTATGTCAATCCATTATTGATGTGTTAGTTATGGAGGTTGTTTCACCACTCTGTTCGGTATGGGTTGGTGATAGGATGTCTAGGACCGGCTCAGATACCACTCCCGATGTTAGCCGGGCTGGAAATTAATCTCAGATGGCCGAGTACATAATGTACGTAAAGTTGTGTATAAGCTAATATTGCAGCGCTCACGCCACTGCTAACGTGATCTATAGAAAGCCTCTCTCTCCAGGGCATTTTGGCCTTCTACACTGGCTAAATGGCGGCGAAGAAGTGGGAGTACATATAGATTACTCCACTTCACATTACCCGCTGAATGATTGACAAATATGGTGTACCAACTTAAACTGCTGTGTGGACAGAGGCCAGGAGATTTGTTTCATCTGTCATGCCAGGAGATTAAACTGGCGACCCGTGGAATGCGAGTCTAATGTGCTAGCCCTTAAACCACGGCAAAAAGTTGTGTAATATCTGTCAATTCATCATTTTAATCGGTAATAAGTTACCCATAATGAACGAATGTGTTTATTCTGCAACAAAGAAATAGCTCCCACCGGAATTAGCATTGTGACAAGCGCCTAGACTCCTAGAGTAATGGGTCAACATTCGATGGCTGGTGTAGTTAATCGGGGCAGAAGACATTTGTTCCTACATTCTGCTGTGTATCCACTGCCTCTTCTTAGCAACTGTATTTTAGTCCTCAAGGTCGATTCCCACACGAATGTCAGCGCTAAATTAAAGTGTGGACTTAAAAAAGAAAATCGTGACCACAAACATCTGGAAACATTTCAAATTCTTTTCACTGGATGATGAATTTCTACCCTGTAAATGACGTCTTTGGTGACTTTACTTAAGGAAAGCCATGGTTGACACAGTGATGCTAATCGTATGTCCCACCACCAGAAATTTTTTCGCTACAGTTGACACAGATCGGCACACAGAGGAGATGTTAATTTGTTGAGCTCCTAATTCATGTGAGCGTGTTTTTTGTGTTCAATAGACCACATCTCCTTCTATAAGCTCAGCGAAGCTCCGCTTAAAATGTCATCACATTTAGAAAAATTGCGAAATTGCCCAAAGGCAGTTTTAAGTTTTGTATAAATTAAATTATGTCATGAATATTTCCTTTTACTGCGTGTAAATCAATTGCATAATATCTGTGTTGATTGTAACAGCGTAAGTTCGGGCCTATCTTGCCCCACAAACATTGTCGCAAATCTCTCTCTACCTTGTACCCATTCTTCCCTCTCCACCCGACTCCTAATCAATCCCTCTACATTCGCCTCTGCAGTCCCAGCTGGTGTATCCAGACGGCAGTGGTTCCGACACTACTATAGAGGTGGATCTGCAGTACGACAATCCCAAGGCCCAGGTATTGGTCTCCCCTGCCTACTTACATCAGTTCATCGTGGGTTGCCATGGTGCATCATGGGCAAAAGCATACAAAAGCAGAACTCCCGTTTCTGTCTCTCCACAGGTAGATTTTAAAACAAGTAAACCCGTAAAAACAAAGTTTTTCACTCTAAATCCTTTATATGCGTGGCGGCTAGGGTTCTCTCGTCCTCTGGCTTGAGATGGCTGCAATCTATGGGTCAGATGATTGTCTGCCAGTATTAAGCAATTGGTAATTAAATATTTAATTAGTTTTCCCTAAACAGTGTAAAATTTTGGAAAAAAAATTTCACGAAAATTAATTGTCACACACAACGAATCTGTGTGGAAAATGTCAGGTCGATTGGATCACGGGAAGTGGGTTAAAAAACGAGCGAAAGATTTGCACGGTCCTACGCAAGCAAGCGAACTTAATATAAAGGATTTAAAAACATATTCGCCTGTGGAGGACGCGGGGATCGATCCCGCGACCTTTGGCATGGGAAGCGAGGGCGCTCCTAACTGCGCTACTCCACCACGGCCTGTGGAGGGGTTACGCTCTGGGCTCTTGCACTGTGATGTTCAGCCAAAGCCTTGAATGCGTTCTATTTGAATATATGTAAAATAATTTGTTTTTGCCTAAAAAGTGTAAAATTTTGGGAATTTTTTTTTCACGAACAATAATTGTCGTGGCACAACGAGTCTGTGTGGAAAATGTCAGCTCGATTGGATCACGGGAAGTGGGTTAAAAAACGACCGAAAGATTTGCACGGTCCTAAGCAAGCAAGCAAGCACGCGAACTTAATATAAAGGATTTAAAAATTGTCCATCAGCCTCTACTCATGAGACCCACAATGTTGAAACCACTCCAGAGATTGCTTGCTTGGACATGCTCTGATGGATATTGTTTTGTTCTGGAAGGCCAATCGGCTGATGGACTAATACATGTTTATGTGTTGAGATACAACAGGGTTCTCCCTACGTATGCTTCTCCTCACAGTACTTCAATCACATTTTTCATTCGCTTTGCGGTCTTTCAATTTACTTGTAAATTATCATATTAACAGCAGTTGTCCTCTATGCATAGACTCATGCCATCATAAAAATTTTGATTTTTTTTTACAACTAAGTCAGGGTTGTAACCAAATGTATCCATAACTATCACTTATTTGAGCAGGAAGCTATGTTACAGTACTTTGAAACTGGAGCGATCAGACATAATTGGAGAGGTTTTTTTTACCCCAATGCAGTATAACCTATAGTGGATGAATTTATAGTGGAGAAGGAAAAAAACGGTACTTAAAGCATCACAGTTTTGCATCAAGAGCATTAAGTGCAGCTCTGCGGTCGTTACTTTAGGAGCCCAGCCCAATCCTGTGTGGCCCTCAGGGAGGATAAGTGCATCTGCAGCATCAGCAAAAAAGGCAATTAAATTATTTAAAATTCGTTTGGATGACACCAAGTTATTTCAGAAGCAAAATCCAGTTGTTTGTAAAAAAAAATCCGTTAAAATTTTTCCCGTGCAATCAAACGCCTCAATCTTTGTCCAAGCAATTATGGGCTTTCAGCAACCCTTCACGAATAATGAGGGGTGTTGTGGAGAAACTTGATATGCCATCCAAATCTCATCGTCTACAACAGTTTGTTGAGATTAGATGGATTCAATTAATGTAAAAGGTGAATTTACAAAGTTGAGCCATCTGTGGGGAGTTGACATCAACAACATCTCTTACATGTTTTCTAAACAAGGCTCTAACTGACCATATAAGGGCGTGTTTTAGTCAAACGTGTTCTGTTTACATCATGCCAGTTGATTATGCCATTCAAATGTTAAACATTAAGCAGTGGGAAACATTTATCTCGTGGTGCATGTTGTTAAATAAATACTAACATAAACACAAATAAAGAAAAACATCCCCAGTATAGCCTTGTTGACCATTGGGGCAAGTTCTGTTAGTGAGCACAGAATATTTATATTATTTATATTATATTACATATTATTTATAATATTTCGTACCGCACCTCCGCTTAGCACGGTTGGCTACGTATGGTGCAAAAGAAGTTCAACATATATACAAGCATGTCATCGCATTCGAGGGGGTTGTATGGTCAGCACCACATCTGACCAGCTTTGCCTCCTTGGTTCTGATGTTTGCACACCGTTGTCGTAGTTACTTGTTCCAGGCCAAGTTGACCTGTTGTAGGGAATGCATTGAGGATGCTGAGCTGACAGCAAAGTGCCGTTAACCACCGCACAACCGTCAAATGAGGGCTTCACGAAAGACACCGACCATTTTAAGACTAAGGCACTGAATTGTTATTTCCAAGGTATCTCTGTAGGATATATAGTTCTCATTAAGTATTATTTTCAGTCACCTATTTATAAATGCGGGACCTCGACAATTATCGTGACTATAATTGCACTTATGTGGTTTATTTATAGAAAGGGAAGACCAATATTGAAGGTGTTCAAGTGTTTGAGAATATGACATGGTAATACAAATGAAAGCAGTTTTATATACATATATGGAATGTGTTTTGAAGATGTTGATTGGAAAGGTAATTTTTTTTTTTTGGTGAGGGTACACTATGTACATTCACACACATTCACATTCGTGTATGCTGTGCACCATCTTTGCCTAGGGGTACAGATGGCAGGTTCATAATGACTCCGAAGCAGTGAGCAGCAGCAGGGCGCGGTGTTCCTGGCTAGGAGTCCTCTACAACCCTTACAACGTCTACTCAGGGGTGAGCCGACTCACATTGCAACCACACCTAATGCCCATTGTACCCTTTTGTGTGCAGTACTGTGAGTTTTGATCATACAATCAGTGCTTCGGATTTATGATGGAGTTTGGGTCAGATCGCTTAAGTGTTCTAAGCCCTCCACCTAACACCGCCGTTTAATAACAGCGCCACAATGGCGAGCTGCTAACTACCTCGCCTGGTATACAGGAGGTCGTGGGTCCAATCCCGACCCTGACGCCTCTATATTTGGAGTTTGCATGTTCTCCCCGTGGTCACGTGGATTTTTCTCCGGGCCCTCCGGTTTAATTCTCCACATTTAGAAACATGCGTTTCGAGTATTTGGCTGCTATACATTTCCACGTGATAAGCCACTTTGTTGAGCTATCATTTGTGGCCAGGTCACTTCTGAAAAAGAGTTATATAGCTCAGTGGGCCTTTACCTGGTAAAATAAAAAAAATCGTAAAAAAATAGTTAGTAAATAGTTAGTAAGGGTTGTCCTCTGAACAAACGTGCCAATTTGTGACTGCTTCACCACACCGGTGTGCCGTAGAGCCGGCTCACAACCTAGAACAGCGGTCGGGAACCTATGGCTCGCGAGCCATATATGGCTCTTCTGGTGACGGCATATGGCTCCCAGACAATATTGAGTTGAAAATAATAAAATAATAATAAAATCAGTTTGGAACTGATTTTAAAATACTTGTGATATTGCTTAATAATACTGTGTCATTTTAAAGTAAACAGAAATTAGTTTTGAAGATAAAATTTCTCGGGTCACGGGTCCCATGACCAGAAGTCGCATTAAAAGTAAGACATTTAATTTATTATACGTTAAAAATACTATATGGCTCTCAATGAAATATATTTAGAAATATTTGGTTTTTATGGCTCTCCCAGTCAAAAAGGTTCCCGACCCCTGACCTAGAACAACACACCAGTGTGCTGAAGCAGTATTACATTCATAACGTTGATTCCCGTGGCAACTTTATTAGTTGGCTGTGTTCGGTGGAGGAAGGTTTACAACACATTTTACTTCGGTGATCAGACCCAAAAATTTATTATGGATAATTATATTGGTCGCGAAAGCCTACGGGTTAAATTAACCGACGCGTAATTTCTGCCGGAAATGTCCAATTGCTGTTGTGGGAATAAAACGGGCATGCCACATCCATCTCACCTTATTTTGTCATCATGGAATTGCAGTATCATAGGAATATAGGCATGTAGGGTTAAATAAAACAGAAAATAATATATCTGTTGTGGTAGTACCGTTATGTCAATAATCCCTTTTCCAAGCCAGCCAAGCAACGTTCTGGAAAATGATGATTGAGAAAATGTAATACTTGTGTGGATACTCAGTGAGGCTGGATTTTATCAACCATTGTTCAGAAGAGTAAAACCTTTCTAATGCGGATTAATTGAGGGGAGAGCCTCAACAAACTGCAGATAATTCAAGAGTAAATCATTACCAAATTTCGACTTAAAGTAATTAACACCCAACACTTAATAAGCTAATAACAATTAAATATTTACAGTTACAGATGTACAATTTAATAACACTGAAGAAAATCACTATTGTACAGTTAATTCATTGTGTATCCATCATACCAACTTCGTCAGACCAGTGATGACCATTTGTGGACATCCCCCCATGTATGGTCAGTAATGGTTTAATGGTCGTGGTACATTATAATCTGAACAATCATCACTATGAAGCAGAATTAGGAGGCTGAGGTTCGCTGGATGTGGAAGGCTGACGAGATTTTCTGAAAGTCTTTAATAATATTTGCATTTTTTATTTCGATTTAAAGCTTTCGTGACTGCAGGGATTCATCTTCTTGGTTCTTTCGGTAAAGTCACGTAGAAGGGAAGTAATAAAATAATAAAAATAAAACATAATGGAGAACAGGTCCGTCAAGTAGACAGAGTCTGAATGTCTACTTGACGGACCTGTTCTCCACCTGAGGACGGCTGCTTGCGTTGTGGCCGAAACGTCGTGAGAATTATTTTATTATGTTTTATTTTTATTATTTTATTACTTCCCTTCTACGTGACTTTACCGAAAGAACCAAGAAGATGAATATTTACATTTTTGTAAAATCCATTTGATAAAAAAAACCCAAGTAAGGATGACCAGTGCACATGGATAATCAGGGTAACCATGGGCATGGGTTCACTTAATTCCATACAGCAGATAAATATAACTTTATAATTGCTCGTGTACAAACGCACGTCAGGATTAGAGTCTTACACTTCCTATTGTTGGCAATCCCACAGTGAATATAATACACATTCTACCATGTGGTGAAATAATACAATAGGATTGACTGCAGAATGCCACATTCTGCCATGCTCAGTTCTGTCGTACGCCAAACACGATTACTGCCAGAGTCTCTTGGTGTGTATATAAGTTGTTTATTTAGTTTTCTTCGGGTCGCCTTGTCTGTTGTCGCCCAAATCCGGCTTACGACGAATTCTAGCTTAGGCTTCAAAAGGATTTTTTACTGTATCGGTGTTAATAAATAAGTAATCCATTAAAAACAGGTGCATTGCAAGTATATAAATATTTTTGGAAAGCGTTCCTAAACTATGAGTAAGGTATTCTAGCATTTCCTAAATCACACAACATGGCAGTATTCTCATTAATGTGGCACGATGTTTTGAAATACTACAACGTTATTGGTTTATCTGTTCGTAAGAGAATTCTGAGGGTGAAGTCCAATAGCGGGAGCTGCTGTTGGGGCTTTTTAAGCTGCGTTAACGAAGCCCTGTTTTCGGGTTGTACCGCGTGTTGTTCGGCACAATGTCCGACGTTTCACTCCACGTGCCAGGAGATTCCTCTGCGACCCGACAACAAATGAGAGAGCCATACAGCCACAATAGCCCAGTGCTGTAGTCGACCTTTCATTGCATAAGGTTATAGGCATGCCTTGTTTAAAATGTAGTTATTTTGCAGGAAATATTAACTAAGCCAAAAGGTAAAATGAATTGCGGAGCGATAATGAATGGAAACATTGGTGAATAGCTAATCCAGGATTATGCTTTCAACCCTTCCCAAGCACAGAGAGATCCATACAAACAGGTGCTCTTACCTTGACGCTCATTAAAAAGAAACCAGTGGTTCAGGTGGTGCATATTTAAGTCACTGTAATTAATTAGCACTCCTGAGATTGGAGGTTAGAATAATTCAATTAATGCTCACTTCATTTATCAGAAAATTTAGTTCAAATGTTCTCATACTGTAATTGAAAAATATATTTAAATCGGTGTTTATGCTTAGTTATACTTGGAGTTTAATTTCTCACGTAATATTTTCCAGGGCCCCCAAACCCCAACAGCGATGTCGGCGGGAGACATATTTTCTGGAGCACAACCAACGACAGCTCTGACTGAGATTAGGCCCTGGTCATACTTAGATGTCAGAGCATAAAAAGACATGCTGCATTAAGAAATCTATCACAAATCTGCTGCATCTCCAATTCCTCTTTCACCTTCATAAATATTCAATTGTTCAATGCACCATGGTTAGTATTGCTTTATACCTAAGCAAAGCAATCCTACACACATTTAAAATGTCTGCATTTACCATCGAACAAAACTAACGATACTTATTGTCATTATACTTATTTGCTTTGTGTGAACTTTCAATTTGTTTTAACTTGTTTGAGTTGCTTTATCATAACAAAGATAAGTCGCCAATAAGCCGTATTGCAAGCACTGATGTACTTTTGACCTTTTTGATTTCATAACAAAACCTAATCACTAAAGCATGAACTGTTATGGGCCACAAATAGGCAAAATTACTCACTGCCTGCATTGTTTGTGCATCCTGAGGATCCATCAGACTGTTTTAATCAATGCCCTTGTAAGACATTTGCACAATACCAACAACAAGAACCCATTTAGCCCAGTTCAATTCGGTTTTTACAATACCTACAATAAGAACCCATTTCCCCCCAGTTATATTTGGTTTTGAACTGAGGATGGGGTGGGAGCAGTGGCGCAGGGGTTCACGCGCTCCACTATTGACCAGAAAACCCTTGAGCACGATTCTCGCCAGCGAGTGATATCTGTATCCCCCGTTTTTCCCTCCACATTTAAAATCAACATGCGTTTCGAATATTTGGCTACTATACCTATCCACACGAGATAAGCCAACTTCGTTGAGCTATCGTTTGTGGCCAGGTCGCTTCTGAACACTAGAGCTATGCCGCTCAGTGGGGCCTTGCGTGGTAAATTTTAAATATCGCTTATAGGTTCTAGATTTGAAGCTTTCGTGACTGCAAGGATTCATATTCTTAGGTTTTTTCGGTAAAGTCACGTAGGTAAAAAATTAAAATGTGACGGTTCCACCTGAAGACGGAAGCTTGTGTTGCCTCCGAAACGTCGTGATTTTTATTTTATTTTTATGTTACTTTTATTAATTAAAATTTTTTACCTACGTAACTTTACCGAAAAAACCTAAGAATATCAGTTATAGGTTTGCATTGTAACCGTGTTACCGTTGACAGGAGGGTGAGGGGAGGAGCTGTGACACGAGCCGGCCCTTTCACTGCGAGATGGGAGACCTGACGAGCAAGCAGGGACCTCTGCCCTTGGGATCCCGCATCGTCTTCAACGAGGCAAACCTGCCGCTTGGTGGAGATGCCACGGGTCAGTGTCGGGGCGTCCTTTTTGGTGGCGTTCAAAGGCACCGTAGACCACGTTGCGAACCGCCGCCAACTCGGCAAATTCGAAGGAGGCACAACAGCAATTCATTATTCAGGCTCACCTGAGCCGTCCGCGTGTCTTCCAAATTTGGAAGTAGACCTTTAAGTTTCTGTTCATTTATGCCACACGCAAGACGAAGAAGAAAGACAAAGGTCGTGGTTGTGGATAACAGCGAGAACATAGACAGTAAGCAAATCATCATCAGCAGCCATGATTTATCCACTGCTAGATGAAAGCCTCCTCAAGCTGTTGCCGTTTCTCATTGTCTCATGATGGAACAAATCCATCTGGCTCCTGCGAGAGTTGTGGATACACACGTGTGAGGCTTCACCACCATCGTGTGCTGAGCGGCGATTAGCGGGCCACCGTGTGACTCTGTTTGCGTGCACGTGTGCTGCGCCGTGACGCAGTGGTGGGGCGCTCGCTGGCCGTGTGGGACGGCACGCCCGTGGGAGCGATACTGGACTGCGGCACCATCGCCCCGGCTGACGGCGCAGCATCCGCCACTCTCTCCTTCCCCAGGGGCGTCGTCTACAGCAGGTGAGGCGGAGCCATCAGCCGGGCATGGGCATGGCCACTGCAAGTGTCATTGGTGTCCAGACACCACCGCATTTCTTGTTAAATATATATTGCAAAGTGAGACATCCACAAAGGTTTGGGCAAAAAATGGTATTTTTTTTTTAGTCAGTGCCAAGATGACATAAATGCTGATTATGCTGATTACGGAAACATTTAAATACACGGTCGTGCACGGACAGCAGGCTCGGTACTGACAGCAGCCAGTAGTTGCGTACGGTATATCTAATATAGTTATAGTGTAGTAGAACTCCTGGCTTCTGTAAGAAGTCTGGGATGAACTTCGCAGATCCTTTATGTAATCTACAAATAACCACTGGGAATAATTTTTCTCACAAAACATTCCCAACTTGCAAATTGTTGGCTGCACCACTGCAGTTGGGGATCCTCAATTGACGCCCGTTATCAGTGTTAAAGAACTAAAAATGCAACCTCGCTGTTTATAAGCAGTTGACCAATATGGAAACCACGCTTGTGGTTGCTGGAGCATGGAGATGCTTCTGTTTGCAGGTTTCAAAATTATTAGATGAGAAGAATCCCTGTGAACCAAACAGCAACTACCAGATACTGTGTATAGAATTATCAGGGTAAATACATTGAAACAATTTCAATGTGTGTAAGTTGAATACTACTCATGATGTTACGACTACTACTAATAGAAAGGACAGTTTTCAGATTCTCAAATGCTTTTTGCATCAGCGGATTCATAGTCACGAAAGCTTCCCCAACAAAACTGTCTTCCCAAATCACTGATAGCATTTGTGTTGGCACACTTAGCTGCTGAATGAGTTTATTGTAAGCCTGCTTGAGAGCAGACAAGTTGAGGCCCTCTCTAGTTGCAAAAAATATGTTCATTGGAAGCATCCAAATTAGAGTCCTGCACTTATGCATGAACATGATGGTTGGCTCAACAATACTTGCACACATATACAGCCCTCTTAGCAATCCACTGTGGGATGAGGTCCTCCCCTTCTCTGGGTCATGGGGGTTATTGGACCATACTTCCCCACACTGGTCAATTTTGGTTAGTGAATGCAGCGAGCTTAAACATAGAAACATAGAATCACAGTAAAACGGTAAAAAAATTCTGCACTGCCCGAGATGTCCAACCACGTTAGTCTTCAAGCCCCATGACAATCTGGTTGTGCCCATTGACCACCTGGAATGTGGTGCATTGCTGGTGGTTTGCCGATCGGCAAATCACCTAAACTACTAATAAGGAATTAGTCAGGCCTTAAAATTATAACCACCCAGAGCATCATGATGAACTCTTACTGCATCCTCTCACAGAGCGCTTTACGGTTCCTCGCTGTTGCAGGGATACTATTAGGGACTTTTAATCCCACACCAGCCAAAATATGGCATGTAAAAATGCTGTACACATGGACGATCATCACCAATGTGACTGATGTACATTCTAACGATGATCTATCAAAACTAAGAAATAGGAAGTTTTGCAAAACTATAGTAGAGTCTATAATTACGAGTAGAAAAATCCGATTACCATGGTTGGCTACGGATGGTGTGAAATAAGTGCAACATACATACATTTTATTATTTGGGCTCTCAAAAAAATAGTTTTATTGATTTTATTTTAAAGTTGTAAATTACTTTAAGTCTTGTGCTAAACACTTAGAGATATATGAATCCCATCATCAGTTAACCAAGTAATTTGCCTCTCGGAATGTGACACTAAAGTCTACTGAAACTGATCGAAGCATGCTCGTGGTTGCTACCTTAGTCAGCTGTGAAGATTTCACGTGACACATTTGGCGCATATCTGTTGATATAAACGAATGTGTAACGATTACGGTAAAAATATTGTGTAAACCCTGTCATCCCAACATTGGCCTGAACCCCCCCCCCCCCCGCCTGTCCCACCCACCACGAACCCCCCTCCCTCTCCGATGCCTCATGTCTTTGCGAAGATATGAGTTGAGACAGACAATAGCCAGCGCCCTGAACATTGCCGTGTGGAGGGTGTCCTTACTGCCGGACACCTCAAGCCTCCTGCGCGTGTCTTCACCTTGCCAAAACATCACCTTTTTGGTCGCAGGTAAAAAAAAATTCACAAAAACACCGTCACGCTTTACGTTCTCACGTACAATAACACCCTTATCTGCTTGGACTGTTAGCAGGAATGCTTTTAGCAAAATGCAAATCGCAGCCAACAGGCCCTAAAATCAAAAGGTGGAATCGGCACCGCATTTTAAATCTCCAGTATCGGTGAGAAAAATGCCTCACATGTTGCCCGCACCTGGTACGGTTTCTGTAATTTCCACTGACATGTACTGCCAGTGACATGGAGTCAAAAAGACAAAGAATTCCCAGTTTCCACCTTTAGATCATTGGTCTGAATTAAGCTCAAGCATGGCACATGTGGAGTTTGGTGACTACACTGGAATGTCGGCCTTTGATTACATGTATTGATAAGCCACAGCACAGATAGTTTGCAATTCCTTTCATGGATAATTTGCCTGCAGGATGTTGTTGCCAAGTATGCGGCAAAGTGGAAAAAGCAATCAATCCCTTATATTCATTTTCATAATAATCATTGCGTTTTTCTTTTCTTTTACACTGAAGTACTGTGACTGCAAATGTGTATTCATCCTTTTGCATAACATGTCCACAGGGATGCATCCGTTGCGGATGTCCTTACATACCCTGGATATAGTTTTAATATCTCATTAACTCCATGTGGGATTCATCACAACGCCATTAAATAACGCTGCTTTTGATGCAACTGTGATAGTCCTTTACCTTATCCAAACTCTAATTCTTATTTTTGTTCCAAATTGGCATGAACAAAATTTGGCCTCAATAATTTGAGGTGGAGAATTTTAGCATAACGCTAAAATATTCCTTCCTCGGATACCTAATATAAGCATTACAATTCATTTGTGCGGGTGCAGTCATCACAGTTTGTTGTGCTCGCCTGATTGGTTATCCTGTGATTAAGAGAGCAGTCATCAGGGCATCATATGATATCACAGTAACACAAAACTGTGCAAGCCAATTCATCAATAATTTATCAATGTCATAATTAATCATCAATCATTTATAAATGTCTCAATCAGTGTATCAATTTATCAATAAATTATCGATTAATCAATCATTTCACTGTGCTTTGATGTAATTTCACGGATTTGACCTGTAAATGTGAATAACCACAGGAATTATTTGTTTTAACCTCGAATCATTATAATCATCATATCATATAAATATCGTACAGTAGTTGATGGAAAATGTTTTAATTGTCTCACTGAAACAGTCGAATAAGAAAACATTTATAAACTTTAAAAAATGATATTTTTCCAATGAAATTGTTGCACTCACCAAATGTATCCCCTTACTCATCCCACTGATCATAAGCTCGGTCTAAATTTCATCTGATGTCGGTGAATGCCACTTAAATTGGAGACAGGGGAAGAAGAAGAAGCCCTTTGTGTTCTTGGAGTTCTAGTTTGGGGTTGGCTTGTTGTAATTCAATGCCTGCAGCCTTGCAACTTCACAGTGGACGCTCTGTCTGCGATTTAAAGCGATGCGTGTGAAGGGTGGGAGACAAGAACAGACTATAATACAATAAATGTGCATTGAAAAAACACAAACAGGATGTTTACAAACTGAATCGGTGATCATGGAGTTGTAACGGTTTTTTTCAAATCCCACTAAGCCTTACATTAAAGATAAACCTACATCTAAAATGATAGTACTCCATCTCCATTCTGAAACTGTATAACGTTAAAGAGAGGGGGGTATGTGACAAGGAAGACACAATGTGCATATGCATGGTTTCGGTAATGCTCTAACACGGTGTGTTTTGTCCTCGGAGGAAGTATTTAATTTGCAAATATGATGCTGCGTTTCAAGCTTCACAGCGAGGTTGAGTCACAGCGCGAGAAGTGGGAGGCTGAGAGGGCTCGCCCCCCCCCCAGCCTCGCGTCCCCTCCCCCTACCCCACACCCCCCTCTCTCTCCCCCCTTGCCCCTCCCCCCTTTCTTACCTATATAACCTCTTACCACGGCAACTCTCCCTCCCACTTCAGCAAAACATTTTCTTGCTGTGGTTTTCCCACCTGATGATGATTGCTTGTGTTGCAATCAAAACGTCGTGGTTTGTTTTATTTTATAGCTACGTGACTTTACCGAAATAACCAAAGAGTATGGATTCCTGCAGTCACGAAAGCTTCAAATCTTGATAGAAAATTATACGTTTTGACATTGGCACAGGCTCATATATTTAAAATGCCAAATTATAAATGCCTACAGAGAGTTACAAACTGGGCGGAGGCTTCTTGAAATATATTAATTTCGGATTGATGCAGCACTACTTTGTAAATGTATTTTAGTCAGTGTGTCAAAATATATATGTTGACGTAACTAAAATATTTTAAAACAAACTATATAATGTGTCTGCACAATGAAATGTGAACCAAAATGTGGCTCCACCTAAGGTGTTTGAATTAGCCCGATCATATTGCATAATCATATTCATTACAATATCCCAATATTGAAATATTGGTAAGTCACTATCTTGTATCAGATTGGACACAGAATTTCAATATTGCACAGGCAATAAATAAATGAAAGTTAAGTGTGACATAATTAGTTACATTTTCACCGCCCTTTTTCAATACACTTCTGGATTAAGGCCTCCTCACCCTCTATCAGTTATGGTTGATTGTTGGGCTATACTTCACCACGCTGGTCAATGCCAGTTGGAAAAAGGGGTGTGATCAGTTGGGATATCTCTCGCCGCTGCCGTTATCCGTGGCTTAGAATCAAACTGGGTTAATAGTGCAGTGTGCGAACCTCCGTGCCACCACTCCACTCCGAAGTGAAATATGAGGACTACAAAATAACTGGTAATACGCATGAACATTGTTTTTGGGTTTCATTTCAGGTGACGTGGATTTACGGTTGCTGGAGGCCATCTCATTTAGTAACGATCTCGGAAAGTTCTCTGCAACAAAGCGCTGCCAAGGTAATTCAGGTCTTCGCTGCACTTGCGAATTCACATTTGCATTTTTCACTGATCCATAGCGGAGTAGACTCCTCCTTGCTACCGTGCAAGTACAGCCCCTTTGGCAATCCACTGGCAGATGGGGGCCTCCTCACACCGTGAAGGTCGTGGGGGTGGAGCCATCGACGTTGGAGCATACTCGGGTGTTGGATTTTTGCTCCACCGTTTTCTGCTGACAACGTAGCTCCGCTTGTTATCATGAAGTTGTTTCTGTATTTTTTTGTGTAACCTTTGATTCCAGACAGCATCGCTGTTAAACAAAAAATATCGTTAGATTTTTTTTGTGAATTTTGTATTTTTCCAATGCTAATGACCAAAGTCTTAGAACAGTATCGTTTTTCAACAAAATGCATCTTGGAATCTAAGATTCTTCCGAGTAATTAATATTATTGTTTCAATGAAATAATAATTACAGTACTGCAGTACATTTGTTATTGAAGATGAGTAGGGTATTTCTAAATGCAGTAAAATGGACATTTTACATTGATGATGAACTCCCATTTGCAAATATATTTTTCTACATAACTGGAAGAAGCAGTTTAGTTGACATGAATAATTTATTCCACAAACCAATAACAGCATTGTTTGCAATTCACACACATATTAATTACTGCATACCCATCGTAGTCGAGTCATCGGTTGGGAATTGTATTTGTTAATGAGCACATGCACGTTAAATACACGATATGTACCAACTGCATTACTTCTGCCACATGTGCTGAAGTTGATTAAAATGTCAACATGGCTCAAAAGAGCAACAGTCACAGTACCTCCCCTGATAGTTCTTCACACTGGTGATGTGCAAACACAGAGATAATTTAATGCGGAAGTCAGATGGGATAACAATGACTCCAGTTAATGCGGCTTTGTGAATAGTTGTCTTCTGGAGGCTTTTTCAAGAATGTTTCTTCTTTCACATCTTCACATTTCTAAACTGTTCAAGCAAATGTCACGAACATCTGTTAGTTACACCGCAAAGCTGCATAGGTTTACGTTATAACAATACTTTACCGCCCAGTAAACCCATTGCCGGTCATAGGGGTTGTTTGACCATACTTCGCCATGCTGGTCAGTGTGAGTTGGTGAATAAAGGGCATGGTGGGTAGAGGGGCCAGTCAACATCATCACTATCCATGGACAGATCGCCCAGAGGTGTCCACTGCACATCTCGTCATTTGTTTCCACTTTCTTCTGGGGGGGCAAGTACCAATTCAGATATCATTCACCACGGATGTTATCCTCAGCTGGGTATTGAGTGTCAGGTTTGCGGGCTTATAATGGGTGCGCAAACGACCGTGCTGTCACTCCTCCACAAAAGTTCCTTAGAGACAACTTTATATCAAATACATCTCACCTGATCTATTGTAGACCTCCCTACAGCCAATGATGCACAATTTCTCAAAGCCATGTTCTAATTAGCGTTCAACGAATTATTATAATGATACTTATTTAATGGGTTTTTTGGAGGATAAAATAGATGTGCCAATTGTCGCATACATATTATGATGTGGTTTACTGAGAAGGACAATGTTAATTCAAATGAGCACTTGTCTAAAGCTGTTTGAAAATCTAATTTGTGTCACCGTATTGCCGATGAATATTCAGATCTCACGAGATTAGCCTTTTCAGAAATTGAAAGGTACACATGGTTCCCTGCTCAGGTTTGACAATTAAAATAATTGAATTAAATAAACCCTGCAAGCTGTAATTATGATTACAGTACTCAAGAGACCATCTATCTATAGGTGGGACTCGAATCAACGTTATTATTGCTTTGCAAATACATTTGTAAAGACCACAAAAGAGCTGATTGTAATACAGGGTGCTTAAATTTTTTTTTTTACATTTCTGAGAATTTGCAACAACACCACAAGAAATGTGCCTCCGGGCTCTGGAGACCACTTGGGGAAGATTCCAGGCCATGTGTTGACCGATGGTGAACAAGTGGAGACTCTTTGACTTTTTGAAGTTATTAACATCCATTTGTTATCATGTTACAGTGGATTATCCCTTATTTTTCCATTAAAAACGATAGTTCCATATAAGTGTTAACATTTTTTGAAGCACCTTGTATATTCATAAAAAATCGTATATTCTTTGGTTCTTTCAGTAAAGTCACGTAGAAAGAAAATACATTAAATAATAGAATACGATGTTTCGATTGCAACACAAGCAACCATCATCAGGTAGAACTACATTTGAGAGAGAGACAAAACACAGACACAGAGACACACAGACAGATGCACAAGTAGAGAGAGACACAAGATAGTCGAGGCCTTATATAGAGGGGGGGGGGGGGGGGCAGAGAAAGAGGTGGGTCTGCTGCAGCAGCTGCTGGAGCAGAGAAATTAGCATGTCAATGAATAACCCAACAAGACTGGTACATTTTAGAGAGAGTTGTGTGGAAATCCACCCCGAAGCGTCCGAGGGAGAGAAAGAGTGAATGGACCTATGAGAGCCTGGTAAATTTTAGAGAGAGAAATAGGCCGAATTTCTCTCTCTGAAATGTACATTTTCCAAAGTAGGCTTGCATTAAGATGGTGTGAGTTTAATAAAAAAAATATATTACTGTACTTTTTTCTCTAATTTCTTAAAGGAAATGGAGCTGGTGGTGCAGTCGGAAGCACTGGAGTTCAACCCCTGACAATAATCATCGTCACTCTCGTCGCCATGATCATCCAGTAAACAAGATACGTGCGTCGATCCATTTACAGATACACCACTACAATAATAAGCGGAAAATAAGCACGTGTCGATTGCAATTGCGGGTCGTTAACCATGGCATCCTGTGCACGTGATACATTCACCAAACTTGATATGAAATTTGTTAATAATTTCTCTTTGTGGCGGCGCCGCGGTCCAATTTCTTTGTGGGAATATTTTCTGTCCGTGCGTGAGAATCGGATTCGTGACATTCCATCCACGTTACCGCCTTCCTTCTCAGCTCCTCTCTGCAATACGGAGCCATCACACAATATTCAATTGCCTGTTGAGATAAAAAAAAATAACCCATGAGAAGGCTCGTTATATATCAGTGGGGTATCTCTAAATTATCTCTATACAGTACTAATTTGATCAATGGACAAAACCAAAAAATTTAGATATTCCCCTGCGCCAATGCTGTCGAGGTGTTGGTGCATGTGACCCGCCATTACCACGTCATTCTTACAGGCCGAGTTGACTCAAATTAACGTCAAAAGCGTCACACTCAGCATGTGCTCCATGTCCAAGTGGAATATATTGAAGGGAGGAGCAGCAGAAGAACACCTCAGAAACGCAAACACAGGTGCATACAATCGAGTCGCTGTGCAACGGCCGGTGTTGGCCTGTGCATGTGTGTGCTTTTCCTTGAAGCTGCAGTGCTACGCCGCATATATGACTCGCTGGGGACCGGGGTATAGGTGGATATCTGAAAAGGTCAGATATGTAAACATCAAGAGAAAAGGGCAATTGCGCCATGCACAAATAGGTCACCGGACCAACAATAAAGTGCAGACCGCTTTAAATGCGGGGACATGCTTAACTGTGCTTTGGAAGTAACTGCACACGAGATTGAGAAGACATTACTGTTTGTGGAAAGGTCAGATGTGTGAACATCAATGGAACATGACACTTACACCTTGCACAAACACTGGGGTGTGGGCGGTTCATTGGTCAGGATGGATACCTGATGGTTGGATATGCAATGGATAATTGACGTATTGTAACGGTTCAGTTAATCAGATTCTTGGAGATGTAATTTTCTGAAAAATATAAATGATAAATTCTCTATAAACTATTAGATACTTATAATCGTGTATGTGTAGGTAAAAAAAACACATCTTGATTAATTTTGGTGGATTGTATATTATCACAGATTCTGTATATTTAGGTTGTGTTTATATAGTAGATTGTCAGAGCTGAATGTTTTGACATCACGCTATTTTATGTTAAACAACTAGAATACATTTTTATTAATTGTAAATTATGCATTACATCACTTATTGTGTTCAAATATAACTGGTATTCTGTTGAAAAAGTAGTCTCACGGGTTTTGTTTTACTTTATGATAAATGCTGTATTGTTACGTGATATCACCCCAAGTAGAAGTGCTTCAAATTTGTTGGAATTAATCCTGTGGTGTACATTAATAAAAATGTATATTTTTATTCGGCATCTTTGAGTTGTTTTTAAACTAAATCTCCATATTAAGAAATGTCATGTGTCCATCTGTGAGTCTGCCAGTCTCAGCACTTGACTCATTTGTATCGCACAGTCGAGTAAAAAACTCATCGTGGCCAGAATAAACTAGGGACGTAGATTATTGATGATGAGCTCTGCATGACCGATGGACCGTGACCTATTTAACAACAAAAATAACGAAAATGTTAACCATGCTTATCGTACACTATGGGGACCTCATTTGCCAGTAAAAATATGATAATTGGTTCTTTACCCTTCTATCTGGCAACAAAACTGACACCTTTTTGCAAGGAGTCATGTTTGCATAGACCGCAATACCTGCAGTCATAAATACAAACAAAAGACATAACTCTGATAATGTGCACTGTCCTTGAAGTTGATTGGTCCACACCCGAGACAGCTTTCCTTCGAGCCTAGTCTCATATATATATATGAGACTAGGGGAATACATGTCACAGCCATTGTGTAATTAAAAGCAAAAACGTTTTATATATATATCTGGTGCTATCCTAATAACTGAGGGTTGATGTGTACGACAGATGTTGTTCATCTTTCACAGAGAGTCCCATCCTGCACCTCAAATTAGCGCGGTTGCCTACGTACGGTGCGAAAGAAGTTCAACATCCATACAACCAACTTATTATATTGTCCCATCAGCTGATCCATGTATTTCCTCTTCCCTTCCAATGTCCCATGCGGAATCATCTTGACTATTGCCTTCACTCTCACATCTTGGAATTCACCTGGAACGCACGGGTTCCAATGCAGGCCCCTGCAGACCACGCTCAGCCTTCAGATCGGGCCGTTAGTGATTTGATTTTCACTAAAAACAGAAACTCAGCCTTGATGACCGGATGGCATCTGGTTAATTATTTACTGTACGGCATGTAACACATTACCAAAAAAAAAACCTTGGTACTACTGAAACCGGTGTGCTGTTCCACCGTGTAACATTATATCCTTTCAGAGAACTGCTATTCGACTCCTGTACAAAGCCTTCTATGACCAAAAAAAAAAGAAAACAAAAAATCACGTTTGAGTCTCAGCTGCAGTGTTTCCTCGTGAAAGTGACTTGCAGAACTGTAAGTGGTACTTCAGTGTTCCAGCGGAGCGAACGGTGCATTTCAATGCGCATTCAAAAGGTTTAATCAAAACACGAGGCAGTGGTTAAAATTTTTAACAATTTAAAAACGTAACCTTACACAAAGGAACCACTCGAGTGTTATAAATCAGCAAGGCATGTGGCTGGCGACAGCACTTTGGTAGCTTAAAAACACATTCCCAGTTAAGCAATGCCCAGCGATGCTTGAAAAACAACACTATAAGTCCTTGATATATTTTCTCTTGACTTAAAGCTTTCGTGACTGCAGGAATTCATATTATTTGGGTCTTTCGGTAAAGCCACGTAGTTAGAAAAATTATAAAAGCAAATTCGCCCCGCCCACTTACCCTTGGGCTACACCCATCTCAAACCTATATAACATCCTGCTTCAGAAGCAGTCCCGATATATGTTTTCACCTGATGATGATTGCTTGTGTTGCGATCGAAACGTCGTGATATTTTGGTTATTTTTCTATCTACGTGACTTTACCGAAAGACCCAAAGAAGACATTTTCTTTGCGTGCCTGTGTATTGTGTAAATGTCCAAACGATGGGCAACTTTGTTGAGCGATCATTTGTGGCCAGGTCGCTTCTGAATAATAAATACCTCAGCGGACTTTGCCTGGTAGGATGGGAATGGTTTAGTTTCATGTGTTTGGGTGATTTGTCTACCTTTCTTGTACTTTGAACGACTATCATGTTATTGTATTGTTTGTTGTTCTAACATTCTTTCTCGCCCCTATTGGACATCTGTGAAAAGGAGCTTTATAGCCCATCGGATTCCTCCAGTACAAATAAATATTCTGATTCTGAAATCCCAATTACAAAAGGGGGACAATTTACATGAGGTTTACATGTTGTAAATGTCACATTCAGTGAGGCACTGCAAGCTGCAGTGCTTGTGTGTGTTATGCCCTAACATTCTCACCTGTGTTGCAATGATACATGTACCGTAACATGAGTTTGAGAATATTCTCAACAGAATACTGCATAGAATGTATTTTACTGCTTTTTAAAACAATATATTTGGGACAATACAAAACAATGCAGAAATCCCCAATCAAATAAACCAAACAACTCAGAATAATACATTAGTTATCGAATTATAAAGTTCGGACAAGTATCTTTTTTGACAACTAGTATTTGTAAAGAAAATCCTACATGAATCAGTTAATTAAATTTCACCCAGGCTGAATGGCGTGTTATTTTCCTAACTTACTCCAATTGTGCTATTTTATCATGTCATGGGACATCGAATACCATTTGGAAATCTCACAGACCAGTGGCAGAGAACAGCCCATGGAAGAGATTTGCATGGATTCTGAAAACATTTTCACGTGGCGTTTTTATCCCATACACAGTAAGAAGCACACTTTCCCATAAGCTCTGACATGGATGTAGAACTTATTTCGCACCAGACGTAGCCAACTCCTGGTTAAGGTCAGGAGAGTTCTGCCTAAGGTCATAAGGGATCGAATTTCATTGTTCCTGTTTGCCCACAATTGGCTCCTGGTTCTCTGACCTTTAAACTCTGAAGGTTGGAGCCCCCCCCCCCCCCCTTTGTTTTCCCAAGTGAAGCAACCTCCTGTCTTGGAGGCAGGCTTTCACACCAGGAATCAACACTTGGGTTCACCGCCAGGAGATTGAGAGAATACGTTTGTCCGGTTTTTTTTCGTTTCTCGTGGCCGTTAAGTTGGCCGGAAGAGTTGATACAATTCTACATTTGTTTGAGCTTCCTACCTTACCTGGTGTTAGCCTGCGATAAGATCACATTGACGATTTCTCTGAGGTTTTTTGTCCGAAGTGGTCTCAGGGATTGACAGCGAGCAACCGGGTTCACCTACCCTCGTTTTGTCCCCTGACTTTCAAGTCAGACAGGCAGAGGCGTTGGCATTGTTTGGATCCTGCCAGGCCGCTAAAATGGTTTCTGCATTGAGTTCAGTTGCATGTTTTGTTCGGCTCCGAATTGCAGAGGAAAAAAGAGGGCTCAGAAGCCCGTATGACTACATGGTGAATGGCCTGTATTTTATTACGAGGTGTCTGCCTCAGTGGGTTGTAGTGTACTCCATGAGCTGTGGCTTCCAGGGCCTGTGTTTACGTCCCTCTTTGAGGACCTCTGTCGACGAGTTGCAATCTGTGCCACACACCTTTGATTGGTACCATAGTCTCAATATTCTTGTCTGCTGAAGCAGCATTGAGAGGCAGTGTTCTGTGCCGTGGTGCAGTAGATGCACCACTCCCTCCACCTTTAGTCTGGCTTTGGCAGAGGATATGTAATGGTAATGTATGAAGGTGCTGCGAGGCTGTAGAGAAATGTTCATTTTTGTATTTGTGTTGTTGGGCTAGATTTTCGCTGCACATTCCCGTGGAGGATGAGGCTCTGTGATAGGGAATTATTGGATACGGTAAGATAGTTATGGTGGGAGTGGTCTCCAATAGCCTAGTTGACCATATACTCAGTGCAGCTGCTAACACAGCACTAGGAGTTAGACAAGCTGAAAGACTGGATGATTGTCCCTGTCATCTGACTTTATAGATAAAGTGAAAGTGTCAAAAGCCCCTCATTAGTAAGTGTAGGTGTAGATGGTGGTGGCCTAGGGATGAGCCTTTCAGGAAATAATATTCTCTGTACAGATGTTTGATGGCATCTGGAGGTAATAACCAATATCTATGGCTTTGGGTGCTGCCAAAGCCTATAAACAAAATCATATGTAATCACCAAGTCTTACGTTGGACATGATGGTTTATTGTGCAGTCATTTGTTACGGAGCTGAGACCATCAGCACACTGCACTTGAGAAGCAGTTTAATCGCAGGTGACTGTCCAGATTCGAAGCCAGGATCTCAGCAGCGCCAGTTCAGCACTCGACCTCTGAGTCACCCAGACATGAACATATTTATTACATAATATTTATTTTGTACTTTTAAGCTGTGTTAAGGGAAACATTGCAAAATGTGAAAGTACAGTGACAAAATTATATGCGTAAAACCCTCTTCCAAATGGTTCTTTAATCTTGGTCTCGGTGGCATCAGATGATCAGCCAGCGATGGAATATTTTAAGTCACTGCTATCTTTAAAAACCCAACGATATACAAGTCTCACAAACTTCTTATATTGGATTATGATATTCAGTGGCATTTCCAAAAAAGTTATTGAAAATCAAACCCCTGGGAACACTTTAAAATCTGCTAAAATACAGAAATGGCTGTTTTGGGGTGAATAAAGTATGTCCATCTGAACGCCTGTGACAAACAGGTCCAAATATGATTCACCATCGCTACTTCCATTTGTTTTCTATCGATGAACAGCGTTCTCAATTTAGCACCATTCCTTCAAGGAAGAAAAATATACATTACAATAATATAGAAAAATAAGTAAACTATTAATTGCGCATTGTAAGTAGAGACTTTTTTTTTATACAACTCCTCAATGAGTGCCGCCCCTTTCATGGGGTTGTTGTTTGGAACTATGCCCCCAGAGTGGCTGCCCAGTCGCAGGTGCTGGATAAAGCTCATGGCCACGGTATCCTGGTTCCAGTAAAGCCAGGCTGCTGATGAGTTCCAAACTCCGCCCAACTTCCGTGTGCAGCTGCTGACCTTCGCTCGCACCGTCTTCATCCTGCACACCACCCCGCATCACCTCCCGGGGGTTTGAATGCAAGTGTGGAGCAATCCCTCTGCCGACATGCGGCATGGTCCCAGAGTGCTCCTGCGAGCTACGAGACATGAGAAGCAGGCTGTCTTGTATCATGGTGGGGCCCACGGCTGAAGTCAGATGGCTCGGCTGACTCTGTGCTTCAGTGACCGTCGACTGGATCGCGACCGGCATCATATGACCATGTGGAATCTGGGCAGGCATTCCATTGGAACCGGAGCGGGTGGCACCACCAGAAGGATTTGTAGAAAACTGCTGATGTATCGCAGTCAAGGGGGCGGCCACTTGGGGGCTTGAGCTCGTTAAAGTCACGGCCGATTGGCGATGGTGCAGCGTGCTCGTGGGCATCCTGGGGCAGGCCTGTAATTGCATGGAAATCTGAGAGTGCATACCACTAGAAGGCTGCGCATGCATATCAGCGTGGGGCCTGGCAGGAGTAGACACCTCAACTTGCAGAACGAGTGGATCGGGGCAGCCACTGGATGACGGAGCAGGCAGCTGCAGCTGTTGCTGCTGATCGCCTTGCATCGAATGCACGTAGGTCGTTTCCACTGGCTTCACGTGGTGCTCACGCTGTGCCTGGTGCGTCGCGTAATCTGTCAATGCCGCCACGCGACTGTGCTGCTGACCGAAGTGCTCAACCGTGCGTGTGGGTATGACGTCCAGGGTCTCCGCTGCCAGCTTGTCGGACAAGGACGAGGTCGCCAGATTGAAGTCGGTCCTAGGAAAGCTCTGCTGCTCTCCCGGGTCCCGTTGTGGGGCTTCTGTGCTCGGCCCGGTAGATGCCCCTGCCGGCGCCGGGCGCTTAAAGAGCTCGGCGAACGACACCCCGGGGTCACGTGACTCGGCGATGGGGGGGCACGGGGCGGCGCTGTCAGCGTCCGGGTCGCGCTCGTGGATCGCACGGTGCCGGCGCAGGATGGCGGAGCGTGTGAAGCGCTTGCTGCACACGTCGCACGCGTACGGCCGCTCGCCCGTGTGTATCCGCATGTGCCGCTTGAGGTCGCCGACACCCGAAAAGCTCTTGTCTGGAGACACAGGCGACGGGGTCAACTTTAAATTGCAACGACCTGTGATTATTTAAACTCCGCTGGGACATTTTCTATTGTGTAACTGCAATGGCCAAGCCAGGCCTGCCCACTAAGTTGACCACGATAACGTGATGCGGGACGCAATGTAGAGAAGTGTGCCAAGATGAACGTTTGCTTGGTTGAGCAGAGACAATTGTTGGGTTTAGTCATTACATACCACAAACGTTCACGTCAGAGAATTGTATAGGTTTCTGTCGGATTAAATCACGCTCAATGGTTGTAAGATATGCCCCTCCGCACCCTAAGTGGAAGGGGAAATAAAACAAGAACGTTCGTCATTGAGGGTATTAAATGAATATGGGGAGTGGTGGTGCAGTGGTTAGCACACTGCGTTATGAACCCAGCAATCAGAGTTCGATTCCCGCTTGAGGCCATTATCAGTGACAAATATCTTAACCTGTCCTGGACATCCCCTAGGTCGATTCAGCATTAAATTAGTACCAGGTGCAGTGTGTAAACATCAGCAGTGGGGAAAGGGAGGCGGCCGGGCGTGGTGGCCACCCACCCCCTTGGCCTTCAAAGGTGCTTTATGATAAGCACTTGCCCCAACAGACCATGAAGGCTATACGGGGGATCTTTGTCATTGTATATATAGTATACTCTATGATGCCATTACCAATTACATGCTATACATTTCTGCTGAAATATATATAAGTGTAGGTTTATAACGTGAAAGTCAGGAGGATTAAAAGGCTTTCATGATTACATAAGGCTTATGTTAAAACCATGTATATAAGTTCCAATTAAATAGAGATGTAATTGTGACGTTGGGATGAACTACAGTAATGAAGTTCGTGTACTTTTCCTACCATGTCACTTTAATGAGAAGAGGACCCTGCAATAGACAGGATTTTGTAGGGTTGTACAGCATGGCTTAAGACTGAATGCAATTTTGATAGAATTATGAGGTCACATTAATTATTTGAGCCAACATTAATGAATGCTGAACACAGATCACAATTTCATTAAATTTTGCAGCTTAATATTCACCCATTAAAGTGTATTCCAAGAAGGAATTGAGTGTGTGCTGAGGGACACAAGTTTAAATGTATCCATACTTCACTGTGCTCCTTATCAAAAGGCGACTGCGGTGAGATGTTAAATACCTCGCCTGGTATACAGGAGGTTGTGGGTTCGCTCTCAACCCTGACTCCTGTACATTTGGAGTTTTTATGTTATCCCTGTGGTCACGTGGATTTTTCTCCGGGCACTCAAGTTTTTCCCTCCGCATTTAGAAATATTCATTTAGAATATTTGTCTGCTATAAATTTCCACGCGATAAACCACTTTGTTGAGCTGTCATTTGTGGCCAGGTCACGTCTGAAAGAGAGCTACATAGCTTAGTGGGGCTTACCTGGCAAAATAAAAAAACGTTTAGTTTAGTTTGACGTGGAGGACTTCCAGTAAATGGATGAAAGAGGGAAGGTCTGGCCGCTGGGCACTCAAAGCCATCGCTCCACGTAAATGAACGGGTTGCGCAAAACCCACCGCAAACCTCGCAGCTGTGAGGCTTCTGCCCGGCGTGGCGCGCCCGGTGCCGGGTCAGGCAGCGTGGCACTCGGAAGCACATTCCGCACAAGTCACATCGGAAGGGGCGGTCGCTGGCGTGCACCTGCCTGTGCTCCTTCAGGTTGTTGAAGATGCTGAAGCCTGCCAGCAAATCGTTGTGAAGGGTCACATTTTTGATCAGTTTTATACGTAAATTTTCAATTTAGCGAGTAAAGGCAACGTTCACAAAAACACTTTTTTATTTTACCAATCACTCCAGCCGTCTGGTGCATATATATATACTTGTCCATCATACTCCCCAACAACTACATTATGAAACCAAACACTGCCAAGTAGTAGTGATATTGAAAGCGTCCGAGAACAATCGGCAAAGTATGGAATTGTAAACACAGCAAACAAAGAAATCAAGTATGCACAAGAAATCCCAAGCATAAGGGAAATCAAATAAGCAGCATACTATAGGCCTACAATCATACCTTTTCCACAGATGTCACAGACATGGGGCTTCTCTTGCGTGTGAGTGACGCTGTGTCGTTGAGCCTCACTGGATGCATGAAATCTGTAGCAAAAGACCAAGCTCGTTCACCACACGCAGCCCCAGCAAGAAACACCACCACCAATGGCTATTAATTACACACCTTTCTTGCATTAGATGTTAAACGAAAAGTAACCTACTCAACAATAAATGCAAGTGCCCCCTTTATCAAACAACAGCTTTTTTAATTAATTGGTTTTCATGGGATCTTTTTTTTCTTTCATTTTGAGCGATTAAATGTATTTTTGTAAAAGTCAATGCTTCCTTCATTATAGAAAATAACGGAGCCCTATTAAATATTTGTTTTCAGTTAAGTCGTGAGCAGTGCCGAGTCACGCACCTCTTGCCACAGACATCGCACATGAAGGGCTTCTCGCCGGTGTGACGCCGCACATGTAACTTCAGATTCCCACCCTGCAAAACGCTCACAAGCAGGGCCGGCAATAAGACAACCAAGTGAGCGAGCGCCCGCTGAGCAAACGATAAAAGCCATACAACAAATGTGGGTACATTTCTTACGTGTCGTTTCGTCTCATCTTACCCCACCTGTGAGAACTTTCTGCCACAGTGTCGGCAAACGTATGGCTTCTCGCCTGTAAAACAAGTTACAATGAGCGCACGTGAGTAGTTTGGAACTATTCTCTTTGGTTTTTTTGGTAAAGTCACGTAGGTAAAAAATAAATAAAATAAATGAAAACTAAATTAAATCACGACGTTTCGGGCACAACACAAGCGTCCTTCTTCAGGTGGGGACAACGTAGCAAAAGCACAACCGCTTAAGTGTGTCTAAGAGATGGCTGTGACGAGGAATTATATAGTCACAGCCATCTCTTAGACACACTTAAGCGGTTCTGCTTTCGCTACGTTGTCCCCACCTGAAGAAGGACGCTTGCATTGTGCCCGAAACGTCGTGATTTAATTTAGTTGTTTTCATTTTTTTTTTACCTACGTGACTTTACCGAAACAACCAAAGAGTATGAATCCTTGCAGTCATGAAAACTTAAAATCTAGAATTAGTTTGGAACTATTAATTATCTGTATGGAATTTTTTAATCTGGAAAAAAACATTTTTTTATTCAAAATCAGAATATGTATAATACTGGGGGAATCCGATGAGCTATAAAGCTCATTTTCACAGATGTCAAGTGAGGGCAAGTCAGAACGTTACATCAATAATCAAAACGTTACGACAAAATTATCTTAACCTGATCATTTCTATTTGGCCAAGTTTCAGATAATCAATTCCAGAATTTTAGTTTTTACATTATTATTTTAATTAACCTCTACTCATGGACCCTATCTGTTATCTCTGCACAACGGCACACGTTGGTATCGTTAAGAAATAACAAAAGTTAGTGATAAGCAACTATATTTATTCCACCTGTGTGAGAGCGCTTGTGAGTCTCCAGATTGCTGGGGTGAGGAAACGCTTTTCCGCAGTCCTCGCAGAAATACTGCCTCCCTGTGGCGTGCGGCTCCAAGGAGGGTTTGCCAACCAGTGACAGTTCTTGCTGTTCCGCTGGGGCTTTCTCTGAAGCCATGTCGTGCGATTTTTGGACACTTGGAACTACAGATACAACTGAGGTCTGTTTATCATAAGTATCTGCCTTCTCTAAAGCAGACTGAGAGCGTGGCACATTTGTCTTGTGTGTCGCTGCTGCCGAAGGAAGATCAATTCTATTCTCAGCTGAAGACTTCTCGATAGTCTGCGCAGAATCTGACCGGACATTTTGTTCATGCGATGCTGATGTTCCATTTGCATCTCTCAATGATGTCTTCTTCGGAGGCCTCATTCTCTTCAATTTGCTCTGCTCACTTGCTGGTGCCGCCTCTACATCATTTGACTTGTCTTCTAGCAAACAGTTGTGCCTTCCTCCATTGACCTCTGTCCCATTACTGTTCGTCGTCATCTCCTTGATCTTCCTAAGCGTATGAGTGGGCACAGTCTTTGGTGGTGGTGATGGTGGTTGTGCTGGTGGAGAGTCAGAAGCTTCTCTGGCTTCGAGCAGCTCACGCTTTTTTGGATGAACAACTCTGCGCTGACGCCCCTGTTGTTTCGAGCTCAATGCTGCTCCTCCATCTGACAAAACCGCTCCGGAACACCCGCCACCGTTCCTCTGAACCAATGTCGCCTCGCTCACGTTAGGTTGCACAGATTCCTGCTCATCCTTTCCTGCACAGCGAGCTAGCAAGGGGAACTTCGGGGCCTTTTTATTCTTCGAAAAAACATGGCTGTGGCCAGATGCAGTCTGATTTTCAAGGTGACTTTTTTCAGTAATAGAATCATCTGACTGTGATTCGGAGGTATGTAAGGTGCCACTGCTCTGCTTCGCTGTGTTTTTCTGAGACTCCAGAAAGCTGGAACATACATTGACAATGTTCTGCACCTGCAGGTTTGTGGCCAGCTCCAGCATGGTGTGAGCATTCTCCTGCGATAGCTCCAGGTGTGAGGTGTACATGAAGTCAAGGATTTGGCCAATACCACCAACGCTGTCTATCTGTATGTGGAACACGTCTCTCCGTTGGCTGCTGGAGTTCTGAAACAGCTTCCTGGTCACCAAATTAAAGGGGAAACAAAGTGTTCATGACAAGGTGAAACCGACTGCCTACTCAACCGAGCAATGGGGAAGCACTGTTTCCAGCCAAGGGCATGACATGTTGCTTTGAGAGTAATTGTAATAGAAAATCCAATACATTTAGATGCATCCATAGTAAAAATACTGGAATAACATGATGACAAGTGGATGCACAAGGTGGTATGAAATGCGTTACAAGCACAGCTGCATTGATTTGTGAACTTTAATTGATATTAAACTCTGATGAACTCAGCTAAACAGTATTTATTTTTTAAGCTTTTTTCTCTCCTCAATTTTATTTCGAGAGTCATATTGCTACCATGTCGTGTGATGAGGATTATTCACTTGGAACACCGGCATCAAGTAGTGTATTACGTTGTGTCGGTGAACATCTCCAGAAGATGATATCACAGAACTACTGTACTTCGGAAGTCTATTCAATATGCCTCTTTAACAACACGAGGCTCACATATTAATTGACATTAAATATCGAGCGTGCGTCATGGCAAACGAAATGACGGTAGAATATGCCAAATGAAGCGACAGACCCAACGCAATGATGGTTTCTGCAGTCTAATTGGTGATCAAAGCGGTTCTCGCTGCACTTGAGAACCCAATTCAATCACGGGTGGCTGAAATCTGGATTTTGTTGTCCCGTCCCCCGCACCTCCGATGAGCACGGGTGGCTACGTGCGGTGCGAAAGAAGTTCAACATACATACACACGTACATTTGAGCCCAGGATCACAGCAATGCCAGCCAGTGTTGTAGCTACTGAGTGTGCAAGCGGTGCAACTGCACCACGGGCCCACTGGCCAGAGGGGCCGAAGAGGCGGGCTGCCAATGAGTGGGGATTGGACTGGGGGCCACATTTCACGAGATGACGTTCGAGAAAAGGGAGACCACAATCTCACTGAATGCGAAACATCAAAACGCTGGGCCGGACGGAGGACATCTCGGTGGAAATACGCAGCGACAGACAAGAGAGACGACGTAGAGAGACCGCTGCTAGGAGATATCATTCCCCAGTGGGCCAAAAGTGTCAATTGACTCAGAAGACGAAAGGACTCATGCCAATTACACAACACCACCGGTACAAGGCCCCATCATTGTTCTGAGATAGTGTCAGACCCCCCCCCACCGCACCGAGCCATCCAGCCACTTGTTTGACAAATCCCAACGAAAGTCCACCAAACCTGAAGTGTCCGCTGAAGGCGGCGAGGACGTTCTTGTGCGCCTTGAAGCAGACTCCCCTGACCATGAGCGTGCAGTCGCACAGCAGGCCCTGGATGCGTTGGTCGTGCAGCTGTTTCAGCAGGAAGGAGCCGTGCTGCTCCCATGCAGGGGGCCCTGATGCCGAGGCACCCACGTGGCGTGCGGCGGGGGGAGCTGAGCCGGTGCCCGACGCGGCCTCGTCCCAGCGGCGAGACGGGCGCCTGGGACGCGGGGTCAGCGGGGTCAGCGGGACAGAGCGGAGAGGGCAGAAGGCATACTCTAAGGTTTTTTTCGGTAAAGTCACGTAGGTATAAATAAATAATAAAAACAAAATTTTTTCATCTTTATTTACTTACTTATATAAAAACAAAGGTAAAATAAATAAATCATAAAATATATAAGGAAAATAAATTATTATTTATTAGGTATTTTTTTCTTTTTCCCCTATGTGACTTTACCGAAAAAACCTAAGAATATCAATCCTTGCAGTCACGAACGCTTCAAATCTAGGGCAGAAGACACTTTCGTTAATTGACATGCGGCGTCTTTAATTGTGGGTTGGCATCAGTGTCCAGGAGCTATGGTGGAGAGGTGGGGGGAGGTGTGAAGGAGCAATTGTCACATTTCTACCCCCACCCACCCTCCATGGTATTTTGTTTACATTTACCAGAGGAAATACATTGAAGGTTTTGTTATTCACGCAGATGTAGGTTGGGACCCCTGTTTCAAAAGCGTGACATTTTTGGACGGGCAGCCACCCCACACACCCCACCCACCATGGGAAGCCTCTGGGTGGCGCTCGTTAGCTTTGGACGTTACCATGGCGGGACCCCGCCAGCCCCCCAATGTGAAGTCACAGAGGGGAGGGGGGTGAGCACCGCCGACTCAGCACAAAGTCCTTGGGTCGTGCAAGTGACAACGCCAAACGGGCTCAGCGCAACCCGCTGGACACGAATCAACAGGGAGGGGGGCAGCAGCAGCAGACAGTCCGGCACAGAGAACGCGAGCAGCATTCCCCGTCCTCTAACCATCACCCCACCCGTCCCCCATTCACATGGACACTCATGCTGATGCTGCTACTGCTGCTGATGATGCTGCTGCTGCTGCTACTAATGCTGCTACTGATGCTGCTGCTACTGATGCTGCTGTTGATGCTGCTGCTATTGATGCTGCTACTGCTGCTGCTGATGATGATACTGCTGATGATGATGCTGCTGATGCTACTGATGCTGCTGATGATGCTGATGCTGCTGCTGATGCTGCTGATGATGATGCTGCTGCTGCTACTGATGCTGCTGCTGATGCTGCTATTGCTGATGCTGCTACTGATGCTGCTGCTACTGATGCTGCTGATGCTGCTGCTGATGCTGCTACTGATGCTGCTGCTACTGCTGCTGCTACTGATGCTGCTGCTCAATACCTCATGGCGACTTGGAACCGGAGCCAGGGCGCCTTCTGTCGTGATGGTCAAGTCAGGGATATGACCCCGCTGCTGCTGCTGCTGCTCCTGGTTGTGATGATGATGCTGCTGCTGGTGATGCTGCTGCTGGTGTTGGTCTTGGTTGTGATGATGTTGCTGCTGCTGGTGCTGATGATGGCTTTTGCCTTGGTTTTCCGGTTCAAGTGAATGGCACGATAGCTCCTGCTGCTGTTGATGCCGTTTCTGGTGAGCTGAAGGATATGATGATGATGATGCTGATGATGCTGCGGCTACAACTGCTGATGGTTATTGTTGCTGGTTATGCCGCTACTGCTGGTCAGCTCAGAGTTATCAGGACGATGATGATGCAGCTGCTGATGTTCGTGCTTGTGTTTCTGTGGCTGATTTGTGTTGTGCTGCTACTGCTGCTGCTAAAAACTGGTCGTCCTGCTGGTGTCGCTTGCGACGTTTTCCGTTGTGGACGCGAGTGGCAGTAAACTTCCCCCCGAGGTCACCCCGACTTATGAGCCGCAATAAACCCTGACTCGGAAGAGCTTGTTGGCCCCACAGACGCCCCCCGGTCATTCATTCGTTCCTTCGTTCGCTCCCAGACGTCACAAGGGGGCGCTGTCGCCAAGTCAATCCGTACAACAAGTCAACCCGTAATAAGTATAACCCGTAAAAACAAAGTTTTTCACTATAAATCCTTTATATGCGTGGAGGCTAGAGTCCTCTCGTCCTCTGGCTTGAGATGGCTGCCACCTATGGGTTATATGATTGTCTGCCAGTATTAAACAATTGGTAATTAAATATTTAATTTGTTTTCCCTAAACAGTGTAAAATTTTGGAAAAAATTTTCACGAACATTAATTGTCTCGCACGAGTCTGTGTGGAAAATGTCAGCTCGATTGGATCACGGGAAGTGGGTTAAAAAACGACCGAAAGATTTGCACGGTCCTAAGCAAGCAAGCAAGTGAACTTAATATAAAGGATTTAAAAACAAAGTTTTTAAATCCTTTATATGCGTGGCATCAGGGCGGCAAGAGTCCTCTCGTCCTCTGGCTTGAGATGGCTGCCACCTATGGGTCAAATGATTGTCTGGCAGCATTAAACAATTGGTAATTAAATATTTTAAAAAAATTCCCTAAACAGTGTAACATTTTGGAAAAATTTTTTCACGAAAATGCATTGTCACGCACAACGAGTCTTTGTGCAAAACGTCAGCTCGATTGGATCACGGGAAGTGGGTTAAAAAACGACCAAAAGATTTGCACGGTCCTAAGCAAGCAAGCGAACTTAATATAAAGGATTTTAAAAGTCCATCAATTGATAAAACTTGGGACACATTCGTCAATGACTGTGTGTGGCTTTGACACGACACGTATATGATGGGCGACGTTTCAGGAAATGGTCCCTTCTTGACAGCGCCAGAGGCCGGAGAAAGTTAAGGACAATTGACAATATAAGCGGACAATGTTGCTTTTTAACACATCCCGTCAGCCACAAAACCTTCTGGGAGTGCATTTCAGCAGCATTGGTTCAATACAAGCAAACTCTACACCGGCTGCGACAATGTCTCAACAGCAAAGCCTGGCTTTCTTGAACAAATTACATGAAATTTATCTTCAGCTTCCACCTTGCAGTGTACATTTGTCACTTGCCACGAATCTTAGCTGGAGCTGGGCCTCTTGAAACCACAAATCAGTTTTTTCCATTTTAAGGATCTTCATTTATAATGAAATACCAATTAACCTGGTATAAGTGATCCTGACCGTTAAGCGGGTGATCAAGAGGCAGGCTTGATGGCTCGTAGAGAGATATAAATATTGAGTCACGGAAGCGAGACATCCACTTCGGCTTGAAGCAGGTCAGAAAATATATTCACTTAGCAGCAGTACCTGAGGTGGAAAACCTTCAGCGATACCAGTTTCTACGTGGTTACCTAATTTTGCAAACAATTCAGTGATGGTGGAGCAGTGACACTGTGGTTATGGCACTCCGCTATGAAGCACGGAACGTGAGTTTGACGTCAAGCCATAGCTACCAGTGGTGATATCTTAACCTGTCCTAGCCTCATTCGCCTTTACAAACTTGCCCTGACCCACAAACACTATACCTGGCAACCCCCTATCAGTGCCTATCTTATTACAGACCTTATTGGTCACCCTGTGCCCTTATAAATCTCAACAATCCTTCAAAGTCCCATCACAAGGGAGAAACACAAATAGACAAAAAAATGTGCCCGTATTGAAATGGCTGTATGCCGTATGGACCTAAAAACTGAATTTCCCTGTACCAGAATATGGAGTAAACCGTATGGATTGACAGGTATGAAACACCACTGCCTGAGGCAACATGGGGAGCATTTCTTCCAACCGTGGATTGTCAAAGGGCTGAAAAGCAGTAAAATTATAAATATTCCACAAAATGTCTGTTCTGGTCCATGTACTAAGTGTGCAGAGGTTTATAAAGTTGTTACACAGAAAAGTCTGTCTTAAGAAAAGTTTCAGGAAGGTGGGGGGACAGTGCGACTTGGCAGGACAAATCAGGAATAGTTCTAACTTCATGGAATATGATGGCCAGTCTCTACTTGCTCAAGCATGGTGAATTTTGATTCAATGTGCTTAGCTTCTCAGGTATAGCTTTGTTCTGGACATTGTATTCTTCCTACCCACCAAAACACTAACAACTTGTAATTTAGTACTGTACCATATGCAGTGTGTGAACAGAAAAATAACACAAGTACCATAAAGGGTTTGGGTATGTAGGAACAAAATTCATTGAAAATGTAATCGCACACATCACAAATTTAAATACAGAGTAGGAATCAATTTAGCGCAACTGCATATAAACAATGTATATATTACATGGTTGAACATTAAAAGTGCATTGCCATAAGTAGTTTCCAGGAAAACACAAGCTACATCAATAAACACATTCTGCAATCACAATGTGCATGCATAGAAACTAATGAATCCATGTATTAAATGACATTGCAAACATTTACCGGTCATTATATATGTCAAATGAAATGCAAATGAAGGCAAGTACATTAATCAGAACATTTATTTTTTAAATGTAATGCAAAATGTAATGCAGAGTGATATCGAGACCAACTTTTTTGCAAGGAAATGTTGAATGGTCCCATTAAATATATAATACACCTATACACATGTCTCAGTGCATGGAGATGACTCAACAGGAAAAATATACCCATTTTTCTTAATTGCAGTAAATGGAAAAAGTTAAGTTTCTTTATAAGTGACCGTTAAACATGGTTGTAAATAATTATACATTTCTTCATCATTCATGTTAATAAGTAAAAACAAGTTTAACGTGATTGTTTTTAATGTTCAATCGTGTTAGAAGGCAACTATAGTGCTTTTAAACAACACATCCAGAATCAGCGAGTTTAATGTTACAGGAAAAGATATGAACACATTTTTTACAATTTAAAAATACTATATTTCGGATATATTAACCGATGCACAAGCATTTATCCCACAGTCTGAAGAGCTTGGGTAGCACCACGTTCCGTTTGGTTACGGCCCATCGACAGGCGCGCCAGCCGTTCTGCATAAAACCCATTGAAGTCCAACCTGGCAGACGCCACACACATGCAAAACCTTTCGTTGATCACTTCTGTCACATAAATTTCATACGTGGCTCATCTGTACCGCCTTGCAGTGTATTGTTTTCATCAATTTTGTAACTGAAACATTTTTCTCGCGAACCCACTTTTTCATTTAATTGACAGAACATTTTATTATTTGTGTTATTGCTAAAACACAATTGTTGTTTTATTTTGTAATGCGAATTCATGAAATGACTTTGGGGTGAATACATCTTATAAAAGTAATTTATTATCGCTGAATCTCAACAGGCTGCCCACTTATTTTTTATACATTGTCATTTACCCGTAGGCAGTATGTCCAGGACAAAAAAAATAATCCACAGTATTATTTTACAAATTCCAAAATAGGTACCTGTATATGATGTTGATCATGCTGTGTTCGCAGTCGTTGGTGCTGTGCACGCTAATCTTATCGAGCAGGTCAAGCAGGTGTGATGAGAAGTTGGAATCGAACTTGGCAATGGCTGCCTCAAAGCCCTCACTTTTCTGCATGGCATCTGCATGCTCGGCAAGGTACTGCCCATCACACATTAGCATACCACAAGAATGCACTGATTCAGATGTCATGCCACTCATCACAAATAAGCAAATAAAATGTATTCGTGGAACAAAATGGTACGATACTCCTCAAACAGGACTGGCCAAATTAGACATCTCGTGTTGTTATTGACCAGACAATGCGGTTTAAAGTAAATGTATAAGCATCTCACCATAATCAAGCAACATGCTATGAAAATCATACCAGCCACATTTTGACATGTTATCAGTATTCATTTTGCCCTCTGCCTCACTTAAAAAATATGGCACGTGTGCATACCCTACCTTGGAAGTGAGTCTTTTCTTCTCAGCCTCCCGATCACGCTCACTCTGTGTGGGAGGTCCCTTCATGGTGCCATGCTCAAGAGAGATGCGCTCCATCTCTGCTTCGAGCGTCATGCTGTGCGTGAAGCGCTGCACATAGTAGGGATAGGAGTCATTGACCTTGCATCTGCATATGACATTGTTTATGTAAATTGTCCACGTACAAACGAGGGTCAACACCAACTTGAATATTTAAATACCATATTTTATCAAAGAACAGCATAGTTTACAATGACTGTAATACATCCAACACATTTCTACAAGAAATGAAAAATAACCAGCAAGCTATTTCATACAAATTAAATGAAAGAAAACATAACAAAACATGTCCAGGTATAAAAACACCCCAGCTGACCAGATTGCTAATCAACATGTCAGGTGTTCCTAAAAATTTGAAGTTTATTCAGAACACTAGCACACACCTGCATGCAGTTGGTGAACATGACACAAACGGACATGAGCTTGGATAGGATCTTGAGTAGTTCAGGGTTTGTTAGCATGCAGTCCTTGAGGCAGTTGTCCAGGAAGTTTGTGTGGTTGAACAGAACATCATCGATGTTGGATGCCTGATGGCAGATCAACCACCGTCAGATACAAGGCCAGCATAGGTTTTAAAATAATATTTATATTTATTTTACATAAACTTTCCCCATAGCACAGCATACATTTGCGTAGGTAAAGATGTCATGTATTGTATAATACAGTTTCATATAAAGCAATGAAAGTTCACAAGCCTTACCGATTTCAGTTTGGTTTCCATTAAGTGCCAGTTGGGCTCTAAGACCTCAAACATCATGTAGTACTGGAAATTTTGTACAAAGTTGAGCATACGCTGACGAAGAGTGAAGGCAGGTGCAGACCTGCATGCCAACAAACAACCAATCCATTAAACTTGTTCCCAACGACTTTGCATTGAACATGCAGCTCAAAAATGCAAACTAACTCTCAAGCCCTTAACCAGCTGGTTCCCCCCTCATCGAAAGTGCAAGCACAGCTCACCACTTTGCGGAGCTCAGGGAGTGCTGCTTGGCCGATTTGCTACTGATCCACACGTTGCACAGTTGCCGCTCCACATGCTTGCAGTAGAAAAGGTGTCGGAAGAGCATCTGATACCTTGTCAAGGCTTTTCTGTAGGAAAAATTATTATACAGAGCAGATAAACATAACTAATTTGGCAAGGCTCTTAAATGTAAACAGGTAAATACAACTAATTGGCAAGGCTCTTAACGATAAACAGGAATACCTACTATGATTAAAAAATAAAAAGGCTTTACCCCCTTTCTGGCAAGGCTCTACCCTTTCCAGAAATTTTGCCAAAAAGGGTAAAGTCTTTTATTTTTTCATGATACCGGCAAAAAGGGTTTCATAGACAGGAATACCTACGGAATAATAGATAACAATTGCTATCACGTTTTCCCATAAGCAATGAATGCAGGACTAATAATTAGCATATGATTGTGGAATAAAACATTTTCACGTAGCTTCCATATTCAGTTAAGATGCCCAGATTACTTAAAAGCCATACAATAATTATCCAGTGTGTAAATGCTGAGGAATAGAGGTTGGCCTTAAAAACATGTACATGTTCATATTCAATGTCTGCGTCGTGACTTTTGAGACACTTAAATTTTTGAAAACATGGAATATTCTCAGTTATTTAGAAAATGTATCCAAATGTATGTAGAGCTTCAGGAAAACACAACACCTGTTAATGATGAGCGAGAGCGGCCACTTGACAGTGTAGTCGAAAGAAAATGCCTCCAGCCCACTGAGTGAGATCTCTGTGGGATCGACAGCGATGAGCGCCTTTTCCTGCTGCGTCTCAATAGCCAACACACGTAGCAGCTGCGTGATGAGGTCGTGCGGCATCAGCTCAATCTGCAGGAAAAACGCACAATGACAACGGTCATGAATATTTGTCCGTAGGCGGTGGATTGGTGGCTCATAGTGCGACGGCGATGTTGAGATCTTGGGTTCAAATGCGGGTAGCCACTTGTTATTAAACCAGGTTCTTAAGTGTATTTAGTTGACGAACTCAGCTGAGTGACGAATGACTATGCACAAAAAACGTTTGTCAAGAATTAAAAACATCACATTACCATTGATAATTCTCTATAGGAAAGCACGTGGGAAAATGTAGCCACATCCTAGTGTGGATAGGTTAGTGTGGGATCTCCGAAAGAGTTTTGTGAAGTTTTACGAAAGTTCAAAATTGAAACTTTGTCTCATGGCATAATGGCAAGAAAATGTTTTTGTAAACAGTCAACAGCAATACAGTATAAGCCATATTCTACAACGCTTGTGGTATTCTCAGCTATAAACCAGGAAAATGAGAACCGGTCTCATTATATATTGACGTTGGAATTAAGTGTACAGCCAGCAGCCATGCCTTAAGGTCATCTTTATAGGGGTCCGTGTTGGCTGTGCTCATGCGCAGCGCTAGCTCCAACAGTGCCTCGAGCCGCGTGGGAATGATGTCGTCTACGGGTCGCTTCAGTTCCTCTTCTGTCAGCTCCATCAGGTGCACAAAGAAATCGCCCTGGGCCAGGAGGAAGTATTGCTTTATCCACCTGTGCATTCACATACACAAAGGTTATTGAAGCTTGACAACAAAGCAAACAATGTGCAAAAACATGTGAATTCCAGCTGGTTACTTTCATGAGTTATTGCTTGACAAATGATGTCACATCAGGTTTGTTCAAAAATACATAAAATACTGTATATTCCGAGTGGCTTCAAACAAAAAACCCTCATACTTAAAAAAAAAAGTTGCAATATCACAATCCCACAAAAAATACACTCATCATTGAGGCACTCATGACAAAACAAGTTAAGCAAAATCAGTATCGTGTTTCATTTAAGTTAATTTTGAAATAGAAAGCAATGCTTTTGTCTTGATGACGCATCTCTTGACCGATAGGGTATGTGTTACGACTACTGTACCTGAGCCGTGTAAGCAGCTCCTTCTCTTCCATCAGAAAGTCAAGCAGCACCTTACTGGCATAGCTGTAGGCCTTCTCAACGTGCTCCGCATTGGCTCGCTCCTTCAGGCTGTAAACCATCTCATGGGCATCTGGGCAAGTCACCTCCCGGTCACACTCCCGTACCACATTCAGGTACTTGCCTGCAGGTGCCAGCAAATGCACGTTAATCAGCACACTCTTAAACAAAAATAGAACATTGAACGGTTTATATAATTTGTGACCATTCCACTGGGTGAATAAATACCACGCAGAAATCATACGTTAAAATATGAAACCTGTCAAATATGGATTTTATTTGAACTCTATATCTGAGGCATGTAACAAATCTTCACCAGGTACATTTTATAGGAAGGAAGCGTTGTACAAAGACCTATGTTCAATAGGTGCTTATCTGTGATTGGGACCACACAATTGTCAAATATTACGTGGCTGCATTTCACCACAATGTTATCTGGTGGGCTGAAAATATTGGTGCATATGTTGCATTTGCTTAAAAAAGTATTTGTGATACTACATCGGCTTTGACCTGTGCTGAGGATCTTGTCAGTGAGCTTCTGCAGGAAGGCAGGTATACGATGCTGCACCACTGTATAGCGCTGGTCCCAGTACTTGTCATTGTAGTCCTCCTGGATTCGCTCCTTTTGCAATTCGTGCTCCTCTACCATGAATTCACTGCGCAGCGACACACACACACAGATACATTCAACCAAACATTGGTCCAGAAGAATACTCGTACACATTGAAACAACTGAATCAGATGGGAGTTATTTTTCATTGCAATATGGAATGTGTTAACCATTTAGTAATTGTTTGGTAGGAGAGAGTTTTAAATATAACCAGGAAGAGAGTGATCCGATAGGTGGGGCACATGCGCAGAATGGAGTAGAGGTTACCAAAGTAGGCTTTAGAGTGCCACTTAGACATCAATGACCAGGGAGAAGACCCAGGGTGAGATTGTGGGATATTATATACAAGCCTTGGAGGCCAGATGTCGACTGTGCAACAACTAGAGGAAGTGATAGCCATTTATGGTGGCATTAATCAGAATGATCATGATCACCTCTTGAGGCCTGAGATAGATTTTAATACCTGATGCTGGACCAAAGCCAGATCAAATTTATGTTTATCACGTAGGCTTTCGCGACCAATATTATCCCTTATTATGGATACATTTCGGTTCTAAAAGATGTAAATTGGATCCCATGTTTCTAATGTTGATGAGTGTTAAATGGATTTGCTGTGTATGGTGGTCTGCCGTACCTGTAAGGGTCCTGAATGACTCCTTGATATATCCACTTCTCCAAGATCTCAAAATAAGGCACACTGGCAGCCTTGGTGAGGTAGAGACCCAGCTCCTGTGCCTGTGCATCGCCGGTGTAGTTGCAAGTGCGTTCATGCAGCAGGCTCACAGTTGCACCGCCCATGCACTCGCCCTTGTCCACAGCCAGTGCTGCGTGTATAAATACAACACAGTGGGTGTTAAAGTTTCCCTCCACACCTGCATTTCCATCGTCTTGGACTTTGAGTAACAAATGTGAAAGATGAGTCGATTTCTCAGGAGCAATGCACCTATGGAGGCGAGAATCTCCATGGTCCTCATGGTGGGTTGGATGTAGAACCACAGCTTTTGCAGCGACAAGACGCCCTGTCTGTGCAGATGCTCGAGCTGCGTAACGAGGATGAGGTACTCCTTGAGCAGTACACGCATGGCAGCGCACAGCGCATGGTTTACCTGCCCATACTCAAAAGACTCCTTCTCCTCTATGAACCTGTGGGGCAGAAGTGCACCATTTGCTTAGTCTAATATAATCACTTTACAAACTTTCTCAACACAGCGTAACCAAAAAAATTACTTAATATCTAAATACATAAGCAGCTGTGGCATTGTATCTATAGTGCACTCTATATCTAATATCCGTTTGCAAAAATCGACATTAAATCGAAGCTATGAGCTTAGATATTAGATTTCGGTAAACACAACATGTAACCCAGTGCAAAACTCGGTAAACAGCTTCTCAGACCATCATCTGCAAGTACAAGACGTCTCTTTTGCTACATCTGCACGAACACCGCAAACTCACCGCATGATGGCGGAGTAGTCAGCGGCCATGGGCAGAATTCGGTTGAGCAGCTCACGCACAGACACATCCAGGCTTGGGTCGATGGAGAAAGTGCGTGTTGTCAAGCGGTCAGCCAGCGGCCGCGACGTCACGTACTTGCCATCTATGCCGATCAGCAGCCACAGCAGGTCCTCTACTATCACCTGCTCTTGGATGGAAAGGGGCAGCGTTCCTGTAATGCAGAGAATATACAGAAAGGAAGTGATGTTTATTCAGAACAGAAATTTTGAAAATGAGCTATGGACATTGCAATGTACCAAATTAAATTTCTGTAAATTGTAGTCACTATCCACCAAGTATTATTATCATGTGTGCTGTCGTCTGTACGTGCGGGTGGCGTGCGTCGCACACACAGTCATCCACAGACGAGGTGGTCGCAGGAGGCATCACTCTGCCCTTTTATTGTTGCTGCCAAGCTCACGCCACCACTCGTGCCCCCTCTCCCTCTCTCACGCGACCACGCTGCCGCACGACCCAGCCTAGACATAACCCTGCCCGCGTTGCACCGACGGTGTTGACCGAGACTGCTAACTACTGTCCAGCCGTGCAATGCCTGGCCGAAGGCGGTAGCGACGAAGGTAGCGACGAAGGCGGCGACGATGACAACGCCGACGAGACGAGTTCAATCCCAGAACCGGCAGCCAGCTCTCGCTCTCTGCTGCTTATATTCCCCTCGGTGCGGCTTGGCTCCACCCTAGCCACACTTCCCTTCTCGAACCCTCTATAGGGTTCCAGGGGCTTCCACACGAGGTCTATCATGACCCTTACCCCAGTTCCTCCGCCCTGCCGGCACACCCGCGTATATGGTCAGCAGCGTGTGCGCTAATTGCCCAAATGCAGTTGCTGCTGCTGTCCAACAGTCAGTGCTATGTCACTACACATGTAATTGCAATGTTTACATATGGCTTATACATGTACACAACAGTTTCTGTTTTTCTACAATCAATTAATATTACAGCTGACAGTTACAGCCTAGAATCAAGGTAGAAATGCCCAGCCAAGCCTGGCTAAGGTTTACTTACCAACAGGTACAGCGGGATCAGGCGGGGCACCAGGGCCAGGCATGAAGTCCTCTGTGAGGGCAGGCCGGTCATATACCCACGAAGGGAATTGAGGGATCGGCTGGCCGGGGTTGCGTTTGTTGTGCTTCTCTCTCAGCAACTTTCGCACCGTCTCTAAGGACTTCTCAATGCACACAATACAGCTATGATTAAAATAAAAAAATTACAGTTTTGCCACTATTGCATACCCCTGGGAATTGAAGGACAGGCAAACAGATGGGAAATGTGTAGTTGTATTTTAACATGCAATTTCTTGACTGGTTATTTTACAGTACAATAATAAAACAAATGTCAAATACTAGCCAGATAGGAAAAGGGTTATTTTCAATACTCAGTCAGTTTTGAATTTTTAATTCTCAACCTGCAAGCAGTGTGGCCATTTAAATGCATCCTTCATGGTGAAAATATATACTCGTGTTTGTCTGATAAAAGCAGCACAGGTATATTCCTGAGCTGATGCCAAGCAAACACACCACCAGCTGCTGTGAGCTGCTACTGGACGCGATGCTGCCCAGCTGTTTGCGCAGCTCCTCCAGCTCTTGCAAGGACATCTTGCTGGTGGTCGTTGGCAGTGTCACGGTGGTGGTGGTCGTCACGTTGGAAGCTGCCTCCGCAGCTGCCTTTTCAGCTTGGTTCTGCTGTAGGTACTGCAGCGTCTGTGTAGGAGAATTGGGTTATTGTAAAAATAAGGTCTGTCCCTATTGGTAAATATACGTCACGCTTGATCTTTTAATTGATAATCTCCTGGATAATTGGCATGCATCTAACCTCTTTGTCTTCAGTGAGCTTTGACAGCAGGTACACCAACGGGTCCAGATGTCTGACATTGCGTGATTTCAGCTCCTCATACCTCTTTAGAAATTCTTGAGGGGTAGACGTGAATTCTGCTATTTTAACCTGTGAAATTCATGAAAATGTAATTAACGCATATTCACGTACTGCAATGAAGATACATCTAAAAAGCAGATGCATGAGCAGATGCAGCACCTTGGCGTTGTGCGTGGACACAGAAGTAGTGACGTAGGGCGTGCGGTTCTTGAGCAGTAGGTCGATGTAGACCTCAGCGCCATCCCCTCCACGCACACGCAGGAGGCTCAGCAGCTCATTCACATCGTGGTGGATGCGAAACTCGCTCATCTTGACAGCAGTCCACTGTCAATATCCACCTGAAGAAAATTAACTGTAAGTGAAAGGTGCCAGTTTTTTGCAAACAGGGTTTCAAAATTGAGGATTTATTTTTCATATAATGGCCAGCAAGCACTACACACAAATATCTCTGTTAGTCAGGCAATACCTACCAATTCTAAGCAATTTTCTGCCCGTCACATTCCATTAATTTCTTAGATCTGTTATATTAGGGAAATTTTATCTCAATGAATATGGTGAGATCTTTATTACATAAGCATTTAATGAAGACATAACGGATATCACTGGGTCTAGATTAAACGAGTTATATCCTGTAAACCTGTAATAAAATAAACAGCATGAATGACCTTCCATTCCACATCCCATTGTGAAAATTAAACCTCTTTCAGTCGATTGACCTTCAAGACTAATGTTAAATCGCAGCATTCTAATAAATACACATTTCTAAATTAATTTCGCCTTTCTGAGGCTCATCAACAAAGACACGAATTCAAAATACATACTGCTGCGCTACCTGATGTTATTGGTCGGAAACTTCTCTCTACACAATGTAATTTAACACCTGGAAAGCTCAACTACAAGGCTCAGAAGTGTTATACAACATACATAATTGCACTGACGGTCAATGGCTAAAGTATGGAAGGCCAATACCGTGACAAACCAGAATGAATGAGTTTCGTTTAAACGTATACCGAACAGATGGTGATATATCAACCATAATCCTACACGACAGCACCACATAACCGACAATCTTATTACAATCTTTCCTAATAAAACGTCTTGATTACAGATTATACAGTACAGTAGACCTATATAAACTATACAAACTTGCTAATGGTGTGTTATTAATCACGGGCGGTGACATATCCGAACGGTACCGCGTTTTCTGCTCGCTCGAGGTTTGCAGTTCATCTAAAGAGTTGACCAAGGGTGCCGGCAAATGCTCCACATTATTACAATTTTAATGATAAAATTATCGAATCGTAGACTAAATACAGTCCCCACTACTTGCAGGCCGGTTGCTGCGTTCGCTTTGTGCCGCCGCACCAGGAGAAGCTTCTACTTTGGGGCTGGAGTGTTGGGTGGTGAGTGAGGGGATCACCTAAACTAAAAGGTCGACAAACTACACAGATGAACAAGCGCTCAATGAGAACAATGCCACGATTACACCATTGGAACCTCATTTGCCAGTAAAAAATATAATTGTTTTTTTTATCCTTCTATCTGGCAACAAAACTGACACCTTTTGGCGTCATCTGGTCCAACACCATGTGAGACTAAGGAAAGCTGTCTCGGGTGTGGACCAATCAACTTCAAGGACAGTGCATATATTATCAGAATTATGATTTTTGTTTGCATTACGACCGCAGGTATTGTGGTCTATGCAAACATGACTCCTCGTAAAAACAAGGTGTCAGTTTAGTTGCCAAATAGAAGGGTAAAAAAAAAACAATTATCAATATTCTTAGGTTTTTTCGGTAAAGTCACGTAGGTAAAACATCAAAATTATCAATGCCACGATTCCTTAGTGGACTTTGAGGCCCGGTCTCCCATCAATCCCCAACAAGCCTTGCAGCAACAACAACAACCAGCGTAACAACAGCAGCAGCGACGACCATCGCCTCTTTACCCCCCACCGTGGCAACAACGAAGCGAACAAAACACGACTCTCGGCAACGTACGCGTCCCGTGGCGGCAACGCAGCAAAAAATAAACTAAAACAATCGTCGCGATGTAGAAGATCGTGGCGGCTGCTTCAGCGAGGCGACACGAGGAGGAGTTCCCGAAGTTGCCCGCGGCCACCGCCAGCCAGCCACGCAGCCAATGGGCGCGCAGCTTTCGTGTCACGTGACGCGCGTCGACGAATCGCGAGGCGCGTGACGATTGTTTGAACTTGTCCTGGGCGCCCCTCCCCTAGGTCTACTCGGCCTCAAATTATGAGTAGTCGGTGTGCAAAAAATCGCCACTGGGGGAGACAAAGACGGCCGGGCGTGGTGGGAGTGGTGGTCACCCACAGTGCTGCTGCTGCTGCTGCTCGTTAACGGCACTTGCCCCTACAGTCTGTTACAGGCTACACGGGGGATCTTTGTCTTTACGCGGCGGTCTGTAAAGGAAACAATGGAATGAGAATAAAACGTTCCGGGTACGATTGTTGTAGTAATTATATTCGCAACACGATTTGTGCGTGCTTTTTTGCGTTTGCTTATAACGCAACTAAAATAATGATACATGTGAACATCAATCGTGTTGGCCTTTATTGAAGATTTATCTTTTGACCCGGTTTTTTTATTTTTAGGCGATCCGGTACTATTTTATCTTATAAGCCGTTGTTTTCCCCGGGGGCAATCAGCTGAGTGGAGACACTCACTCATCGTTGCGGACCGGCCACTTCGCGTTGTCTTTGACGTTCGTTATCGATCCGTCACTCTCCTTATGGAGTCACAATATCGCCGCTGTTGTTGTGGTTGTTAAACGGTAATTACGTGTTGTATACCTGTCAACCCATACGGTTTACCCCGTATTCTTATAACAGGAGGAATTGAGTTTTCAGGTCCGTACGGCGTACAGCTGTTTCAATCCGGGCAACACATTATTTGTGTTTCTCCCTTGTGATGGGACTTTGCAGGATGAACGTTGAGATTTAGAAGGGGCACGGGTGGCCAATAAGGTCTGAATTAGTCTGTAACAAGGTAGGCACTGATGAGGAGTTGACAGGTATGGTGTTGTCTTCGCAGCCACTCAATTCGCTCAACGCGTAAGGCCGCGAACATATCCAGGTTGGGTGTCCAGATGTATGAAACCGGTGCCTTGTTGTGGGGAAGTCAACGGTGACCGCTCTCGTGAATAGACTGCTCCCCTGCCATGCTAATGTGGAATTGCAACCACTGGCTAAGTCAGTGCTATTGCTGCCCCGCGCTGAAGACACTTAGGGCCGAGATGCAACTCCAGATTCAGTGTAGTCGCTGTAGACACACATCGCATCGTGACTGCTTTACACACGATAATCGATTTCTTTCTTTCGTATGGCTGCTGATGTAGAAGCAGAGCAACAACTACAATTTCACATTCAGGTGGTCAAACTTTTGAAATAGCACCCCCAGTGGCATCTGTCCCTGTGGACACAAGGTGACAAGCACCTAGCCTGCAAACGGGCATTAAATTTCGATTTAAAGCTTTCGTGACTGCAGGGGTTCATCTTCTTGGTTCTTTCGGTAAAGTCACGTAGAAGGGAAATAATAAAAATAAACATAATAAAATACAATTCTCACGACGTTTCGGCCACAACGCAAGCAGCCGTCCTCAGGTGATGCTGTCCTTACGACAGCCCTGTTCTTCACCTGAGGACGGCTGCTTGCGTTGTGGCCGAAACGTCGTGAGAATTGTATTTTATTATGTTTTATTTTTATTTTATTATTTCCCTTCTACGTGACTTTACCGAAAGAACCAAGAAACGGGCGTTAGTCTGCCAATAGGGGGTAATCAAATATATTTTTAAAAATACTGTTAATCCCAATTGAATATTTTGTGGGTAATTTCTCTCGAATTTGGACTGATACCAGCACAAATGGCCTCGAATGACGTCTGGGGATTCTTTCACGTCGACTGTAGCTTATATATCTGCAGCAATAACCAGGGCGGCCACCGGCCTCAAACCACGAATCTCTGTAGCAAGCGGTGAACGCACTGCTGCTGGGCCAGGTCATTGTTGACGATCTTGAAATGACGATCTTGAAATGAGCTTCTTGCCTGTGCAGTGCAAGGAGACGATGGTGCACAGTTGATCATTGTGGGTGGCCAAGGAGATGGAGTGGCCACTGGACCTGGCGAATATCCTCACCTCCTCGTCAGCCAAAGAGCGGGACATCGAGGCATTGCCGGTGATCTCAGCCAGCGACCCAGATGCTTCCTTCATCTTCCAGCCACAACAGATTAGTTTTGGAAAAGACAACCCGTTTTTTGAAGTATGTACTATTCACGGTAGTCAGGAGAAACTGCTCTTCCACCTACAGAAATTAACAGCAGTGGACATGATAGGGTTCTTAAATTATTTTTTCTGGTGGATCACAATAAAAGTGGCATGTACTGGTGGGCCACATGTCATCATCGTCTCTCTCGTTTTATTGTTTTAATCTGCATAATCTTTATCTGTTTTCTACATCTCTTCATGTTTATTATTAAATCTTTATGTCGTGGCAATCCATATTTCTCAGTGGGCCATAGCTCAGCTGGCCACCCCAACATTCTTCATGAGTCACATCTGGCCTGCGGGCCACCAGTCAAAGAACCCTATCATGATAACACAAAGTATATATGTGTAAAAAGTTATTTACGTTTCTCTTTTCATTCCTGAATTATTGAACTTTTTACTTTTCGTAGAACAATAGCTGATTGCCAAGCCCAATGATTTGGGTATGCTGACAGTAAAACATTGCACATTTTGTATATGGTATACACCTGTACACAGGGGCGGTTTCTTCATTAGGGCGATTGGGCGACGCACCACCAATGTCATTCAACCAGAGAGTCACGCTAGCCGTCACTGTGCCTCTGGATATAGTCCAATCAGCGTCATGTCACGTTCTGTGGAGTACCGCCTCTTATTGGGCGATTTCACTCCGGCTGAGAATCGCCCCGAGTGGCCCCATAGACTTACATTCAAAGATGTTTTTTTTCGAACGGCGGGCGCTCCAATGCATTCTCTATGGCTTCCGGGAGGGCTTGCACTAACGTGCTTACGTCATCATACGTGCTAACGTCATCATACGTAAGCACGTTGCATCCAACAATATAATTTATCGCCACCTAGTGGAATCTTTAATAAAATAAACTTGAGTGGTTTGTTTTAATAGTGAGTATAGAAACAAACAAGATGTATTGTAAGAGTCACTTTATTTTTCATTAATATTAAAGAAGTGAAGTTGCCTTTACATGCTTAAGCTGTTAATTTATCCATTGCATGGGTGGACCTTATCCTTATCAATCATCCAGACATTTGCCCCCCCTGAGAGATTTTGCAGGAGCCGCCACTGCCTGTACATAATGAAGTGATTATTGTATTGAAAGTGGTGTTTACGTGTTTTTGTTTCTTTGTACTGTATTAAAAAAACTAACTCCACGATTTATTTTTTTATATCCACTAACCATTTTCAGGATGGGGATGTTTATCGCCACATGTACATACGAGATGCTCTAAGCAGCTATGAAGAGGACATTGAATCGACCAAGTATGTACTGAAGGATACATATGACCTACGTTGTTTGAAACACATTATTGCAAGCAGATATTTGGTGGATTTCCACTTTAACATTTGCAAATGTTCACAAATTATGTGTAATATATTGATTCCTCGTCTACAGAAAAATGCTGGCATAACTTTAGATTAAATTATTTTTGGACAATTTGAAAATCTACTTACACTAAATGTTAATACAGTAATAAATGTGTTTAACCTGTCTGAATTCCAATATAATGCCATGAGTAACAAATTAACATCCGACTGCTATGCATACAGCCGGTGAATTAAGAGTAAATTGTGTGTACGAATAATCGGACTCTGAGTACAATATACACTTTGTATCATTTCGACTGAGCTGTTGCGCCTCTTGATGGTGGTGTGGCAGGGTGGAAGCTTTTGGATGTCACATAGCAGCCTGTGGGCAGGTGTTTGACACACTGGCAAGCTACGACCACCACTACAACGCAGCACACAGACACGTGTGTATGACGTGCCACCGCTCGTTCCCCTGCGGCCATCTGCTGGAGGTGCACATCTCAGAGTGGCATAACGTCCTCTTCGATGTCATGGCTCAACGGCAGAACATGGTAAACCGAAGTTTAGTTTTTTTTTTACTTCCTGCTCCATGAGCTATATGCGTTGCACCTGTGTATCCATGCAGGACAGCGTTATACATTTGAATGAAGCTTAACAAATTTGGCTTTCCATAGCAAGGAATGGTATGACAAGCCCTGTTGGAAATGGCCAACTTGGGGAATGCAATAATTATGTGCAGTCCTGACATAATGGGAATGCTGCACTGGAGTGATTGTTAGCGCACTGGATTTGTAATCCAGGGGTTGCTGGTTCGATCTCCTGACATGGCAGTTGAAAAAATGGACAACTTTATTAAATACCCCCACCTCTGTCCACCCAGCAGTATAATTGGGTAAACCACAGTTGGTAGGCAGGTCACATGTTGTGGGGTAAAGTATGGTTACTCCCACCTCTTCAGAGATGTCTGGCCAGCATGGAAGAGTAAGCAGAATACCCTCTAGAGCTCTATCTAGTTGAAGCCCTTCGGCCACCAGTGGCATGAGCAAGGCATTTCATGGATGCATCTTTTACAAAGGATAGAAGCCATTAATATGGAAGAGATTACAACCAAGTGCTTATGTTTACTTACGTGTTGGAATGCCACAGTACCGATGCCTGGTGGAGAGCTGTGGAGAAAAATTTGCGACGGCCAAGCACAGGAAGCAGCACCTCATCAAGATGCACAGCTACCCCTCCGACTTTCGCTTTGACCAACCTGCCAAAGGCCCCAAGCCGTACGCTATCATTCCCGGAACACCTTGTTCGACAACTATGCTCTGGTCAATTTCTGGGATATAAACTGCATAATAACAGTATTATAATCAGAACTCGCGAATTAAATGTATATTGGTTGAATACAACTCTAAGTGACAATTTAATAACTTTGGTTTTATAAGTACATGACATGTGAGTACTGAATGGGAAAAAACCCCATGCAGAAAGCCCAAAAAACAGTTTAACTATTGAAGATAAAGTTAATACACATTGTGTTTGCTATGCTTGTGGATATACTTTATACGATTTATGAATTTTAATTCAACTGTCCGTTCGCATGGTGGCAATATGATTATCACGTTTACAGTTATAATACTTGCCATGCTTTTTACGTTACTTTTACAGCTCTAAAACAACTAAGCAAATGCAGCCAAGCAAACAGGTATCAGGGGTTCCAAGTGGCTGTGAAGGAATGGACGAGATTCCAGTTGAGTCCATGGATGTATGTTCCGGTGGTGATAGTGAGGTCTTAACCCCCAGCCCCGCCACCCGACACAACAGGTGACTACTCACGCTGGAAGGTTGCTACATCCATCGGTCAACTATTTCTGTCCAATATGATAGTAATATATATATCTCATCTGAAAGGTGGATGTGAGCATATTGAAATGCTTTTCAAAAACTGAAGTTAACAATGGAAATCAACATACCAATGTGCCTGAAGAAATTATGAATGATATCGATGTTACTATGACATGGATTAGAAAAATTATTTTGACAAAGAAAAAATTTAAAGTGCACAGATAAACTGGGAGGTGCATGGTTGGAATAAACCAAGGGGCAGAAATAGCAACACGGATGAGAGTACATGCAAGTTAGACACCATATTAACTTTTCAGAAAATCAAATTGGCTTTTGCAGGAGACTGTTGCTGGGAAGGTTTATAGGCAGTGATCGAGAGGCTGCTCAATATGATATGCACCATGGAGGTGGGGATTCAATCGCCTCGTTTGTAGGTGATAGATTAGTTTTTTAAATCCTTTATATTAAGTTCACTTGCTTGCTTGCTTGCGCGCTTACGACCGTGCAAATCTTTCAGTCGTGTTTTAACCCACTTCCCGTGATCCGATCGAGCTGACATTTTGCACACAGATTCGTTGTGCGTGACAATTTATTTTCGTGAAAATTTTTTTCCAAAACTTTACACTTTTTATGAAAAAATAAATTATATTTAATTACCAATTGCTTAATGGTGGCAGGACAATCATCTGACCCATAGGTGGCAGCCATCTCAAGCCAGAGGACGAGAGGACTCTAGCCGCCACGTATATAAAGGATTTATAGTGAAAAACTTTGTTTTTATGGGTTAATTTTTTTACATCACGAGACCATGCGATATGGCAATAGCTTGGCGACTTCATCATCGTGCTGTGGATGTATCATGGCTGATGGTGATGACGATTCTTAAAGGCTTTGTATATTTCTAGAGGATATTTTTTGTGACTTAATATCTTTTGTCATTTGGCAGAGTACCTAAAACTATCTGTTTTGGACATGGCTCAGCGAGAACCTTCCAGAGAGGAAAGAAGAAGAGATGATTGCTGCCCTTATGCCTTGGCAGTTTTCTCCAACAACACGCCTTGTTTATATTCTGTGTCCGTGTATTTCCAGTGATTTTAAGGAATCAATGTCAATCATGTTCTCATACTTGCAGTTTGACAGCATTTGTGTTATTAATAAAGGCCTGCATTGAATGATTGGCTCAGCTTTAAGTTGATTGTATAGTATTTAATGTCTATGTTGAAATGAAATCACCATTAATCAGTTGTCATTAGTAATCAAGCAAAGAATAAGAAATGGAAGCAGTGATGTTATTTTATGAGCTGACTTATCATAGATTAAGACTGAAGGAGGTGGTCAAAAGATGCAGTCCTGAAATCACTAGCTTATGTCACTTGCTGGCGAAAGGGCCACTGGTGAGCCTCCTCCAGATGGTATTTTGAAGTCTTCCACACTGGACATGTTTTGCAGGTCAGAGTCTTCTTCTTTCGTATGGATTAATTACAGATGTAATTTGAGATGTTATCCACTCAGCTGTTCAGAAGCGGAGTGGATCTTGTCCATTCCTCCTTTAAAGGAGTGGAGACAGCAGCAGCGGCTGAGTGTTTACGATTTGGTCGATGGTTTGGGATTTGTGGCCACACTCGCAGGCTGCCGAATCTTTAATGCGCCATTTGTGCATCGGGTGGCTGCATTGGCCCTGCCCGCTCCTGATTCGGTTGATGATCGACCCTTCGCGGCGTAGAAGGTTGAAACCGGGAGGTCGGAGTACCCACTGTACACCACACACAACCTTACAATCGACTAACTGTGGTGTACCCATATATACTGATAGGAGAACAGAGGGATTTTATAAACTTGCTCATTGTTTCAACTGCCGTGCCTGGAGATGAAACCAGCCACCTCTGGGTTGCAAGTCCAGTGTACTAGCCAATAACACCATGGCAGCATCCAGTGCATGCTGGGAGAGTAGGCTAACATTCACTCTAAGTGGGTTCTGTAGAGCTCTTGGCCTTTCCACCAGCAGTGTAATGAAGAAATTGCAGGGCTGCTACCTTCATAAATAGCTTGAGCATATATTTTTGTAATCTGGAGTGTTCAAACAGTTGTGAATTTTATGAAGACATTGCAAGTGGTGTGGAATCGGTCAATACACATTTATTTTTTGAACAGTAGCTTTGGAACTATTGCAGCCATTCATAAGCAATATATTTGACATGCCTGCAAAATGTAACATTTTACACCCTGACAACATTTCAATGCTTGTGTTGGCTTCAACTTTTTAATTACCCACCATTTATTTTTCAAGTAATTTATTTTGATTTCTACAAATGTAATTGTATTGTATTGCACACAATACTGCAGGATGCCATTTTTTTAAATCATTCTGATGTTGATGAGCATGGCATTAAACTTAAGAGTATCATTATCTTAGCCACTAACATCTCTTGATGTAATCAAATATAATTTTTTTTATCTTTAAAAGCCACCTAATATAAAAAAAATGCGATCTGCTCCATAATGTTAAACAGTTTTTTAATTCATTGGTCGCGTGTTCCTCATTTTGACTTATCGTGTTAGCAAGCGTCGGGGAAGTGTGCTTGTCAGCTGCATTTCCACATGGAATGCAACAGGACCTAGAACATGTGTAAAACTTATCTTTTGGGGGGAGAAAAGGGAAGGTCAACATGTGCATACTTGTTAGGAAATTAGAATTAGCCAATTACAAAATATACACCATTATTATAACACTGGTTTGTTATAATAACGGAATGTTTTGATGACAGGACGGGTCGACACGTAATTGTACACTAAGGATAGTTATTTCAGATAAGTGAGTGTCATTGTAAAAAATGTAAAAACGTTATATTCCATGATATATTCGAATTAAAAAATGCATTTAACTCATTACATTTTTCCTACACAATCATCCGCAGGATGTATTACATATATTTAAGATTTTTACATTTATACAAACGTAACTTTTACGTAAAAAAAATCTTTGATTAAGACTAAAAATGTTTGACCAACATCTCAACCATGTTACCATCACGGAAGAAAAAAAATAGGATGTGTGAAAGTTTGCTTCTCCATAACTTTTACTTCACAAGATGTGGCTACATTTCTCAACTTGTGGTTTGCTAAAGATTTGCAGTAACATTCTGCAACTGTACTGCATATATAATATAACTGCGGGTTTTTGTATTTTAAAATAGTCTCGTTTAAATGTTTAAATGCATGAACATGTCCCACTCTAATACATTATAAAATCACTGAAAATATGTATTTCTTACAGAATGAGGCATAAATGTGATTGCAAGAATGCTTTTAAAGCAATGGTGCATCCAAGTACATGGTTGGTGTCATGGCCTTAAATGAACTTAGCAAACTATAAGGTTGCAGCATAATGGTCTTTCACGATATGATACGATGTTAACTTTCACCAGTCAACAAATCAATTTTAATCAATGTTCACGAAATTACGATTATCGCGGTGTTCGTTTCTTATAATTTTGTAATGATGCCGGTTGTAGTTACTAGCGAAACGTCATACTCGGATTGTAAATGTTGTGGATTTGCTCCCCAACACACCGACATGTTCTGTTTACGTGACAAACCTTACTAATTGGCTGTGTCGGGTGGTGTCGGGTTTAACGACACATTAATATTGACGCGATCTAACCCCAAAAAACTTGTATTATGAACTTTGTAATTGTATTTCACACTTTTACAGTATTTATTGGTGCTTTGCTGTACTTGTACATGTCAAGATTACTTAAGAGTTCCTTAACTCCAGTTCACTCAATATCAGCCTGCCATAAACCTTCTAATCACTGCAACTTTACAATCTGTAAGACTTATAACACATCCTGTCAGACCATTAATAAATAAGTGTATGACCTATGTAAACGATTATAATTGCCTTGTCATCATTTAACCTGGAAAGTATTTAACAAATAGCTGGATAATAGTGATTTGTTTAAACCCTCAGTTATTCCATTTGCGTTTGCATATTTGGTCAAAAAATTAAATATAGAATATATAATGAAGTATAAAATGAGCAAAACCAACCTTTAAAAAAGTACGTTTGTTGAAGAATTTGTATCGTACTATTTATCATATCGCCATATTGTGGCAACCCAACTAGCCATGCAATATCGGAAATAGATTTTACTTGTATTATTTAAATGTACACCAACTCACCTGAATAATGATTTGAATTGTATCCAAATAAAACAAATTCATAGCAGATCCATGTGTACAAAAAGGTCAAGGTTGTCATTCCTAGTTTGGATTAAAATCCCCATAATGGTCTCCTGTTAATCTGTATTGATGGATTTACTTTCAGGAAGCTGCTTTGGCCATAATCTGACCATTTTATTTAAACAATGTACACGCACAGTCTTTTTGTGAAATCACTGCTCGATGGGAACCCCCTCTCACACACCATGCAGGCCATGACTATTATTTCACCTTCATGTTCAGTGAGGGTTGGTGAATACAGGGAAAATAAAAGTAGGAGAATTTAAATGTAGTAAAACAATGTGGCTGCACTGGCCTTTGTTACCCACAACATAGCCCAACACCCTATAAGGATTTTCTGTGCACCGATCCAAGTACTATCCCGACTCAACCTGCTTAGCTTCTGAGATCGAATGATATTGCATTGCAGATGATTTGGACATAGGCACATTTAAACAATTACAGTGGTACCCTGGAGATCGAACTTAATTTGTTCCAGAAGGCCATTCGAACACCGATTTGTTCGAACACCGAATTAATTTTCCCCATAAGAATTCATGTAAATTACATTAATTGGTTCCAGACACAAGAAATCTCTCATTATAAAGCATTTTTACATGAAGTTTACAGTAATTACATGCATAAAATCATACAAAAAACAAGAAACACAATAAATGGAATAACGGAATAAATATATGGAATAAATTTAATAAATGAACATTGAACTTCACTTTACCTGTAGTAAGGAGAGCTGATGGCTTGAGTGGAAGGTGGTGAGGAGGAGGAGGTGGTGGTGTTATTGTTTGGAAGGGGAGTCCTCTTCCATAATAACGTCGGGTAACTGCCCTTCTGGGGTTCTTTCTCTTTTAATCTTAACTGTGCCTCTTTGCTGCCACTGTGAGTCACTTGAGCTCTTTCTGACTAAAAACGTATCTAAAGAGGTCATCATACGGTAAAACCTTTGTCTGAGCAAGCGTCATGCACGCTGGCCATAGGCGTCTCAGCCGTACAGGTTATTTCAAGTCGCGATTGGCCGTTCGACCCCCCAATTTTGTTCGGTTTCCAGGGCAAAAAATATTCGGAAATATATCGTTCGAACAACGATTTGTTCGAGTTCTGGTGCGTTCGATCTCCGAGGTTGTCCTGTATGTACAATGTTCTAAAATAGTACAGCAGCTATGGCTAACAATATATAAGTAGAGTTGTACATTGTAGTAAGAGGTGGATTATGATCAAATGTTTTTTTTTGATAAACCGAAATAAAATCATCCCTTATTGCAACAGCTTTTGATTGTCGCACAATGGCACTCAAACGTTGTTTTTACAAAATTGTTTCCAGTAAGGAAACAACTACTTGTTATGAAAGCTAAGAAAACGAAATCTTTGCAATGTCCAAATTGTCTGATGCAGACCACTGATTAGATGTTGGCTCATGCCATTTGTGCTTTATAAAAAAGACAACCCCTGGGTAGAACTGCTCTGGGTTCTCACCTGAGGTTTGAGTGCAGACATCATCATGTCTCGTTCTCATGCGCTGCTGCTGTGGACGCTGCTGGTGGTGACCGGGCTGTGTGCGCTCGTGTCCGCCGATCAATATTGTCCCTGCCGCAGAGGCTTTTGCTGCAGGAAAGGCTCAACTTACTACTGCTGTATGAAAGAAAAGGCAAGACAAGCTTGATTTGAACATTCGTTTTTTTGCACATTGATTTTTATCAAAATGTCCCCGGTATGCAGAAAATCTTGGCCGTAAAACAAGTGTTTTGTGCTCAATAATTTCACATGCTGTTTAACCTTTTAAATCACATTGTAGTTAGTCCAAATCTCTTTCAAAAGATAATTATTGTTTCAAAAAATCTCTCACACCTAGTGTGAATGAATACAAATGAAAATTTTGTCGCAAAAATTTGCTTTATTTCGAGGAACGGTATCCTGGTTTTTGTGGAGGAAGTTG